CGGGGGAATATACATACTTTAAATTGGAAAAGTTATTATTCTTGAATAAAGCAAGCTACAGTTGTCTAGTCTCAGCAACAAGATTCTTCAACATGTCATGTATCTATTGATAACTTGAAACCAGCAAGTTAATATGGCCCTTTTCGTACGCTCCGATTTTTAAAATGCTTGGTCAAATGCACACTTGTGTAGTGTACACATGCGGAAGGTCAACGGAGCTTCAATTTATAATATTTTGAATGAGGATCTATGGGATTACAAAATCTATCGACTTTAAAATTACGCGTTTCTTGATAGTAAACATCCCTTCAAACTTATATAAAACCTGTAGAGAATTTAAAGGAGAATACAATGGTATTTGTTTCAAATCTCTGGTGTGCATTGTTCACCTGATATTTGATGTGATTGTTTTTGCAATTTTTTGACTGTTTCATAAAGATTAATCAGTATCTGTCATCAAAATATTTTGTTAAGCATTACTAAACATTGTAGACCAAAAAATTTCCTATCGAATGAGCTATTGCTTAAAGCTCTGGCATGACTCTATCATGAAATATTGAAAATATTGTCCTGATCAAAAAATCGTCACCAGATTTTTTGCTTGCTATCACAGGCAGATTTTGAAGAAAAATCCATGATTTTGCATGATACCCTTTTTTGACCATATCTCGACAAATACTCATTGGATTCGCACAAAACAAAGACCATTAAATAGCTCTACGTTATATCCATTATAATATAAAAGTTTCAAGTAACAGATGTGCGTTCCCTTCATAAATTTGCTCAAAATCGTATATTTCATGAGCTACAAGCAGGGGATATTCAATTTTATATTTATTTATCTATAATAACCATATTATCGTATAGGAAATTGAAAAAGAAACAGAAGCTATTAAGCTTTAAGCTCATATTCACTTAGTAAAATTAACCGGTACGGCCCTTTGAAATTTGTCCATTTTCACTCTTTTTCCTCATTACTCATCGACATCGCTCTCAGCAAGCCCAAATACAACATTCCCTAATCAACCAAAGTACCCTCTACAACTTTTATTGGACATACAGCCAACATTCATATAGTAATCTAATGACTTTTATTAGTAGCATCTGTCCATAATTTGCACATTTCAAAAATCTCACTTTCCTCAACCACATCTCTTCCTATCTAAAATCCAATCACACCATCGTCTTCTACGCAAAGTTTCGTTATACTAACTTGCTAATTTCAAAGCTCTAGCATCACTTTTTCAAAAATCGATGTTCGATCGTCCAAAAGTCGAAAACCTCAAAATTAAAAAACATTTTGTACATCCAGGTCCTCATAGGTAAAAAAAATTAGAATCTCGTCAAACTTAAATATGTTGTAGAATAATGATATTGGAGCAACTTCTTAGTGGGAACATTACATTGGAAATGCATACTTCATGAGATAATCAACATTGGAGATGCTATTTTTAAGCGGGGGAATATACATACTTTAAATTGGAAAAGTTATTATTCTTGAATAAAGCAAGCTACAGTTGTCTAGTCTCAGCAACAAGATTCTTCAACATGTCATGTATCTATTGATAACTTGAAACCAGCAAGTTAATATGGCCCTTTTCGTACGCTCCGATTTTTAAAATGCTTGGTCAAATGCACACTTGTGTAGTGTACACATGCGGAAGGTCAACGGAGCTTCAATTTATAATATTTTGAATGAGGATCTATGGGATTACAAAATCTATCGACTTTAAAATTACGCGTTTCTTGATAGTAAACATCCCTTCAAACTTATATAAAACCTGTAGAGAATTTAAAGGAGAATACAATGGTATTTGTTTCAAATCTCTGGTGTGCATTGTTCACCTGATATTTGATGTGATTGTTTTTGCAATTTTTTGACTGTTTCATAAAGATTAATCAGTATCTGTCATCAAAATATTTTGTTAAGCATTACTAAACATTGTAGACCAAAAAATTTCCTATCGAATGAGCTATTGCTTAAAGCTCTGGCATGACTCTATCATGAAATATTGAAAATATTGTCCTGATCAAAAAATCGTCACCAGATTTTTTGCTTGCTATCACAGGCAGATTTTGAAGAAAAATCCATGATTTTGCATGATACCCTTTTTTGACCATATCTCGACAAATACTCATTGGATTCGCACAAAACAAAGACCATTAAATAGCTCTACGTTATATCCATTATAATATAAAAGTTTCAAGTAACAGATGTGCGTTCCCTTCATAAATTTGCTCAAAATCGTATATTTCATGAGCTACAAGCAGGGGATATTCAATTTTATATTTATTTATCTATAATAACCATATTATCGTATAGGAAATTGAAAAAGAAACAGAAGCTATTAAGCTTTAAGCTCATATTCACTTAGTAAAATTAACCGGTACGGCCCTTTGAAATTTGTCCATTTTCACTCTTTTTCCTCATTACTCATCGACATCGCTCTCAGCAAGCCCAAATACAACATTCCCTAATCAACCAAAGTACCCTCTACAACTTTTATTGGACATACAGCCAACATTCATATAGTAATCTAATGACTTTTATTAGTAGCATCTGTCCATAATTTGCACATTTCAAAAATCTCACTTTCCTCAACCACATCTCTTCCTATCTAAAATCCAATCACACCATCGTCTTCTACGCAAAGTTTCGTTATACTAACTTGCTAATTTCAAAGCTCTAGCATCACTTTTTCAAAAATCGATGTTCGATCGTCCAAAAGTCGAAAACCTCAAAATTAAAAAACATTTTGTACATCCAGGTCCTCATAGGTAAAAAAAATTAGAATCTCGTCAAACTTAAATATGTTGTAGAATAATGATATTGGAGCAACTTCTTAGTGGGAACATTACATTGGAAATGCATACTTCATGAGATAATCAACATTGGAGATGCTATTTTTAAGCGGGGGAATATACATACTTTAAATTGGAAAAGTTATTATTCTTGAATAAAGCAAGCTACAGTTGTCTAGTCTCAGCAACAAGATTCTTCAACATGTCATGTATCTATTGATAACTTGAAACCAGCAAGTTAATATGGCCCTTTTCGTACGCTCCGATTTTTAAAATGCTTGGTCAAATGCACACTTGTGTAGTGTACACATGCGGAAGGTCAACGGAGCTTCAATTTATAATATTTTGAATGAGGATCTATGGGATTACAAAATCTATCGACTTTAAAATTACGCGTTTCTTGATAGTAAACATCCCTTCAAACTTATATAAAACCTGTAGAGAATTTAAAGGAGAATACAATGGTATTTGTTTCAAATCTCTGGTGTGCATTGTTCACCTGATATTTGATGTGATTGTTTTTGCAATTTTTTGACTGTTTCATAAAGATTAATCAGTATCTGTCATCAAAATATTTTGTTAAGCATTACTAAACATTGTAGACCAAAAAATTTCCTATCGAATGAGCTATTGCTTAAAGCTCTGGCATGACTCTATCATGAAATATTGAAAATATTGTCCTGATCAAAAAATCGTCACCAGATTTTTTGCTTGCTATCACAGGCAGATTTTGAAGAAAAATCCATGATTTTGCATGATACCCTTTTTTGACCATATCTCGACAAATACTCATTGGATTCGCACAAAACAAAGACCATTAAATAGCTCTACGTTATATCCATTATAATATAAAAGTTTCAAGTAACAGATGTGCGTTCCCTTCATAAATTTGCTCAAAATCGTATATTTCATGAGCTACAAGCAGGGGATATTCAATTTTATATTTATTTATCTATAATAACCATATTATCGTATAGGAAATTGAAAAAGAAACAGAAGCTATTAAGCTTTAAGCTCATATTCACTTAGTAAAATTAACCGGTACGGCCCTTTGAAATTTGTCCATTTTCACTCTTTTTCCTCATTACTCATCGACATCGCTCTCAGCAAGCCCAAATACAACATTCCCTAATCAACCAAAGTACCCTCTACAACTTTTATTGGACATACAGCCAACATTCATATAGTAATCTAATGACTTTTATTAGTAGCATCTGTCCATAATTTGCACATTTCAAAAATCTCACTTTCCTCAACCACATCTCTTCCTATCTAAAATCCAATCACACCATCGTCTTCTACGCAAAGTTTCGTTATACTAACTTGCTAATTTCAAAGCTCGAATTTCAAATCGAAATTCAAAGAGAAATCAAAAGAGAAATAAAAGACCCAAGAGAAAGCCAGCGAGCGATGATTCCAAGGTATAGCCCCTGCCGTGGCTCTCTGTTTAGAGGTCATATAGGACTGTCTTGCAGATCTCTTTTGACGAAGAGGTGAGGTAGAACTCTTATTTTCAGTTTCACTCTGCACATTTCACCGGGGCTGCTCTTTCCAAATGCATAGAACATCTAAAACACCTACTACTTGTTTTACTAATGCGAGATGTTGATAAACAATAATTCGATTGGAGACGTGTACAGCAAAAAAGCGGGAGATTTATCAACAAAGCTTAATTGACAAGCGTTTGTTCATCGTGAGCTATGTACTAAGAATATGGCTTGAGGTGGTTCCTAGGATAGCAACAGAATTGATGTAAGGAAGCCGCCAAATCTTTATTCAGTTGAGAAGCTTGCAATTGTAAGGACGTTTCTGGCAGTTGATTTGGCCAATGTTTTATGAGCAAGCAGCCTTAGGAGGTATTATGCCACTTTCTAAGATGTTGATTACTTGGAATCTACCTGAAGTATAGGAATAGAAGATCAGAAATTTTGGCCCTGAATCTCGAGACAGAAGTTTTTTAAACGCATATTTTTGATGATTGAGCTTGCTGTTGTAGCATCAGAGTTAACATATCCTATTGATCCATTTATGAAATGAGACCAAATCATACAATAGGTAAACAAGTTGAAGCTGCCATCTAAAGTAGTTTGATTTATTTAGGTCTATATTGAGAATTGGAGTGTGCTTATTATAAAGATATATGAATGATAAGGAAGGGAAGGGATAAATTATATGAATGATAGAAGCTTTGAGTAGCTTTAGTGGGCACCTGGGCTATGAACTAAAGGTACATACTCAGGAACGAACATGGAGCTTTCTACAACGTCACTCAACATCTCGCCCTCCTTTAATACAGCAGTGGCAACACCTTCCTCGAAAGCGACTTCACAGACACGGGTGCCAACAGCTAAAGCAACATCACGCAAGTAATGCACACCAGGGAAAAGAGTACCTTCCTTTAGTTGTTGAGGGCTGGCCATATCAGCAATGGTCTTTGCGGTTTCCAAAAACATGTTGGGAGTAACACGGCTAGCTCTAGAGACAGTGATACCAAGACCAAGACCGGGGAAACTGTAAGAGTTGTTACATTGATTGGTTCTACCAACACGACCATCAGGCAAGTTGACATCAGAGAAAGGACTACCAGAAGCAAAGATAGCACGACCGTCGGTCCATTTGAATGCTTCCTCAGCAGTACATTCAGCACGGGTATCAGGATTACTCAAGGGGAAAACGATAGGCTTTTCTTGATACTTGGCCATGGTACGAATAGCCTTTTCACTAAAGACACCAGGGACGCCAGTCAAACCTAAGATGACAGTAGGCTTCACTTGCTCAACCACTTCCTCCAGACTAAGACGATCTGACATGTCAGCCTTGACATAACACTTTTGACGTTTATCGAGTTTAGTCATTCTATCGCCACCACCAACAATGGATTGAGGATCGCTCTTGTTCAAGGTAGGGTTACCAAGGAGGCCATGTTGATCCAGCATCCAAATACGAGAATAAGCTTCATCGCGAGACTTGACTCTACCTTGAGCGACCATGGCATCAACGATACCTTCACAAACACCAACACCTGCGGAGCCAGCTCCAACACAGATGATACGTTCTTCATTGAGACTTTCTTGAGAGCGGCCACGAGCTTTGAGAGATGCAAGGATACCAGCCAAAGTAATGGCAGAAGTGGATTGAATGTCATCATTGAAGCAAGTAATCTTGTCTTGATCTATAAATAAAAAGAGGCATGAGCACTCCTTTGTGATACCCACAATTAATAAAACTTACATTTGTTCAACAAGTTGTAGGCGTGAGGGTACTTGAAATCCTCGAATTGAATAAGAGCATCTGTAGAAATTAACAGTCAGTACAAGGCTGTTGACATGTCAATGTAACCAACTTACTAGGCCATCTACTGTGGACAGCAGTAACCCATTCATCGACGAATGAATAGTATTCTTCGCCATCTAATCTAGGGTGGCCCATACCGAGGTAAAGGGGATCATGTAACAAAGACTCATTATTTGTACCAACATCCAAGACGACAGGAAGAACTGAGCGAGGACGAATACCACCAGCGGCGACGTACTAGAAGCAGAGAAATAGGGGGTTAATATTCGGGGGAACAATATTACGGGAATGAAGCCAAGGATACATTACCAAACTGAGTTTACCGATAGGAATTTGCATGCCATTTGCACCCAAATCACCCAAACCTAAAACACGAGAACCATCTGTAACGACAATCACATCCACTTCATCATGAGGCCAGTTGTGAACCATAGCAGACATAGCACCTCTGTCTTGAGAAGAGAAATACATGCCACGAGAACGACGGTAGATGGAATGAGACATCAGACATGCTTCACCAACTATGTAAAAGAAATATAAAAGATTTTTAGTTATAGACCCTTTTCGTAAGTTACGGGAGAAATTGGGTAAAACTAGTGTCGCAAAGGGAATTATACAAACACAGCCAATTCTTTTAAAATTCTTACCAGTAGGGGTATAAATGATACCAGATAATTCATCTAGGTAGTTGATCAAGAGCTTGTAGAATAGGGTCTCGTTACGATCTTGAAGGGCGGATAAAAAGACGAATTTGGCCAAGGGAGTCTCCAAAGCATCCAAATTACGCTTGATACGTAACAATTGCTTGTCCATCTCTTGACAACGAGGAGGCACCAAACCACGAATGGAAAGACGTTCTCTTTCTGCAATGCTGAAAGCAGTACCTGTAAGGATCACACAATATTAGGCCATGGCATTGGATCAACAGTGGTGCATACGTACCCTTTGAAAGTAAGGGATCATGAATGATATTCACACCTCTTAAAGGTGTCAATTGAACAGTTTTATCTTTTCTAGGATCAGTTCCGAGTCCAATGGCTGAAGCAGGAAGACCGTAGTTGCGACGAGCAAGGCTGTAGCCTTGACGCATAGCAGTCGTTAAATTTCTCGATAGTGATCTTGTAGTTAACATGTTTAATAAATAAGGGTTTGATTAAATTAAAATACAAAGGAAAAAAAAGAAGAGAGGAAGACGTAAACATCATGAATTAGGCTTTATATACAAACCTGCTACCCGTGGTAACATTTGTAGCGGCGTTCATAGGTGCTACCCCGCTTTTTCTCGTTAAAAATTGCAATTTTCATCTCGAATCATACATTTAGATGGCTGATTCATCTAGATCCAGCCAAGATGCATCAGATCAGCTATACTATCATGTTTGTTTACTGTTTTTTGTATTCGATTCCAATCAAACCTTGACCATTTCAGAGGATAGATTACTAGATATAGCAATGTGAAATATATGTTTTGTATATTTTGGTTACAAATATTTCAAATTTGCTTTGGGTTGATTGGTGGATGAGTCATTGCGCCTGTCCATCCTATGAAGCCCTTTGTCTGCGTCCACCTACCCCGCTCTGATCAATGAGATACGATAAAAAGAAAATTGAAATGGTTCTAAGAGCTGTCGAGCTACTGTCTACACACTCTTACTTGAAATCCTCTACAGTAATTTCTTGTAAACTAAATTCAGGCACCAGCTTTCAAAATGGGAAATTGACATTTGATCGTCTAATATACATGCTGTTGCACGAATGGTATATAATTTTTTTTTTTAATTGTCCTGTATAAATCTCACGCTTATGTAACAGCATCCTCTACGACTTAAATGTTTTTTGAATTTCTAGACAATGGCCCATTTATATATTGTAATATTCAGGGCGGAGATCACCCTGCAATTTGTAAACATTTGAAGGAACAAACTTACCCCTCACTTTGTCTTGGCAAACAATCATTGTCTGTGCGCAACAAATTATAAATAAACCCCAGAGCTTGCGAGCAGAATTTCCACTTTATCTCTTTTTGTTTTGCAAACAAGATTTGCAGTTTATTTACATAACATGGCCATAATTGACAAGCATCTCCAAATGTGCATAAATCACCCTTCATGACGATTGACATGCGAAACAAGACTGCCAAGAGAGTGATTGGCATGTAAGTATAGGAGAGAAAGATGATATTTATTACATAAAGAGTATTTTATGCACATATCTAAATATGTATATAATTGGGAATAATACAATCAAACAGTACAACTTTAGGAAGGATAACAGGAAAATAAATATAAACATATATGAGAGAGAAAAACACTATACTCGGTCAAGGAGTGGCATTGTGATTGTATGAAAATTATTAAGGAGAGGATATCGATATATGGTACAAACTTGAACTAAGGCTTTGCAATAGCCGGGGTGGATTTCTTCTTATTTGCGCCTCGCCTAGCTGTTAAATCTCGCCAAACAAAGCAAAAGTTTCCTGCTAGTTGCATCTTGGGTTTTCGGCCTCTCTTTTTCTTGGGCATGCTCAATGTTGTGTCCATTGTGGTATTCGTAAACGTATTTTGCCCCTGTTGCTGCATCTCATCCTTTGATTTAGTCGCAGTAGACGATGTTGGCCAATGTAGCACCATGAAATCCTCATCCTTGTCCACCATATGTGATTGCGTTGGCTGTTCATGCTGCTGTGATGCTTGTGGTGAGTGCGCTGAAACTTGGTGCTCGGTCTCCTTTGTTTGCTGCTTCACATCCCATACTGTGGGAGTTACAAATGTCCAACTGTCACGTTGATGAGGCTGTGGGCGAGACGTGTTTGGAGGCCTACCTCTTTTTCGCTTCGCAATGTAAGGCTCCACTGAAGGCGATAGATCCGAGAAAATAGGCGGATCAGATAATCTACGGCTCATGTTTGTGGATGACTGGGAAAAATTAGAGTTGGTGGAATTAGTTGAGGCATTGGAAAGTGATCGACATCGTCTGGTATTCGTAGGAGGAGGTAACAAAAGTCGGTAAGCAGGGTAGGGTGATGTTTGAGGAGACAATTGCGGCGGAGAATCAAGCGATAACGAGCCCATGAATGGAGAAAGAGATGGCGAGGAGCTATTGTCACTCAATGTCGATGAGTACGGTTCTACGGGCTCCAAGAGTGAGCTGGAAGAAGACAATGAAGGTGATGGTAGACAGAGTGTTGGTAAATCGGTGGGATCGTCCTGATGTTGCCGCTGATTGCACTGCAACAGCAAACTGACAGGTGGTAAAGTGCAGGTATTGCTATCCGATGTCACAGCATTGCTGCCATCGTGATTTGATATTGAGGCTGAGCAAACAGGTGATGGTGGATGTAGAAAGAATTCAATCTGTTGCGCCATGTTGTGTGATGATGTAAAAAAGATAAAAAAGAGCAAAAGAAGAAGAGGAAGAGGGGAAAAAAAGATTTAATTTATATTTTTGGCCTTATTTTACCATCTATGGATAATAAAATTAAAAAGAATTCATGGAAACTTCCCTTATTACACCTTCGTATGTAGTCAGTCACACCAGCAATCCATGATTACTACTACATTCTCGCAATTAGAATCATATTACAGACATTTACTCTTTTCTTACGCATCTAGGACCCGCATACGCAAACATTCTGTATACAGAAAATGAGCTCTACCTTGCCGTAACGTGTGACAATGTCTAGAGCGAGACCAGATTATTAAATCAACTCGTTAGATCTACTCTATTCTCGAGTAAAAAGTCGTTTGCACAAATGCTCCCTTCCATGTTAAATCATCCATCACATGTAGAGCAAATCAGCCAACACTTGACCGCTGATCTGGAGCTATTTAGGCAGTATGGCATCCTCTTTCTCGAGCAGATATCTGACCAGACTATCGACATCAAGCCCATCATTGTACTATCGTGTGTCAATAGATATTTTATCCAGTGTTTAGCAGATAATGAGAAAAGCTTGAAAGATGTTGTCGATGAAGCCCGTTTGATCGTGTTTTCCTATTGTTTGAAGGTCCGTAATTTGTCCATATATAGCAAATCCGTCAGTTTTTGTAAAAAAATGAAATGTAATAGATTCGTAATACTAGACAAGATTTGGACGATATTGAAATCTATCATGTATTATATTCAGTTTTAGGTCAATGCGCTCCTTCGAGCACTTTATCTTGGCAAAAAGAGCTCGACATGTCATCGCAGGCAAAGGAAAAGAAAATGTAAAATTGAAATTTGGCTATTCAAAAGAACAAATGTGTCCCTGATGATCCGCTTTTGAAATACAGGTTGCAAGATTGCGATGATCTGATCGAGCATTACATTCGCAATCCTAACGATTACCCAGCAGAGATTTTAGTCGACGATCAAGACCCAGGCAAAACTATAAGGTTAAAATTTGATAGCTATCATCATGCTGTATTTCTTTTAACCTTATTATCGTAGATGTTTACTATTCAACCTCTTGTTTGAGTCTAAAATGAAACCGCTCCAGCTCAAGAATGATAAACATTTTGCAGTAAGGCGTGCAGTTTGAACCTAAAATACATCAAATATTCATACATTGCAGTTTTCTGACGCCTGGGCTCGTCTGTTGAAGCATGCTTCAAATTCACCCGCACATGTAGAATTCAATGTTGTGGTACAACTGACAGAGAAATCACTGTGGGACATTCAAGTAAAGTCTCCCATTTAAATGCTCCAGAATCCTGAAAGTTCTCAAAAATTCCATTTAGGCTGAACATTTACATCTCCCATCGCTGCAAGAGACCGCAATAAACGCCCATCCCGTCGTCTTTTCCAATCAACAAGAGTATGAAACTACATTGCGAGAGTGTCTAAAGTCTTTGCAAGTGGCGCATACCATGTACATTAGCACCATTGTTTACAGCATGATCCAACTAATTCAACATGCCCGTGTATCATATAATGACGACGATCAAGTAAGTCCACTTTAGAATAGCAGCAAAACCTGATCCCTTAACCACCCCCTCCCCTCTCTAGTTCCAGGGCCGCATTAATCAAATGAGCCGAGCTATTTGGTTTGAGCTATACCAATCTTTATTAACCGACGCAGCATTTGAAACGCTCCCCTGCGAAGCATCTCCCATCATAGCCAGACTATTTAAAGTTGCCGCCTGTTACATTCAGTTTAGATTGGCTCTCAATATACCCTATACCGAGTTTCCGATGTCTATCTGGGACCATTATTACTTGCAGAGATCGATATTTCTCAAGTCTACCGGTATCACAGACAACACCTTGTTGATTGAAAAGGTGGTTTTTACTAGTGCAGGTGCATTACTTTGAATAAAAACACTCGTCATCCCCCCCCATTATCACCCCTCTTCGATGCCAAGACAATGCAAAGGAGAGGTTTTCTTTGTAAAACTGTGATCATTTAGGAGCCTCCTTACCAAAGAAAGAGGACATTCTGCCATTAAATAGCTACAAGCATTAGATTACGGTTTATATGCATTGCTTTGCATAAATCATATCAAAATTAAGAAGCTTGATAGTTGCATTGCGCTTCAAACGTTGCAACGATGGAGGCCCATGTCAATAATGCTGGAAACTGCGCTAGTCTTCAGCCATGTGCCGTTTCTGTAACCTGGATTCGCCATGTATTTAACAAAAGTTTATCTGTATAGCTACAAACAAAGACCAAGTGGCTTCCATGCTAATCCTTCTGCAAAGGAACTGGGAACGCACTTCAACAACGTGTTTATTTTTATAAAGGAGCAAAATCTGCACTACTTTTTAGATTCTAGTAGTGTGTTGATTTTCCAATGGTCAAATCAAGTAGAGGCATGTTCAGTTTCGGTAGTCTTTGGATTTTATGCGATTGAGGTATATACCGTCAATCTGGATAGCACTTGTGGTCATGGTTTGATTCTTGGGATCTAGAAACATTCCTAGATTGTTTCTCCAAGAGGCGTTGAACGACCCATAGACATCCTGACCGCGAAGATTTCGACACGAAGATCTGCCTCCATGAAGCTGTCCAATGACGCGATGACTGGCATCAAATAGAGGAGATCCCGAGCTTCCGGGTTCAGTTGTGCCACGAGTCCAGCGCTCCACCTTCCAATGGTCCTTGAGAGGACATTCAGACCAACACGCAGGAATCAAATGACCATCATAAATTGACAACTTCTTGTAATCACCACTGGGATGGTGTATTCCCACAAATGGTGGTGCAGGTGTTTCGACAGTACTCCAGCCAGCTAGATAGACGTTGTATTTGCTAGGAATTGGTTCCTGAACCTCTAATAATGCGAAATCTGATATGGGCGAACCAGCTATATACGTGTGGGTTGAGTACTCAGAGGGATGGACATCACTTCAAAACAAAACTTTACCTAACCATTTCAAACCATGAAGTGTATCCGAATAGGGTGTAAGTCTGTTCTTGCTATATCCATTGCATGTGCGTCTTTGATGATTGAACATGACTATATCGGTTGCAAGATTGGATGATTTGGTACAGTGATAAGCCTATGTGAGCTCTGATTGATAGATGTTTTTAGGATGAGACAGCTTTACGTCCATACTTACTGTGAGTAATAGCTGCCTTCCATCATGCAGCGCATTATTCAATAATACACCAGTGCAATACATTTGGTTCTCATCTGTTAACAACACTGCTACTGATCTAGCTTCATTTGACCAATCTATGCCAGCTACATCACAAGACAAATCAATGTTGCATTTGCCAGAATGCTGATGTCGATTTCTCTTTGAGAATATGCGTTGATATTTGCTGATGTCGTTGCTGTGCGATTCTTGCTGCTGTTGCTGTTGTAAGCTTGATTCTAGAAACGGAACATGTTTATACCCATACACTACTTTACTGATGTGAATTTTCGGCAAATGCTCTACATGAAGCGGAGAGACGTATTCAATCACAAGGTGGTCTCCTTGCAATGGTGAGGTCTTGAATGCGTGCGCATGCTTGCTAGATGATGTAGCTGCTGTGAATGCGCCCAAGACGACCTTGATTGTTGGGTGTTTGAGAAGTCTTGTTATAAATAATCAAATGCAGGAACAAACCTGTTGGCTGTTATAGACATACAGTTCAGCGCCCTCTGGTATCCACCATGTATCAAATATCAAGCTCAATGATAATGCACCAGCACTAGACACTTTGATTTTGCTTCGACGGTGACTCTCGTCAGCGAATTCAAGAGAGATTTCTTCAGCAGGAAATGAGATGGAAACTGGTATGGACTTTGCAAATCGAAATGGTTTACTATCATCAAAAGAATCGACATCTGCAGATGAAGGTGGGGGTATATTATAAGTCTTTATTGAATTGGTGCTGTTGTTTGTATTGATCAGAGGGGGGTATTTGCCAGTAGAGCCCGAATATCCATATATCGGCTGGATGTAACGCAGTAATAGTAGAGCGATAAGTGCATGACTCAAATTCACCATCGTACAATAACTTTGCATTTCCGTAAACGTTTGTCACTTGGCGATAAAAGCGTGTAAGCTGAGGGAGAGATTACAAATCAAAGAGATAACTGTAAAAAAAAAAATCAATCCGGCGTAATACCAAGGCATACCAGCTTGTGCAACAAGCAATGAGCCACATATCCTTCGTCCATAGTGTATGCCTAGAGCAAATCAACGCTTGCTCAAGTCTTGGTATTGGTCTTGGCTTGAAATTTGAAATCTTATATAAGATTCGCGTTGTTCCTTTCTCTTGTGCAAAACGTTATTCTATCAAGTATAAGAAATATATATATATCGTAGCATTCAAAATGGTCAAAATTGCAGTATTCGGTGGTTCCAAGGGCTGTTCTCGTGCAATGGTTTGTCAAGGCCTCGAGAAAGGAGAGCATCAATTCAAGTTGCTGATCAGAAATCCAGATAATGCAGATTACACAGAAGACCAAAAATCCAAGCTGACCATCGTCAAAGGGGATGCACTCGATGCTGAGGCTGTCAAGCAAACTCTACAAGGTACTGGTGTGATTGTCTATTCAATTGGAAGTGCATTTGATTTCAAAAAGATGGACATGGTGAACCCAGGACTATGCCATGATACAATGAGTGTTCTGCTCAAAGTGCTGCAAGACCTGCCCGAAGACGAGCGGCCCAAGCGACTTGTGGTTGTATCTACCACAGGCCTAGACAAGATGAAAGAAGTGCCTTACTTGCTTCAACCGCTTTACCATCTCGTTTTGCATGCTCCTCATCAAGATAAGAAAGAAATGGAGAAATTGGTCGTTGACGAGAATAAATCTGTGCCAGATTGGATCATTGTGCGTCCTTCGCTGCTAACTGACGGTGCTCTCAAGGGTAAATACAGGGCTGATGTGGGTATCAGTGGTTATACTATTTCTCGGGAAGACGTGGGACACTTTCTCCTCAATCAATGCATTGTGCCTACCATATGGATTCAAAAGAAAGTGGTTGTTACATATTAAACCCAATCAATAAAGTTTATGAAATTCTTGGTAAATGCAAAGCTTGAGATGATTGATACACAGTAATATGAGAGATCACTAACTGGTCAATCTCGCTACGCTCGATGACGGCGTCGCCCTGCGAGCTCTCGCCGAAGACATTTCAAATCAGAGATAATAAAAATTTGGCATATCAAGTAGATTTTAAACAACCAATTAATAGTAAAAAAAAAAAAAAGTGTTATCCATTCGCTGATGTTGCTCTTGAGATGGCAGCATAAAGCTGGTCATAAGTAAATACAGGACTTGCGTAAGATCTACAGCGACTTTTTTGAGACATTGTCATTACAAAAGACACCTTTATTATAGGGAAAAATTCCCAAGAAAAGGAAATTATTTGGGCTAAGCAATTGTAGTTGCAACTCTATGATCCCCACATGACCAGTATCGCAGCCATCATTGTTATCATCATTGTCATTATCAGAAAGGAATTTAGGTCAGCCTGCAACAGTGCCACCCGCTAAAATCAGTTGAAACTCAGCTTATTTTTTCTGTTCAAGATTGGAGAGATTTTGTCATTTTTCGACTTCTTTAATTTGTTTTTTTTGATATTCGACTATATAAACTGTGATGATCACCCTACGCTTCCTAATACATTCTTGAAGTACTTTTCAAGGCGCTTCCAATGGTGCTAACTGTAATAAGTGTTTTGACTGAAATTACTGAACAATTTGGCAAAATATAAAATAAGGTTTTTAGCGAAAATAGCCAGATTTTGTATATGAAAGCCTCATAAAAGTAGTTTCAGAGATTGCTTTGGATCGAAAGAAACATTTTGATTCAATATATGCCATAGCAAAAGTCTTCGTTTTCAAGGTCAAAAATGCGATCGTTTGATTTTTGTCAAAAACCATGAGGTACCCCTCATGCTTTTTTGTCGATTTTTGGCCATGTTTTTTTTTGGTCCCAAAAATTTGAGCAAAGGGGTCAGGATGTTACTACTACTCAAGCACAATTGTTTGTTCATTATTCCGAAGGCTCAGAAAGGTCTATATGTCAAGATATGAAGGATTGAAAGCTGTCAAATTTGGTTATGTATTGCTCTATAGGGCTTATTTACACGGCATAAATCACATCTTTGGTAGCTGAAACCTTCTGGAAGAGTAGTTCTACCGCCTGTGCAATTTCTAATTTGAATAGAAGGCATATTGATTTCGGTAAAGCTAATTCATGCACATTTTGATGCGTTATGTTGCTGGTAAGCTTATTAACAATGGAAATGAAAACCCGAATTTGCTGCTTGAATACTATGGTTTTGCATTTTTGCCTTGTTATGGTAGAACCCTCTCATAGATCAATGTTACCAAATGTTGAGTTAGATGCAATCTCGTATATATAATGATGAGCTGGACGGGCCTTGCGATGTGGAATGCTTGTGTCTTCCAAAAGGGGACACACTTACACGCTATTTTTCGCTCAGTAGGTTTTATTGCATAATCTCAATCTAAACACTGAAAATGATCCACACACATCAGCTCATCTGGATTGATGCTGCCAATGTTTATAATATGAAAGCTTCTGCAAGTCCCAATCTATTTGCGTAAATGCAACAAGGTTTTTTTTCTATCGTAATTTGTCTATCTTTGAATGCAAACATTTGCATAGATTTAACCAGAGGTTGCCCACTGTTTCGATGTATTATAAAATGTAAACAACATGACCACAGCACCAAATCCTATCAGGACCATATCAATCACACGCTTTGATCCTCTCGTAGTAGGTAACGCCAAATGGAACAATGGAGGGAAAATCAAACTCAAGGGGCCTATCAACAAACTGTTTAATTACATTATCAGCAATTTCATCAAGTCAGCACTTACAGCAACAGACAGATCCAATCAAACTGATAAACTTGTCCAAATCATTGGCGCCAGCCCAAGCAATTAGAGTACCCGAAATAACAATGGAAGCACGCAGTGTGTTCTTTTGCCATTTGATATACAAATTGTGTTTACCTGTGCGATCGCCAAACAATGCCTGTTCAATAATACGGATAGTGGGAAACAGCGTCAATGCGTTGGACAAGAGCACAGCCACGGCGTAGCCTAATTGTACTGAATTAGGGAGAATTCCAGCCGGTAAATTCAACAATGCGACCGTCTTGACGTTTTCACCAAAGGCAAGATAGCCTAGCGTACCCACTGAACACAGTGTGGAGGCAACGAGCACCATTACAAATGTGAGGACTGCAGGAAATTTCTCGGGTTTTTCCATAGAATCACGGATTGGGATGATGAGGCCTAATGAGACAGTTAGATTCTTGGTATACTTTCTCACATGCGTTGACATAATACGAACCAATGCCTTCGAATGAATAGACAGCTGTGCCAATGAATACGGAATAATTGGCTGAATTGAACAGCCAATGGATGCCAGGACCTGATTTAGGTGATGTGATGCCATGCTCGAAAATTTCGATAAAATCAAATACCAGCAAGCAAATCAAACCTCCAACGATCAAAACGTCAGATAAAAGCGCGGTGGGTGATAATTTAGCTATGTTTCGAATCAACACCAAGGGCATCAACAGGATGGCCAGCATCACAAACACAGCAGCAGCATTCAGGTGGATTGTATCGCCACTAAGAGCTCGCACTGCTTCAGTGACATTTTGCACAATGAAGATGGTGCCACCGCACATGAATCCCATCTATACAATGCAACATCTTTAACAACGGTTCCAAATGACATCTGCCTCTTGCACTTACCTGTGAGATAGCAATCGAGAACAACACAATGGATCTCATCCAAGAGCCGTACAGCTGGCCACCCATATCACCATAACTACCCGTCAGATGTTGTTTGCAATCCAACAACAGCAGGAAGCAATAAAGCGAGATACCGCCCATCAGCCACATGGTGAAGATTGAAAACACAAGACCGCCATTGGAGAAGGCCTTGGGCAAGAACAGAATACCGCTGCCTATGAAAGCCTTGAACAGCAGGAATACAGTTTTTGTAATGTTAGCCTTGTGTTCAGATTTCTTTTGGTGTTTAGTAGAATGACGTCGCTTTCTCTTGTTGGGTAGCAACGCCGTTTGTTCCGAAAACTGTTGCTCTTCATCGTGGACCACCAGTTGAGAGTCATCTTCTTCTGAATCAGACAAATCTTCACCAGCAAACTGATTAATGACTGATGTGATTGCCAAGTATTCCAAGAAATGACGGGTCACGGGCTGTGGTGGATGTTGTGATGTACCTGCCGTATCGATTTGGTATAAACCTGTGGTATAATCTTGACGTGATTCTGCTGAGCACATAGAATCAGGGCGGAAGAGCTCTTGAAATGCAGGATTGTTGCTGATATCTTGATCGTTGGGTTGAACTGCTAGTTTATGCTGTTGGTGGATGTGGAATCGACGAAATCCACCTGGTTTATCAAGGTTCTCAAATTCTTCGGAGGAATCATGTTCGCTGCCACCTCCATGGACACTTGTATTTGTACTGCCCGCCTCATCGTCGTGGATAAGTCTACCAGCTTTCTGTTTCAAATCACTGAATGATTTAGAACGAGGTAAGGAATGCGCTGCCATTACAATGCTATTAGCATGCGTGTAGATATCGTGTGTAATTGCAGCTCCTGGTAAGTGGTAGGGCACAGGCACCTCGGCATCAATGGGTGGAGAGGTATTGTTATTGGAATCCTCAGCAGTAGCAGTAGCAACAGTGGTGCTATCAGCATGAGAGCTACTGTTGTGATTAGACGAATCGTCGCTGCTTATAGTACTGGAATCATGTACCAAATGCTGCTGCACTAGATTGACAATGGTCTTGTCTGTTATGTCTATATTAATATTATTATTATGGGTCATTCAAATAAAAAAAGTGAAGCAGGTTGTTTAGACAATAACAGCACTGTTTTTATACCCACCAAATTCTTAATACACTCTATGCCTTAAATGGATGCATCTCTATGCTGAAACGTCCGCAATGATACGTCATAAAAGTAATAAGAAAAACTATCGAAGTTGTTCGCCCTAGATATACCTTGCATGCACCATCATACCGCCATGTCAATGTGTATGGACTCTTCAATAACGTCTTGAACAAAGAAGGAGGTTTGACCCAGCTCCCTGCTTTCGATCATTACATCATTAGTCAAATCGAAAGGAATATTGTGTATTCTGATTGATTGTGATACCGAAATTGAACCTTTATTATTACTAAATTGCTCTTGTACAACTTTCTGCCATTAAGCTTTCTGTGTTTATGATGGGTTTTAACCTAAGCAATATATATATATGTTGTTCCCCGAGTTGAGGTACTCGAGTTTGGAGAATCCATCAATACATGCAAAAGCATCTCTGGAGATGATAAAGATCTAATCTTCTTTTTCTTATGCTTATTTCTTTGTCAGTGACATCTTTGCTTGCATTTCGATCAAAATTTTGCGTTTCATGTTTGATCTGTGGTATCATTTGCTTTGATTTCTCTGTCAGATGTATCACATTTGCGATTAGATCAAAAGAAACTGGTTGCTATGGCAAAATGACAATTCAGGGGTAAATCTAGATTCAATTCCAGCTGTTTACATGGCAACCGATCCAGGGGTAAGCCTTTTTTGCATAGAAACAAGACGTTAGACATAAATGCAACATTTAACAAAGAGTTGGCAGTGTTTTTTATGCAATCTAAAGGTGTTTATGACCCCAAATTGGCCTTGACATTTGAATAGATCTCCGGGTCCATTGTGACTACCTTGGATTTGACCCCAGGGCGATGTCCACCACATCTTTCAAATGAGAAGCAAGCCATCGTCTCTTATTTACAAAATCATTTAATTCAATATGCCCTTGCCCTTTGGCTTGAAAGCCCCTTCGAAAGGAACACTTATCTTTAGTGGCGTTGCTGGAGCAATCAGTGGCATCGTCTATACAAGTAACAAAAACGCCGAAGATGCTAGACGTCGACTTGCACAAAGAGTGTCATTCCTTGCTGACAGACCTTGCGGTGTTCATGTAAGTTTTTTGAAACTGACTCAAGTGCTGAGCAGATCGATTGATTCTCTGCTACAGGAAATGCCTAGAAAAGTGCTTGTATATATATCTGCACCACCTGGTGATGGTCTTGAGAAGAGCAGAAATTGGTTCCGTGAATATGTCAAGGTAAGCATTTCGCATGTCGAATTTTTTTTACAGGATGCTGATGTAGATTGAAATCCATTAGCCAATTCTTGTTGCAGGCGCTATAGACTATGAAATCAAAGAAGCTAGATCAGCAGGACAGATTGAGAATTCCGTTATTGAAGAAGTTGTAAAGCTTAGACGTGAGACAGAAGAGGCATCGAAATCAACTGAGGAAAATCAAGAAAAAACAGACAATGTAGAAATGATTGGACATAGTAACAACCCTTTCACGTCTCCTCAAATGAACGACATGTTGAAGAACAAGGCTGCCAATAAATCTGAATATGATGGCATCTTGGCCATTGGTAGAAATGCATATCGTGAGGTGCTCAGTGGATTATCGAAAGGATGTGATGCCAGCCTTACTGTTGTCCTAGAGGAGGAGAAGGCTCCTGAGAAGGTTACAGAGGAAGCCGCTAATCAACCCAAAGACGACAACGAGGCACAGAACCAACAGCCTGAACAGATCGAAGCCGCTCCAGCGACACTGGAAGAGCAACCCACCGAGACAGAAGGAAATGCTGGCATGGAATTACAACCAAAGGAAGAAGAGAGCTACTTTTCATTGCCATCAAAATTCTCTCCAGTGATGTATGTGCCTCATGTTAACATTATTGGTTGGTCTAATATCCCTTACCGACTCTGGATGTGGTATTTCGATAACAAACGCATCGATGAAGTTGGAAAATATGTGGTAGCAGCAGTTTTAAACAACACTCGACCTATTGAAGAAAGAGATGTCGATTTAGGTCAGCAGGAGAAGAAGTATTGGATTGGCGATGAGGAAGTCGAAGAATTGAAAAAGAACGATGGCCCTATTGTGATTGATGAAAGAATCATGGATAAGCTTAGTACTTATACCAGTGAAGATCTACCTTGAACTTAATAAAATGTACCATTACTACTACCATGATTTAGCCGGAGTTGAGTTTTCCATGGCTGCTCAACAACTATCCCTTACAAAATGTCTCTCGATATTTTTTTTCCTTCTTCTTCTCGTTTTCATTACTTTTTTTTTTTCAATCCCAAGTATGGCTCGTGGTGCTCAAAAGGAACAATCCAGGTAAGAAAAGAATATACTCAAGTGGTTTGTATTTGGGGGAGCATTTATTGACAAGATCATATAAAGACAAAAGGCCCAAAAGGAAGCTGCCAAGCGTGCAGGTAAGGGTTCTCAACTTGGCGCTCGTGCCGCTGGTCTTCAAGTATGTAGAATGCAAAAAGGGATGTATAGTGTATGTGATTAATTGGTTGTGCACTCGTAGATCAAGTGCCCCAAATGCTTCATTGCTCTTGCCAATTACAACCTTTTGAAGCAACATATGGAGGTAAAAATCGAGATTATGACAGACTTCAATATGCATTACATCTAAACTATATGACAGGCCAAGCATCCCAAGGAACCTATTCCTTCTGAGAGCGACTTTGCTGCCAAATAATCTGTTTGGCCATTAGCAACGAACTTCTCAACTGTACATCCTCTCAACGCACATTACTATCAGCAATATCACTTAGAGATGTCACTGTCTGTTTTGTCGAATTGGATGTGGTTGAAAAGCTCTCATACCACCATCACTATACTAAACATTGTCTAATTTTCCATGAAGGTTTTCTCTTTTACCTTTCTCTCATCATCTAATACACCGTGCCTATCATAATATAATAAATTTATTGTCCGTAGACACTTTCAAAGCCTCAAACAGGAAAGAAATTAAGTTTACAACTATTTCGATAGACTGGCGTTATAAATAAAAGACTTTAAAAGAAAATGGTATCATCAGCGATCGTACTATTAATTCGCTACTTACTTTCCATTAGTTTCAAGAGCATCATGATTAGAGGGGCATTGAGTTTGCCAGCCGGCCCCATCAGCCAAAATTAATTCAAACCCAGAATTATAGTCTGTTCCAGATTGGACAAATTTTGATGGTTTTCGACTCGATTGATCTATTTTAACAGATTCGACTAAAAAATATGATGATCACCCCATACCTCCTTAAGCTTCTTTGGAGTACTTTTCAAGGCGCATCCAATGGTACCAAGTAAGGTAGGTGTTTTGAATAAACTTATTGAATAATTTACGAAAATATGAAAAGAGGTTTCTGGCCAAAAAGTCGAAATTTTACATATCAGAGTCCCACAAAGATGGTTTCAGAGTGTTGAGTCTGTAGCGGTTGTGGACATTCAGTAACTCAGCAAGAGTCGGATCATGATTTACATGGTTTCTCACTGTCTACGTTAGGACATTAGGTTCGACACAGAAGTGAATCATATAATCTATTATGATGGTCTCTGATAGCGAAGGATAATGATGGCTACAGATCGTATCATTATGGCTGGTCGAACGAATCGGATCCTTCAATTGACTGATATTAGATAAACATGATACGATGTATTAACTCAGTTGAAACAACAAGATAGATTGATGATTCATCAGTAATGATCTCTTATAAATAGGATGTGTTTGAATCTTTAGTTTTCGTATCTGGTTACTTTTTATAGTCTTCCTTTTTTGAAATCTATCTTAATTTGTTAATACTGTATCTTTGGATACAACACAGAGGCTACGTTGGATCGATAGAAATATTTTGATTCAAGATATACCATAGTAAAAGTCTTCATTATCAAGGTCAAAAACGCGATCGTTTGATTTTCGATGAAAACCATGAGGGGTACCTCATGCTTTTTGGTCGAATTTTGGCCATGTTTTTTGGGTCCTCAAAAAGTTGAGCAACGGTGTCAGGAAGTTACTACTACTCGAGTACAATTGTCTGGTGCTATTCTGACCATCTAAAATGGCCTTGAACGCGAGAAAACAAGGCTCAAATACACTCATATTTTGCTGTATCAGGGACACTAAAGAAGAAAAAGGGGGAAATACCAGTATGTTGCTTGCCCGTATATGAAGTAGCTACGTGTATATGGATGTAGAGCATCACATAAAAATCAGATCCACAGATAATATGAAGGGTTTTCATGTGTAAGTGGAGGGTCAAAATGGAAGTAACAGTATTTTGACAAGATACTACGCAAGGGCAATTGGTAGCACGAGCTACCACTACGCAAGTTGGTTCTCACCGAAGCATAAACATTCATATTATATAATTATAGCACAAAAAGACAACGAATACATATTTACTGTAGGCCTATTTCCTTCTTGTAAGCCCTACAGAGATCATTTGAAATCAGACACTCTCGATTCTGCGCCTTCATTTTAGGCCTGCAATTTGGTGCAATCACGAGCTGAGATGAAGGCTCTACTACCCCTCTCAACATCGTACGACAACAACAGCCAGTAAATCACAAAAATTTGAATGGTTACGGGCGTTGAATCCCTTTTTTCCAATTTTTTTCCACTACATATTGACTGATCGAAATATGCTTTGTTGCGTAGCTAATGAAACATGTACCTTTTGCAACGTCAAAACGGCTGTTGGCGCCAGAATAGTAACAGAGGTAATTTGACTCATTTGTTAATACACCATAGATCAACGCAAATGACACATTTACATGATAGACAGATGATTTGGTTGCCTTCAAGGATCGTTCTCCATCAGCACAGGTTCATTTGCTGATCATACCCAAAAATCACATTAGAACAGTGAAAAATTTAGATGGAGGCGATGTTGTGTTGTGTAAGATCACTATGATTTAAAATCGAAACATGCATTCATAGTTTGAAACAGTAGAGAAAATGATCGTCTTGGGTAAAGAGCTCCTCAGACAACAGGGATTTAATCCAGATGATACCACGCAAGTGAGGCAAGTAGGTGATATCAGGCAATCTATGAATAGGCTAACATGGTGACGATAGGCTTGGGTTCCATGTGCCTCCTTTCAATTCGGTCAACCATTTGCACATGCATGTGATAGGGTTGCCATTCAAAAACAAGTACAGAAGTTTTAAATATAGGCAAGGCTATCCTTGGTACGCAGATGCGAAGAAAGTGCTTTATCGCCTCAGCGAAGGAATGTCTCCCATATAAGAATTCTGTATATGATATCATTGCTTCACCATATGCCGCCCTGTTTTTGTTTAAACGCACACAGATCGGAGTCCCATGTTTTCTGCTATTTATGCCATGTTATGGAATTGAATGCTGTAGGATTTTTTTGTCAAGGCACACAGCACTATAAAAACCTAAATCCAAATTTGATTAATTTAGACTCTTTTTTTTTTTTCTTATTTATCTGCAACAATAGATTGATTCTTTTTGTTGTTCTTCTTTTACTTACTCCTACCATTTTGTGAAATGTCTGTTTTTCATCAACTCAAAAACATATTTCGCAACTCTAGCAAATTCTCGCTTGGCAGCAGCGAAGCCAAAGTGCATAGAAAAGAAGCAGTTGAGCGTATAGTCAAAGAAGAGAGCATTGCAAAATCAAAGCTGCCTGAATATGAAGGACTGCAAGGTCAATATGATCTGATCAAGAAACTAGGAGAGTATGTAGCATTTCACTATTGCTCCATGTAATTTGCATTATTAAACATTATGATAGGGGCGCTTTTTCTAATGTGTATGAAGCAGTTGACAAAAAGACGGGCCAGCATGTTGCAATAAAAATAGTTAGAAAGTTTGAATTGAGTCAAATTCAGGTAATTATAATCAGAAAATCACGGGTTCTACCTGCCCCTTTGCTTCTCCTCTTTGTTAGTTTTGTATAACATTAAAATCTTTTTTTAAATGCATAGAAAGCAAGTGTCCTGAAAGAGGTGCAAATCATGCGCACACTGAACCATCCTTCCATAATCAAAATGCTAGAATTTATAGAGACCAAAGATGTAAGTATCACCCAAGTGACACTGAGGTGGTATGCTAATTCTGGGTATAGTATTTTTTCCTAGTGTTGGAGCTAATGAATGGCGGTGAGATATTCCATCAAATTGTTCAATTGACTTATTTCAGCGAGGATCTCGCTCGGCATTGTATCAAGCAAGTGGCAGAAGGTATCCGCTATCTCCACGAGGAAAGGGGCGTTGTCCACAGAGATATCAAACCTGAAAACATTCTGTTTGAATCGATCCCATTTATGGAAAGAAAAACCAGCCCTTTACCTACACAGCCCGAGGATGATGATGAGCCCAAGGAGGATGAGGGTGAGTTTGTTCCCGGGTTAGGCGGCGGTGGTATCGGTCGAGTGAAGATTGCAGATTTTGGACTATCCAAGGTGGTATGGGATAAACAGACAATGACTCCATGTGGCACTGTGGGCTATACTGCACCGGAAATTGTGAATGATATGAGGTCTGTATCATACTTTCATTTAAAGAAAAAGCATACGATTAACAGGTATTACAGATATTCCAAATCGGTTGACATGTGGGCTCTTGGTTGCGTACTGTACACAATGCTCTGCGGGTTCCCTCCGTTCTATGACGAAAGTATCGCCACTCTAACCCAAAAAGTTGCCAAGGGACAATATACCTTTTTGAGCCCCTGGTGGGATCATATTTCAGTGGGTGCTAAGCATTTGATACATCATTTGTTGGAAATTAACCCAAAGAAGCGGTATACCATTGACCAGTTTTTGGCGCATCCTTGGATGCATCGACAGGTAACAATGCAAGTGCAATCTATATACCCAAGTGTAGTACCGACACATACATACATTCTCAATAGGATACGCCAATCGCCACACCTCCAACAGCGTCCAAACCAACAACAGCAACACAAACACAAACAACGGATGATACAGCACCCAAAGAAGAAGAAAAGCAAGAGACGCAAACAACACCACCACCTCAACAGCACTCTCCCGATTTACTGGCACCACCATCCACGACAACATCTGTTGCTACCGAGAATATCTCTATTAAACCATCATCGCCAAAGGATATACCTCGGTCCTCCAAGCGAAAGGACATATTCTTGTCTGGCATTGCGTCTATGAAGGAAGTGTTTGATGTGTCGTATGCAGTGCATAGAATGGGCGAGGAAAGAGCACAACGAAAAGAGCACAAGAAAATGATGCAGCAGCAGCCAGGGCACCTTAGGATGCAAGCGTTTAATGCACCTCTCGTTGTTTCAGAGGAGGATGACAATGACGACGAGGATATTATGGCAAAGAGAGAACAAGATGATGAAGATGAAGATAGCTCATTGGACAACAACAGCAGCAGCTCCTCCTCCTCCCCAGAGAACGCTGATCAGCATCCACGCCGAGTAGATGGACTATGCAGCACACAGGATTCGCAGCTGGCCATTCTAAATGGCAGTGCTGGTAAAACCAAGAGTCAGAACAACGCCCTGATCAAGAAATTAGCCAACAACAAGTGGGTGGATTCTCCTCCCACGGTGAATCAGAGAGTAAAGCAATCATTCAATTTGGACATGAATAATGCCACACTGTTGGGTAGACGAAAAAATGTACCAATTTTGCATCAAAGATAGTTATTACACAAATAAATTCGTACCATTCCACTACGTGTTCTCACCTGATCCAACTAAACCATAACTTTAATGTGTTCCTTTTACTAGAAAAAACAGATCATCCTATATGTATATGATGAAACATTTGATCAGGCATACGAAATTTATGCTAAACGAAAAAAAAAATCCCTCTTTTGTTTGTGTATGTACAACGCTTCTTGTGTACACTTTTACATATTCTTTTAAAAAAAAGAATGACACAAAGAGAGATATAAATATATTTTTATACAAATAGAAGCAAAAAAAAAAAAAAAATACAAGGCAGTAGGTGTATCTTTAATAAATTGATTCCACTTAATGTATCATTCGTATCGGCTGGCAGATCAGTGGAAAGGTCTTGCAGAATCAATTGCATTGATGCTTCCTTTGATAGCCAACATGTCCTCTTGATGTAGAGCCAAGGGCACTGTTGGTGGCCCTGGACAATGAAACTCGTGGTGGTAGGTAATGCACACAACCCTTTGATTGATAAAAAGGCTTTTGTATGAATAAAGGATCGGTAGGAATAGGTAGAGAAAATAGTATCCAAGCAGAGTATTAGGCACTATCAAAACGTCAGTAGGAGCTCTTTTGTTGCTACATGGATAAGGAGCGCTTTTTATTGATGTGTAATATATACAACCCTTTCCTTTTCAGCTGGTTTGAATTGCAAACATAGTGTAATTTTTGCTTTTTTCGTCAAAATTATACATATTTTTGAGAGGGGTCTGTATATATTACACCCATTGAAAGGCTTCATCCAAGCTTGTAGAGAATCAGACATTTATTCAAGAAAGATATACCGCTTAAAATAATGATTCATTTGTCGATTGTGTTTGTATGTATCATTACAGCGAGTTTATATTTGTACAAAGAAGAGGGGTAACATGGAATGGCAAAGCGGTATAATTAATAAAACAAGTTACCAAAGGGCTTGTTTGGACACGTTATCACGTCGTTGCTACCAGGGTATGTTGTATTAATATAATGACACATTTTCTTGGAATTTAATGCTTACTTTTTGTGCATGATCAGTTGAGATTTGAGGTATAAAGTCTCTTCCTTGAGCTGCTCCAGCATTTGCCTGAGATACTCATTCTCACGCGTCATTTTCTCTGCCTTGTGAGCCAATTCATCAATCCATTCCTTCTTTCTCTGTCTACATTTGGACGCTAAATGACAAAATGAGTCAAATGCATGAACATACTCTTTCTTTGCCATACCAGCTAGTCGATTTCTTTCGAGGCTTCTCTGTCGAGATTCTGCCTCAGATTCAGAATCCTCGGATACAGTGTTGGCAGATGATTGGCGGCGTGCTTTCTTTGGTGTCACTTTCTTTGATCGCTTTACTGACGGCTCCTTGTCATTCATCTCTGGAAATGATGCTGATGAGGAGCATGAGGTACTGGATAATGGGGATGATGAAAGCACTTCATCCTCTGTCTTTCTTTTTTTGTTGCTGCTACTGGTGCTGTTCGGCTGCCCTGCTGGCATTTGTCTGTTACTACTCATAGGTTGTAGGTGATATCCGTAATCGTAGTTTGTAAATATAGATTGCATTGGAGGTGGTGGGGGAGAGCTAGGATATGATAAGCCAGGCTGCAATGGGTTCAGCATTTGACAGGAGGCGTATGGAGTGTAAGTATTGCTATAAGGGTTGTACATTTCGATATAAAAGTAAAAGATGAGCACTGATCACCCTAAATCTCGAGCATTTATACATAAGCTCTTCCTCGTTAAAGCACCGCCATCCACAACGCATGGAGTGCTGTTTCACTCACATTGTTATTCATGTGGAAAGCTCTTTTTAAGTATAAAAGGAAACTAGCTGATGAATGCAAATAACAAATCCCTTTCAACGATTCGCTCACAGGTACAGCGCTTGTACACAAAGCCATCCTGGAGGCGGAATGATGATGGGGTTTGATTGATTGACTGGTTGTACCATGTTCTGTTGACATACGGTACATTGCATACGATGTCGATCTATAAATATCATCATACAGCGGGCATCTGTTCGCATTGCTCACCTAAAATGGGACCTTTCAGCCAACACCGACATCTTTCGCTTCCAGCATTGTTTGTTTTCTCATTTCCAAAAGCTAATGGATCCCTTATGTTTACGCCGTCTTTTTGAAAGTCTGTACCATAGCCCAAGCTTTTTATTATGCATCCAGTGTTTTCAATTGCCCGTTTATGATGAAAAAATGCAATTTTTGGCTCAATGCTTACTAAACGCATCTCTGTTCTCTCTTAATTTTATCAATGCTCCACGCAACATGAACATTTGTAGCGCAAAATTATCGTGGTTGAAAGGCATCGTAACGATACTCTTCAATCGCGCTATGGAGATGAAAACAAGGGCGTATCTCACATTCCTATTGCATTGTGCTGAGCTGATCGTTGCTATTCTACAAACTCATTGACAAGTTCAGTTCTGCAAAATTCAACTTCTACAGCTGATCGTTATATTTCATGCAAAATATCGCTTTCCTCAACCATGTAAGTCAAATGTGCATTCAAACTTGAGATATAGATATTTAATTCTGTACAAAAATGTCTGCGATTGCAACTGAAGCAAATCATAGGTTTATCGACGCTCTATGTAAACCTTCATGCCTTCCTTCATAGGCAAAGTTAAAGAGACTTGATATGTGATGTTTTGACCAGAAACCAATTTGAATTTGTATCGCTTTACAAGGAAGGCCATAGCAACAAGAGCTTCCAAAGTGGCCAGGTTTTGGCCAAGGCAAACACGGGGTCCAGCGTGGAATGCAGGCCATTGTCCCTGAGATTCACGACGAAGATCGCCTTCTGTAGTAATCCATCTTTCAGGTTTGAATTCTCTTGCGTCAGGGCCCCACACTTTTGTACACCTTCCTTGAGCATAGGGACCTATTCCGTGTGTGTCAATATCATCATTTGAAGCGCATGAATGTCTACACTTACACCACATTACATAGTCTCCCTTGCGAATATGAGTTCCATCGGGCCAAACGTCGTCGTTGAGTGCATACTTTTGATTGTTAGGTACGGAGGGATATAAACGCAATACCTCATAGAATCTACGTAATCAGTATTGCATTAGAAGCTGCCCAATAGACTGATAACAGCAACTATATACTCACACAGCATGGGCATATGTCATATTTTTAATGGCCTCATACAATGCAACAGGATCATTAGCTACATCGTCAGTAATATTCTCGACAACCTCCTTCAGAAGCTTTGATTCTACGCGAGGATGGAGCAGTAACATGTAGAATGTCCAAGACAGTGCTTGAGCTGTGGTATCTCGACCGGCTATGACAAAGTTCAGTACAATATCTCTTAGTTCCTTGTTGTTCAATAATTCATCATGCTCGTTGCGCGCATCCATAAATCTTGACAGCAGATCACGGTGGTGGGTCTCGCCGTCAGCCAGCTGCTTTCTGCGTCCCTCGATGACTTGATTGGCGAATCCATCAACAGTCTCTAGATGCTGACTGATACTCTTCTTCCAAGGCTGAAGCAAGGTAGCAATAGGCTCTGTTACTCTCCAAAGTGGGTTGATAAAACGTTGGAAACTATTCAATTGACATTCATCGAATGAAGCAGCGAAAGGAACCTTTTCTTGGCTGTCCAGGGCATGCAGTTGAACGCCAAATCCAAGCCTGATTTTGGGATGAGTTAGTTCTGCATGGTATATAAGAAGCATTGCCTACTCACAGAATAAAGGAATCCAATGTGAACTTGAACATGAGGTCGTGGAAATCAATGACTTGATTGGACACTGCTGCTTTATCTAAAACGCCCTTAAACATGACATCGATCTCCTTGACAAAGACCCTGTTAATATTCATTAGTTGGGAATTTATGCAATGCCCAGCATGATCTGCATAAAACTGACTCTGTAAATAGATCTCTAAAGTTCTTAATGTTGAATATATAGCTTGCCGTCTTTCTTTGGTACTTCCATTGTTCGCCGTTTGCATTGAAGATACCGTGGCCAAATAGATCGCCTGTGGCAGCATTCAATTGTGGGCCCTTTGCATAATTTTCAAAGTTATCTAGTTAATAATGATTATAAGCAGTTAGTTGGTTGCCCTGCAGCATCTTGTTTCTAACGCTCTGTTACTTTTCAATATGTGCTCAACATTGCGAGGATCTACTGTTGCAATGGCACGAGGCATGCCTAATGCTGAAGCTGTACTGTATATATGCAATAACGTGAGATGGTTGATCTTTAGATGGCCATCATGCAAACATACGTTGTAAGAGTATCCATGGCGACGAACCCACTGAGCAGAAATTCGTGCATGTTCTCTGCATTGCTTACAATCTGAGGTAAACTGCCCACAATCGGCCAGCCCTTCTTATGAGAGATGCCTTCTCTGTGCTCATCAAACAAAGCTCGATCTGGATACTTTACGGCTAATGCTGTGAGAATGGCTGCTGATACACCCAGTGTACGAGAAAAGAAGTTATCAGTGATTAAATTGGACATTGCTTGTATAAAGGGGAGAGAAAAGAAAAAAAGAAAGAAACTAGGAAATCAAGTGAGTGTATTTATACATTTTCTTTTAGGCTTGCAGGGTTACACGTACTGTACATTAAGCAGCCAGATGCTTCATCCGTGTTGGTGTACATGGCTCACTAAACTGTATAGAGATATGCTATGCCTGTATACACATGCTCTTACTAAATATGCGCAATATCCGGTCTCTCATGTAGGGCGCACGTATGCCAACGCTACCACCTTGAACCAGCGTGTCCATTCGATTCAATGTCTTTGCTATGAAAGCCAATTGTGAAATATTAATTCGTCTATAAGGGTAATATAAAATCTTATATACCAGAAAAAACCGTTTCTGGAAGTAGATTTCAGGCACTTGACTAAGGTTCAACGTCCAAATATAGCAAAATACAACATCTAGCGTTCACTGTGGGGAGGTGTTACACTTGGATTTTCTGCTATACGATCACATTGGCAGCTCTTCCATTTATCAAATCCAGTTATCCCGTCAAGTAGGCTCTACATTGAGCCACCATCACATGTCAATATGATTGTGCCATCATCTGCAGTGAAATTCTCGCTTGTGCAATGGATTCGGATAGGCAATTAGATCCTGATTCAGGATTTTGGAGTTGCTAATCTGATATCTTCCATAACTATAGTTGGTGCTTATTATCAAAGCACTGCCTGATAAAGGAGCGGCTTAATAGGAGTTGCACCATTAGATGAAGTCGATGAATAACAAAACCAACACCTATCAGTCTAAACGAGGTCGCATACTATACAGTGCGTATATGAATACAAAGTTACACATGTAAAACTCCAATCATTTCAAATGTCGATCAGCACGAAAGATGTGATTTATTTTCTATTAATTTGCAGCCAAGGCCTTTTGTAACATGTCAAGAACAATGACATTCTCATCTTCTGTGCCAACAGTAATTCTCAGACAACCTTCACAGCCATACTCCATACCTCTGAAGCGAACTACAACACCAAGCTTCTCGGCCATCATGCTGTAGACCTTTTGTGCACGATCATTAGAAGGCTTCTTGCTGTTTGCATCCAAAATTTCGACCAACACAAAGTTGGAATCATTGCCACCCAGAATACGACCAGTGCCATCAATTTGAGGCAATTTTTCAATCAAAACACCACGTTGATCAATCAAACGCTTGCGGTAATCATACATTTTAGCTAAACCAGCATCTGAAAGAGCTTCAGCAGCCACTAAAGCGCTAGGTGTACCAATGTTGTAAGGAGCCTTGGTGTTGTTGAGAATTTGAATGACATCGGGATGTCCAACAGCGATACCAACACGGATACCAGCCAAGCCGAAACTCTTACTCAAAGTTTGCATTACCACTAAATTGGGATATTGCTCAACCCAAGTAGCCACTGAACCTTCTTCATGATCCACGAAATCGACATAAGCTTCGTCCACAACCACCAAACCCTTGAAATCGGATTCCAAAACTGCACGGATGCTCTTGTGGCCAAGACAAGTGCCTGTAGGATTGCCAGGAGAACATAAGAACACAATCTTGGTCTCGGGATTTGATTTCAAGGTGTCAAAAAGCTTTTTTTTTTTTTTTTTTTTTGATGATGATGATGATGGGTTAGTCATAATTACTACGAGAAAGCAAAGAGGGCCAGCTTACATTATCTAAATCCAATTGATAGGCACCATTTTCAACATTGAGTGGTGACTTGACTACTTGAACATCATTGATTTGAGCACAAACAGAGTACATGCCATAAGTAGGAGGAGTAATCAAGATTTTGTCGTGAGCAGGTACACAAGCAATACGGATGAGCAAATCAATCACTTCGTCAGAGCCAACGCCCAAGAACAGATTTTTGGTAGACTTCAAGTTGCGCAGTTTGAGGATGCGTTCTTTCACTTGGGATTGATATGGATCAGGGTATCTGTTCAAATCGCCATCATGTTGCGTGGTCAAGGAGGGTCCATATGCGTTTTCGTTAGCATCCAGCAAAACACCTTCGCTGTAGTCATCACGAGCACAGCGATAAGGCTTTAATGCCATGATATTGGGGCGTATGATTTTGCTGAGGTCAAAGGAAGACATACTTTAATGATGAAAATGTTTAAAATTAAAAACAAGAGAGCGAAAAAGGAGAAGGATAGTTTTAATATTGAACTTTTTATATTACTATCATCGCTCGGAGAATGTATATTTAGAGTCATATTTGAACTGTATAAAAATGACTCACTTTACTACTATGGTTATCTGATTGACGTTATGTGTTGTCTTTAGATGCTACTTGCTTGATTGACTCTTCAATCGCTGGTACCAATCCCAGAATTTTTCTCCATTGAGTAAGCGTCAAGCAAATACCTATGGGAAACTATCAATCTCCAGGACAGATGCCATGTCGTTTTCATTACCTCTCCCTCGACGAAATCGCTTGGACGTCTTGCACGGATACGATTCTCTGATATCAATAAAGGCATCGCCATTTCGGAAATGGCCAACAGACAGCTTTCTTTTTCGGGATATCTGTATTCGAGATTAGCTTCTATCAAAATGAACGCACAGCGGTTCCTCTCGTATACTTACGTTAAACGACTCCATTGGGGTGTAAAGAGGTTCTTCACCGCCAGGGGACACCATCTCTTCTTCCATTGCCTAGTATTGCATTACAAGATGAGTCAATGGGACCAGCATTATAGAGGTACTGATGGTTTACTAAAAGCTCACATCATCTACTTCACCATCACTATCATAGATCACGGCTTTTGTTTTCGCAGTAGTTTTTGTCTTGGTGGTAGCTTTTGTCTTGGTGGCAGCGTTTGTCTTGGTGATGATTGCCTTTGCCTTAATAGAGGCTATCGATTTAGCAGTGGCTCTTGATTTAGTAGTGGCTTTTGGCTTCATTCTTCAAGCAAAAATGTAATGCACAAGGAAGAGATGGTTTGTTTAAAGGAGCTGAGCGATCATCCAGTTGTCATTTGCAAAGCAACAAATTTTGCCTAGATTTTCACATGACAATTGGTTCATTTAGCTTTGCATGATTTCCAGTGTTACGCCCATTAGGTTGTGATTAACTCCTTCTGAAACGAACAACATGAAGCATGGTATGGTTACCATGGTTTGATCGCTACCCACGTTAAAAAGACAAACAGTGCTATTCGATTTAGACGCATGGCAGCCATTTAAGTGCTTAACAGGTCTCAATCCTCAAAATTGAATGACTGAATAAACTATTGCTGCTGTTGCTACGAATTTAAGCAGCAACTAATCTTTGCTGTGAGTGGGATTGCAATGCTTTTCACAATTCTATCAGAATTCGCGTTTTTTTGAATCAGCAATTTGCAGCATTAGCCCTATCATATAAATCATACATAACAGGTGCAAATTAAAGCAATTTATATATGCCATGCTGCATTATAATTCGTAAATCCTTCTTATGAGTCTCCCAACAGCATCCATGCCTTTACTATAGGCATGGCATTCATTCTGTCAGCCAAATTATTTCAATCTCCATATGCATTTTTTCTACTCGAAATGGGAATTTCTGATCACTTTCTCGATTCCATTGATCTATCTTGGTAGATGCAACTATGTAAACTGTACTGATTACCTCACACTTCCTTAAGCTTTTTGGAAGTACTTTTCAAGGCGCATCCAATGATGCTAATAAAAATAGATGTTTTGAACAAAGTTATTGAGCAAATTTGAAAGATACGAAAAGAGGTTTTTGATGAAAATGTCAAGATTTTATATATAAAGGTCTCTCAAACAAAGTTTCAAGGGTTGCTCTGAATTGATAGAAACATCTTAATGTATTATATACCATAGAAAAAGTCTTCATGTTTGCTGTCAAAAACGCGATTGTTTGATTTTCGATAAAAATTTTTTTTTTTTTTTTTTTTTTTTGGATGATATTTGATTTATTAGAAATAAATTAAACGCATCAAGGGATGGACAAGTGTATGTAAACAAAGTGACGTGCCATATATAAGCTATTTAGAGTTTCCTAAGATTTGACAATCTTATCAATTCGGCGCGGATTTGGCGGCATACTACAGAGGGATCAAAAGGTATATAATTGTAGAGCTGTTGGAAGTGATTTCTCCAAATCATACGCATAATAGTGGCGAAGAAGTCATATATAGTGAACTGCATATCGTAGCTGTATATGAGATAGCGTTCTAGTTTGAGGAGCATAATGTTGTTGTAGACGAGGCGAGGGTCAGCATTTTTGGGATAGCTGAGGAACTCATTGAAGGTGGAGTTCCATACATCGATCTTGTGAGCACAGCTAATTAGAAGATGTTTGGCATCTTCTACTTCGTTGCATAGATCGCAGTGATCAGACTCTAAATTGGGCAAGTGTCTTTGGAAGAGGGCGAGCTTATTAGGGGATTGCTGATGGAGCATCCGGTACCACAGATTACGAGCCGAGTAGTGCATGTCGTTTTTATAGAAGGCTGTCCATTGCTTTTTGGAGATGTTGTTGTTGAAGTGGCGGCCAACGTCTAATGTGTCCAATGACTGCATGATGAAACGAACGTTTTTGTTTGAGAGCTGAAGGATCGATAGTTGTTGGAAGCGAAGTGATGCGGCAAATGGTCTCAGGTCGATACCATCTTCAGTGCTGTTGTTGTGTACGAATGGTTGATAATGCAACTCTTGTCGTAGGAGGGCTTTTTCAAGCTTGAGCCAGGTGTTTCTCTTGCTACATGTGGACTTGGGAACAAGTTGAAACATGGCTTGCTCCGAATTGTATTTGAAAAATTCCTGGACTTTGCTGGTTTTGGCGGTTTCACACTGTAGAAATTCAAGTTCTTCCAAATTTTCATCGAAGGTGAAGATTGCAGTGAGGGGGAGACTCAGGATGGTCAGCGCGCTTGGCCTCCGTTGCCAATCAATACACAGTGAGCTTCGTTGGCGGCAAATGTCCATGGCACCGAAAATTGAGTGGAATGGGTGGAACCCATTCAGCGTGTTCTTGTATCTCGCTGCTTTAAAGAAGAGGGGCACTACATGGTCGGGTGTGTCATGGGCTAGGCGGAGAGCGTTGGTCAGGAGCTGGTAGGTAAAGTCCGGGACCGAGCCCTTGTTTCCTTGAAGGAGCACCTTGATATAACGAAACTGAAGAGCATGCTGTTGAGCTCCAATGTCAATCAATCCTAGGCCGCCTTGATCTCGCGGTAGGAAAAATGAGTTTCCTTTCAGTGGCGGGAAGAGGCCAGACATCACGAATTGGTATATAATGGACTTCAGTTGCTTCAAGACATCCAGAGGTAGCGATACAATGCGAATGACGTGCCATAATTTTGATAGGATCATATTGTTGGCGATGTTGGCTTTACCGTACAGAGACACATTCCGTTGACTATATATCGCCACCGCCGCTTTGACTTTACCAAGGAGTTCAGACACATATACATCGCGTTGATGGTTGGAGAACCAGATGGGGTACCCCAAATATTTGATATACCCGGGAGAGTGGCTGTCATACCATTTCATCTTGAGCCGGTTGATGATGTGATCTTGGACTCTGAGGCCTTCAGACCCTTTCATGCTACCGCCGTGCAAGGGAAATGCCACTGACTTGTCATAGTTAATCTTGGCATTGGAGGCCCGGTTGTACGTCTTAAGTCTTCTTTGGAGTTCAGTTAGTTCTGAATGAGATTTTACATACGTGAGAACATCATCCGCATAAGCTAAGACCTTAACGGGAGCAGGAGACACCCACGGGATCTGCACATTTTTGGGTAGTTTGGTGTGCTGAAGACTATAGCCTGAGATTGCAGTGTTGTTGATGATGGATAAGAGGAACGGTTCAATAGCTAGATTGAATAGGACAGGTGAGATGCTATCACCTTGCCGAATGCCTCGTCGTTGTGCGATAGGTTTCGTCAGAAAACCGTTGATGTTGACATGGATGAAGTTATCGAAAAACAGGTTGAGGATGCAGGCGACGAATTGTGGTGGAAATCCAAACTTCAACAGTACTTGTGAGAGATACTGGGGGTGGACTCTGTCATATGCTTTGGCGTTGTCCAGCATGATTCCAGTGTATTCGACAAAGTTGGTTGCATTTCGCCAGCTGGCGGATGAAGCGTTATCCATAATTACCCTGAGAGACATGCCGTGATCACCGATATATCGACCTGACAAGAAGCCGCATTGATATGGGTTGATGAGTTTGTTGGCTACTGGTATGACACGAGAGTTCATAATACGAGTAAAGACTTTGCAGTCGGCCGCAATCAATGTGATGGGGCGATAATTGGCGAGATCGCTCCGGTCCCCTTTCTTAAACAGAAGGATAATACAAGATTCCTGCCATGATTTGGGAAATTTGGCGTGCTGGATAGCGTCATTAAATACTTGGTGCACGATGTCTCGGCAGCTAGGGTGAGATATAATGAGATATAAGATTTCATACCCGATACCATCTAATCCTGGGCTGCTTTCTTTGGGAGTTCGAGCAGACCCTAGCAGAATGTCGTCGTAGTCTATTAATGCGGTGATCTGGTTGGCGTCGTCGGCTGACAGAGTGGTGTCGATGTAGTCCAGCATTTTGTTCAGGCAGGTAGAGTCTATCCGTTCTTCGGTGTACAGTTTCTGGTAGAATCGTTCTGCGGCGTTCAGCTTGGAGGCAGTGTCGAGACAGTCGACCCCAGTACGAGGGTGCTTCAAGTTGGGGATGGTTCGCTGATCAAGGCGTTGTTTACTGGTCTGCTTTATGTATCCAGGCGACTTTTCACTATTTTCAAGCCATCGTTTCCCGGCCTTAAGAAGCTGAATATCCACGATTTCCTGTTGCAACTTGGCTAGCTCGTTCTCCACATCCTGCAACAGTAGCCTCAAGCAAGTAGTGTCATGTCTGTAGCGTCGTATCAAATTGTTCCTTTCACTTTGCAGTGTCTTGATTCTAGCCTTCCTCCAATGATCGTGTGTTCTGGTGAACTGAATAGTAACCTGTTTGGCCTTCTTTTTAATAAGATCCCACTTTTCTTGAGCAGACAGAGAGCTGTCGAGTTTCACCGCAACAAATGTTCTAAGCTCGTCGTCTAGTTTCTGTCGATACTTATGGTTCTTGGCGAGGTGAGGGTTCGCTCGCCAAAGTCCTTTACCGCAGTTAGTCAATCCAGTAGTATATGTTTTGGTCAAGAGAGCATGGTCTGTCCAATCTGGCCTGATAAACGAGTTAGTGGCATCACTCATTTTGGAGGCTATGTCGTGGCCTGCAAACATATAGTCGATGGTCGACATGGTGGACCCACGCCGAAAGGTATACGCATGAGGTTCATTCTTTGGATTGAGACAATCGGAAAAGTGGGTGTTCAAGAAATCGGCAAACTGCTTGGGTTTCCCTGCACGGTGAGTATGATGGTATGTGGTGGTGTCGAAACTGTAGTTCATATCGCCAGCTATGATCAATGAAGGGATGATTTCAGGCATGCTTTTGAGGTGGCTGGTGATTTGGCCAAAAAAACGGTTTCTGGCTCTATAATCGTCTGCATGTGCATAGATATTAAGTATATAGATGGGTGGCATATTGTTGTCAACGAGTGAGATTTTGGCTAAGATACCCCTTCCTTCGTTGAAAACGTGCAATTGTTGTAAATTTAGAGCTTGATTAAAGTTGATTATTCCACAATGAGTGGTCCATATAGCTTGGTGGTACTGGAATTGGTACTTAAAGTTGGTGGTGATGCTTTCGAAGGAGTGTGATTGAGCATTAGTTTCTTGACATAGTAAAATATTGCATAGTTCTCCTTTGAGATGCCGTATAAAGCTGTTGGTAGCAGCGATGTTGTATTGTTTGTAGAGGTTCCTGCAGTTGATGGAACCTATCCTAATATTGACATTTTTAGTTTGTGTTGTCCCAATCATTAGTTTATAATGAAGTGGTTGTTGATGAGGCGCCATACGCTGCATCCGCCGTGCCATGAGGCTCTTGTTGCTTGAAGAGCTTCTTGGCATGTCCTTCTTCATCCGATCCCATGGGGGTGGAATCCATTGCATTCCTCTTGTGGGATGTCTCAGGCGTTGTATCATCCTTACGGCTGGAGACCGGTGGTCTGACATCACGAAGATTGTAACGATTCCTGAAGTTAGCTGTGGTGAGACTGTCCGAGTCCTCCTCTCCAGTACTACTGGTGTCTTCGTATTCAGATTCGTCAGAGCTTGGCGCGACAGGCTGGTTGGCCGATTGATCCTCCTGGGTTGCACCCAGTTTGTCATCCTTGAGAGCTTCGCTGTTTGAAGAGTCAGCAGGAACCTCTGTGCTAGAAGTTTCAGTGATAACCTCTGTGCCATGAGGCTCGATTGTCTCCTGAATCGCTTGCATAGGAACGTCTTGCACAGGTTCAGAAGATGCCGCGGATGCAACCGATTCCGTGTCACTGGTGTCCATAGAGGATTCGCCTCTAGTCGTTGCCTTCTGTTTGTTAAGGTACTTCGGCTTGGGTACTTGCATTAGCTCTAGAAGATCAATTTCTCTTCCAGTAGGCTTTGGAGCGGGAGGGTTCCCCTGGGTGTCAGAATTGCGACGGCGACGGTCTTGGGATGGTTGGTCCTTCTTCCTATTCCAGTAAGCCTGGGGGCAAGTAGCAATCAGATGCTCAAGGCTACCGCATTTATGGCAGGCCTTCCTTTTCTTCCTAGGACAGTCAGCCTTGACGTGATCATCGGTATGGCAATCCGAACAGATGGGTTGCATGTTTGCCCATGTCAAGCGGAGATTCTCCTGCGAGCCATCAAGTGCGACCTGAGGTTTCAACTCGGCTGCATAATGTTTGGATTTGTCGATATTAAGGGTGACGAAGCCGCGTCCAGTGAACCAATCCCCATCCTTGGAGTGGCAGAGCCCGACATTGAGGATATCACCATATTCTTCAAAGGCTTTGATCAACAGAGGTTGGAGTACCTCCACCGGCTTGTAAGGAATGGCCGAAATGCTAACTCGAAAGATGTTGGCATGCTTGTCCAGGGTCTTGTTGACTTGGATAGTTGCACCTTGGAGAATAAACTCTTTCTGCAAGGCTTCCATACAATCCTCTTCTGTGGGGAAGTTGATTTCAATGACTTTGTGATTCTTGCCAACCACACGGTGTCGAATACCAAGACCTTTGGGATATTGTTCACGGAGACAGCTTGATAACGATTTCTCCTTGAAGTGCATGCCGACGAACTGTACACAGTCGATGATCAGAGAGAAATCATCCTGGGCTTCAACGAAGGTGGACGTGAAGTCAAGAGCTTTGCCGATAACACCATTATTAGAAATGGAAGGGGTGATCTTGAATGGAGTTCTCTTTTGCGAGTTGATATCCTTGAAGAATGAAGCATATGTAAACATATTGTTGCCTGGATTATGGCTGGAATCCAGCGTAGAGCCACCAAAGTTGGTGGTCCTGCCTTTTTCACCTAAATTGTGATCTTTAGCGGAGAAAGCCATGATTTTCGATAAAAATCATAAGGTATCACTCATGGAATTTGGTCGATTTTCGACGATCCCAAAAAAAAATGGCGCAATGGTATCAGAAAGCAAGTACTAATTGACAGCAATCGTTTGGTGCTATTCCGGCAGTCTAAAACAGCTTTTAACACGAGAAATCATGGGTAACATATATCCAGATTTGGCTGTGATTTACATGGATTTGAGTAGTAAGAAGTAACGCTGGCATGCTGTGTGCTTGGGCATTGATCGTTTTCATTGATGCAAACATGGAGAGTCGTAAAAGAGTCAGATCCATCGTTCTAGCGTGATAATCAAAAGTTACACGGCGACATTTCCGTGAACTATATTAGGATTTGAGCGACAAATTAAGGTACCATCAATGAATCAGACTCGAAGGCTCGGATCTATTCATCTGCAGCATGTTTCTCTCTATTAGGTTGGTTTATGCTTATGGGCTATTCAATACAGCCCTCTAATGCCTCATTATTTGGTATGTTAGAGCAAAGGTTCCACTGATCTCATGTACGAGAATTACTAGAGCAAGTGAATACATTGATTCTTAAAGCGTGGCCCTTATTATGCCTAATTTGAATAAGAACGCGCATAGTAGAGCCTCTGTTTTTACACATGCGCTTCAAGGCATTAATCTGAATGGACCTTGCAGTACTCCTGAGTTGAGTGCAAATTACGCAAATGATATGATACATGTAGCAGAACTAGTTTCATCATGCCTCCAGTGATGAATACGACTTCTAATTCTAGGCTCAGTTGAATGCTCCTCTTTTTTTTTTCTTCTCATTTGATACACTAAAAATATGAGCTCTACACCAACTTCAGCGACATCAGCAACTCAAAATACACTCAAACCAGATGAATATAACAAGGGACTAGATCAAGAGCACATCACCAAGTTGACACACGAAGCATACAAACATTTCACCGAATATACCAAGGCCGAATTGAAAAGTACGAGTGAATGCATCGTTGTGTCGTGTAGAAATATTTTTAACCTTGTCCATATATCATGTACAGTGACGGTAGAAGATTGTCAATTACTGGAAAAAATGAATACAACTACGCAGGAGAAATATACACAAATGAGCGAAATGAGCCAGCGATTGATGAAGGAAATGTCGAAATTACAAAATACTTGTAAGGCGTAGAGTGTGGATAGATGCGAATTGAAGGGCTAAATTATGGTACAGATGCTGATTTCTCCAACTTTATACAACAAATTGAAGACATCCATCAACAATCTATCGAGATGGAGAACATAGCCAAAGCATTAGATGAATACTCGACCTATTTAGGTATTTCAAAAAACCCGCCTTGAGAAGTAAAATTGACTCATACCAACTCATTCGCAGAGAATAAACTACTCAAGGTGGTGTCGCCCAAGACCACCTAGACAAATGACTCACTGAACTTCGTCTTTGTGACTGATGAGAGGCAGACAAGAGCCTTTATCCTTTTTGAAATGGAGATCAAAACTCGAGAATCATCAGCTTTGGGATTCGTATATAAACATCTAATAAACATCTATTACCTCTTTCATTATTACTTGCATCTCCTGAAAATGTACCGTACATTAAGCAAATTATCTTGCGCCATCAAGCCTACCGGTACTCAAGCTTTGGTAATTTGTTCATCTTAACATTAGAAACCTTCATCTCACCCGAAAATTATAGAAGCGTTCATATGCTGTTTCAAGTACCTTGATCAAACCGGTAAAAGAGGTAAGAGCTTATTATCCCTCCCCACACACACACACACACACACACACACACACACATACATACATGGGAAAATAACACTCACACATTGTGCTCTTTTTCCCACATTTGTTTATTTAGTTAACTCATCTCGACACTGATGTTCCTCAATCTACCTTGGATAAAGTCAACGAATTCACCAAATACACTGTCAACACATACGCTCGACCTGATGTTGTGATTGCCCGAGGCAAGGGCTGTTATCTCTATGACACCAGTGATCGCCGCTATCTTGATTTCACTGCTGGTATTGCTGTCACGGCATTGGGACATTCAGATCCTGAAGTAGCTCAAGTCTTATACGATCAAGCCAACAAGCTGTTGCATACCAGTAATTTATACCATAACGAAAACGCCGGTGCGCTCGCCAAGACGATGGTCGAAGCCACCCGTCAACATGGTGGTGAATGGGCATCAAAATTGTTCCTGGCTAATTCTGGTACTGAAGCAAATGAAGGTGCTCTCAAGTTTGCTCGTAAATGGGGCAAGCAATTCAGTCCTGACAAAACCGAGATTGTCTGCTTTACAAATGCCTTCCATGGTCGTTCGATGGGCGCATTGTCAGTAACATTTAATCCCAAATACCAAAAACCATTTGCTCCATTGGTTCCTGGCATTGTTACCAGCCCTTACAACGATGTGGACGCTGCCTTGAACGCTATCACCAATAAGACATGTGGTGTTATTATCGAGCCCATTCAAGGTGAAGGTGGTGTGCATCCTGCCAAGGCTGAATTCCTGGAGGCTTTGCGAAAGCGTTGTGATGAGACCAACACTTTGTTGATCTTTGATGAAATTCAATGTGGTTTGGCTCGTACTGGTAAGATGTGGGGTCATCAGCATTTCAATGTAACTCCTGATGTCATGACCATGGCAAAGCCTTTGGCCAACGGTGTACCCATCGGTGCCATTTTGACTACTGAGAAGGTGGGAGAGATGATCAAGACTGGCGACCACGGTACTACATTTGGTGGTAATCCTCTTGCTGCTGCAGTTGCTTTGAATGTCGTGAGCCGTATCACAACTCCAGAATTCATTGATTCCGTCAACCAAAAGGGAGAGCATCTCAAGAGTTTATTGAAGCAGGTTCAGGATAGCCACCCTGATTTGATCAAAGAGGTCCGTGGTAAGGGTCTATTGATTGGTGTAGAATTCACAAAAGATCCCTCTCCCATTGTCAAGATGGCTCGTGAGCGTGGTTTGTTGCTGGTAACTGCAGGCTGTAATACAGTCCGTGTGGTTCCTCCATTGATCATTACCGAGGAAGAAGCAGTAGAAGGTGTCTCCAAGTTTGCAGGCGCTGTTGATCAATTTGCAGCTTCATCCCAATGAGCAATTGAAAGCCAGTGAAAGCATTTATATACTACATATTTCATTCTATTCGTGTTTTTCTCTTTTTTTTTTTTTCCCCCTCTCTCGTGTATAATCCAATAAACATATAATTTAGAACATCTCATGCTCAACACAAGAGACGAAATTAATTTGCACAGGCTTTTGATCAGTTGCGAGAATAAGCTTAATGAACAGCCTATCGATGTCTGGACAGCATCCGAAAAACGAAAGTTTGCTACCGTAAGAAGAACATGGTTTGTTCAAGCGGCCGAATATTGATTCACGACAAGTAGTATGTCAAGTTTTTAGCTAAACTGCAAAAGAAGTCGAGCTCTACAAGGTAACCATCGCCGTCATCAAGTATTCTATCAATCTAAAGCGCCTCTTCCATGAACAGTGTAGCACCATATACTCCCCGCATAGACCAATTGACCAGAGCTGTTGCGGTTCATACGATGGTAATATTTGACCTTATAGAATGGGAATAATCTTCTGATTATCAGCACGCAGCATGTAGATGTCGAGAAAGGAATAGCAGAGGCACGCCTTGGAAAAAGAAAGCTGTTTGAAGAATTAGAGCAGTATGAAAGCTCTGATCCAGAGTGGCTATTGGAGTTGAAACGACAAGATGAACAAGCAGCACAGGAGGCATTGGATAGAAAGAAGGTAGAAATGATATCAGGATGATTTAGCACTGGTACTGAATCCGTATTGCAGAAATTATTGGAGCAAGAGGATGAGGAAGAAGAGGATCCAAACGAGCTAAAGGACGAGAAAGAGGAAGATGAGCAAGATGATCCAGTGAAAGAGACATTCAACGAAATGACAAACGCTTCTGAAATACGACAAAGGTAAAGGCAGGCCTGTAGACAGCGCTTGAGCCCATCTAATTGTAATGTCCATTAGAAACAATGCAAAGAACGAAACATCCAATATTGAACATGTACTACAACATCATCGACAAATGCATGACGAGTTGACAACTGATTTAGGCCGTATGGCGAAGCAACTCAAGATCAACAGCCAGGCATTTGGAGATACACTTTCGAAAGACGATGTTGTTTTGAAGGAGGCACAACAAGCTGTGGAAAGCAATTTAACACGCATGACTAAGGAAAGACAGCGGTTAGATGTGCACTATTCTAAATCTTGGGGTACCAGTTTTATGACCATGGCAGTGGCATTGTTTGTGTGTATCATGTTTGTACTCGTATTCTTTACTATAAAATTTTTACCTAAAGCAACTTGATAAAGAAACGGTAGATTAATGAAAATATAAAAAAAAAGAGAGGAAAGAGATTGTGTGTTATGTATGAGTGAAATATAGGAATTGAATAAAGGCAAACAGATTAACATACAAAACAGACAAAGCAGACGGACAGAGAGATAGTAAGATAAATAGACGAATAGGGCGAGAGTGAGTGAGAGTGTGTTGTTTTTCGAAAGTATATGTAACAAAATAATGGTAATTCGAGATTTATCGAGCATCCTGTACTTCATAAAAATTCTTCAAGTATTCCTCAGCTTCTGAATACTCATCCATTACTTGCGGCAGCAATGGTGTAATGCGCTTCAATGCCTCGTCTTTGTCAAGCTCGCCTGTTCCGTCTTCTTCTTGACAATTACCAACATTTTGGATCTTTTCGCATGTTGCCTTTACTTTCTTCAGTCCAATAGCTGCTGAGCTACCCTTGAGGAAATGACCAAGTCTAGATAACTCGTTTAAATCCTTCTTTTCTCTGTTTGAAATTTTAGATTTTGGTGTATTAGTCATTTCATCATCATTTTAACTCTTCTAGGAGAAGAGACAAGCAACTTACAATGCTACGCCCATGTCCTCAAATGTGCTTCCTGCTTGCTCAAAGTAGTTATTTACAATGCTGTAAGAGAATTCGTGGTCGTCCTCGTCGTCCATGTCCAATAATTGCTCAAATGTGTTCATATCAATGAGATCGTCAGGATTTACAACTTTTTCGCTTTCCTCTGCATTTCTTTCACCTGTATGTGTCAAATCAGGTGATGCTGGAGACTCATTCTAGATTCCCATTTCGCATGCGAATTTAGTTGTTATTGGCACAAAAACATACGCCTCTTCAATGTACCTTGAGATCTTTCTTGTTCAAACCTGTAGTAGTTTCGGGAGAACCTTCGCGACTAGACATTATGATATTATAAGGTATATGATTTTTTCTCCAAAAAAAAAAACTGGAAGAAAGAGAAAATAGTATAGAGTATGAAAAAAAGAAGAAACGAGAAAATAGTAACAAGAGAGAGAAAAAGAAAAAAGAAGCTTTTCGAATGAAGCAAGAAAAATTTTTTCATGGTTTTTGATCGACCTCTTCTATATCACTGATTTTACGTCATCGTATCTCCTTTGAATGCATTTAGCCGGTTGATTTCTTTTGTTACACTTGCGGTGGGATATTGCGATGGCAATAAGCTGATCTGGATGTATGATTCCAGTAGCTAGATGAGCAATTTCTGATTTCTGTATTGAGATATTCGCCTGAATAAATTATTTAAAGCACTAAAATAACTTTTTGTTATTTTGAAATGTTGAAATGTGGTTACACTCTTTATGATTGAGAAACCGAAATAGTGGCAGGAGAGAAAGAGAGAACGAGAAAAGATGCGCGGGTGCATATGAATGGTGCCATTTTCAGCTCTCTGTTTAAATCATGCTTGTGTTATATATTATACAGCAGATTTAAATTTACGTCATTCAGGATACACTGCCGTCCTTGTGCAACTAAATCCAAGGCAAAATGTGCTGACTGACTTGATTTGTGTATGAGAATATATCTCTTCCAGTTACACACTACAAGGACAATTGCCCTGATCTGTTGATTTGCCCAAAAATGCTCCCATTAATCATGAAAACAGAGATCTCTGGCCTGGATTTACAGCCATGATGAGATGAATTAGCCGCCTACGGAACCTCCGCTTGAACTAAACTTAAATTATCACACCAGAATCTTCTGTAACATCTAGAAAGTATGTATAAATCACAGTAGGACCTAGTTTGCTTATACCTGACATGTCATGTTGTTTGCCGACATATATAAGCTTTTCATTACGTAGATATGAAGCGGATGTCTCTCTTTTAGAACAAGACTTTTCTGTTTCAAATCAGTTTCACATCTTAAAAAAATGTCATTTTATAGACAATTCCATTGAATAAGAGACCCCTTTCTTCAAGGTGCTAAATACTTTACCCCTCCTCGAGTATATTATACATGTGCTCGAGGCTCAGCATGCCATCTTTAGGACTGCAACCCTGCTCAATGTTGTATAGCTCTAGCTGATATACTATAATAGGCAGCAAGGCTTTTACAACATGTTGTCTTGATTGAGAAGTTTTCTTTTATTTACGTTTTGACGGTTGGTACCACAGAAGAGAAAGGATCAATTACAAACAATACGTTTTTTTTTTTTCAAGTATATATTTACAAATGGGGTATAATGATTAAGCGCCCAATCCCCTTCGCTTGGCTCTTAGATAAACCTTAACTGGTTCCTTGATGCCATTTTCGTTGTTACCAATTGCCTCCCCTTCTTTCCAACCCATGGCCGCCAGCATGCGATGCCCAACATTGCTGGAAGAGATAGGTGCAGAGCTGGATGCCACTTGTTTGCCATGATTAGCATCCTCCTTGATTTGGATGTTGGAGACTCTCTTTTTAACACGCCTAGTCGTCTCTGTCTGAATTGCTCTTCTTTTAGGCCTCTTCAGGTCTTTATATGTGGGGGTCATTGGTGTTTTGCGCAATTCCACAATGCTGATTCACTAAAGTCAGCTCGTTTGTATGTAGACACAAGGATCCCACTTACGTTTCACTGGACCTCTCCTCCACAATCTTGAGTTTGAACAGTTTAGCCAGCTTTGGTACAACAGTGTGCCGACCGAGATGTGTCAAATCTGCCAGGAGGTACTTGGAAACAGTGGGTTTTGACACAAATTCGTCTGTAATCCTACAGCAGTATGAGTGAGTCCTCACCCTGAAAGCATGGATCCCCTAGTAAGCACGTTACCTATCAATAAGATTCTTCCTCTTCGATTTGCCCTTCACTGCACGGATCCTGGACGCTTTGTACTTTGGTTTCTTTTGCTTTTTTAACAGGCCTCGTTGCTCCTCCTTGAGCACAGCTCGATAGCTATGCTTCATATGATCAGGCACGTTCAAACTGTCGTCCAAATCCCAATTAAATGTGTTTGCTGTTGCTTGCTCTTCATCGCTATCCAGTGTAGTAATAATGTCTTGATCTGAATCGAAAATGTCGCTTATGGGTGTATTCTTTAATATGGCATAATCTTCCTCATCATCACTCTGAAAACGGTGTCCTGCGGGCTCTTCGTGAAATAAGGCACTGTTGCTGCCCCAATGCGCTAATGCATCCAACATACTGACATCTTCACTACTACTGATTGATAATGCATCGTCTTGATCGTCTTCACTGTCAATGTAAATGGATTCATCTTGGATGATTTTGCGTTTCTTGCTCTGATAGTTGCCTGCTGTCTTGGTATCTGATTCATGCGACTTTGTTGGTGAAGTCTTTTGTTTGGTGTGTGATAAATCTGGTTTGATATGATGGCTTACAGGCTGAGGGGTTGAATCAAAGAAGAAGTCCAAGTCCTCGGCTAGTTCATCCAGCTCCTCTGCATCCACATGGCTGCGTGTGAGGTGAGTCATGGAAATACGAGACAGCTGATCGAATGTGGAAGGCTGATTAAGCGTATCCACCGAATTATTGACGATAACAACTATGTAAAGTGTATCCATGTCAGCACTCTCTCTTGTCATAATTACAAATAAATGCATGTATTATGCAATTCTTCACCTTCTTCTTGCATTGTGTGTTGAGTGATGGGCGGCTGACGAGGAGCATCATGGTCGGGTACACGGCCCTCAAACTCTTTCAGCTCCCTGGACTTGTTGAAACCAAACCCACCGCCTCGAGGCCTCTTTTCTTTGTTCTTGGACTTGTTCCCCTTGAATCTTGCCATTTATAATGTATAGAAAAAAGAACTCTGAATTTTTATTCAAACTGATAAGCCTCGAAGTATAGGTTTTGCTTTGATTGATTGACCTCAAACCAGTCACCACCAAATGTCAATTGTTGAGGCACTGAATCATGTAGCTCTGTAATATGCCGAATAGAATAGGTGAATTACAGCCATCAACACGGCTTGTTGGCATAGCTTACAGCGTTGAGATTTAGCCAGCATACCCTTCTTGGACTTGTCAATCAAGACGACATGATACTGTATTAAGCAAGCTATATTTTTGTTGAGCATTGAACAACATGCTGCTTTTGACAATCCAATGTTGGGGAAGGGGTTATGTGTGAATGGTGCCATGTCTTGCATTTTTTTTTTCTCAAAGAGCTCTAGATAATGATGGTTCTACTCATTAGAATGGGCTATTTGATGTTATAAAGATGATGACTAACAAAGCACCATGCGCTGGATGGTTCATTGTTAATGGCTTTTGCCCATTTACTGCTCAATAAATGATTAATAGCATGTAGAAAAGCCGCCGTCTACAGACATCAAGGCGGCCTATTTTCAGAAATCCCAAAATAACATGTATAAGGTTGATGTTCGTTTCTGTTCAGAATAAAAACATATTGATGAAGGGATGATTGTCGCATTGATAATCCCGTGTTGGGCCCTCCTCACTGTGATTACATTCGTACGTCGTTTGTTGGCCATCTACGGCTTTATAATCATCACTGTTGTAGTACACGGCTACTCGTATTTAGGTCATCGCATCATCATCTATTTCGCCACAGGAAATTGGCGGTTTCAGATGTTTGGTTCTCATATTATACCATCCACCGAGAAAATGAAACGATGAAAGCCAACAAGAGCTAGGCATGGCTCAACAAAAAAAGACGGCGTGGTCCAGCATTGACTTGCGAGACATTGAGTCAAACGTTGAGCCTCAAGATGCCTCTTGGCTCCCCCTGTTTTCTGGAACAACAGGATTTCATATCTATCAGGGGAAACATGGTATTTTGGTTGAAACGGAGCCGATCCATATGTTCTATTATTAACATTTCACTGTATTATTTGGCGTGTGTCCTAAATGCGCATTACCCTTGTTTTGTCAACAAACTTGTTTTTGACAATCGGAGACCAACAGGTTTGAGGTCAATGCACACGCAAACACACACATCAGACATCTTGTAATCCAGTGTCAAGACATCCTATTCCGACCAAGCTCGCCTCCATCCGAAATGATATAAATACGGTGCTCCATGGCACGCTTCTTCCAATTTCTTTTCTTTTCTTCTTCTCTATAAGATATTATATCTCTCAACATGAAGTCCATTTTCGCCGCCATTGCTGCTCTTGCTGCTACCGTTGTCTCTGCTCAAAACATTGTCAGCATCACCTCTCCTCTCACTGGTACTGTCTACACTGCTGGTCAACCTGCTATCATCACCTGGTAAGTGACATATAGACTGGTTTAGTTGGTTATACAGGATAATTAAAAATGCGGGTGCTCCAATGTAGGATTGACCAACAAGTTCCTGTTATCCCCAAGATTGTCTTGGCCAAGGGTTTGCCTACTGCTCTCCAACCTGTTTCCACCATTGCTCAAGATGTTGATGCTAACGCTGGCTCTTATGTCTGGAATGTCCCTGCCGACATTGCTGCTGGTGACGATTATGCCTTTGAGTTGGGAAATTCTCCCAACATTTCCTTCACCGGTCTCTTTACCATCAAGAACGATGGTTCTGCTGCTGTCAACACTGCCAGCCCTGTTGCTAGTGGTGCTGCTGCTAGTTCTTCTGCCTCTGCATCTGCTTCTGCTTCTGCATCTGCTTCTGCTGCTGCTACCGATGTCAGCGCCGCTGCCAACGTCCTCGCTGCTGAATCTGCTGGTTTCAAGGTCTCTTCCAACAAGGCTGCCGTTGGTGCCATCGCTGTTGCCGGTGCCGCCGCTGCTGCTTTGATCTAAATTGCATAACTACCATTGTATTGTCTCCTCCCCCCCCCCCAATCATATAATATTTCATCCCATTCTTCTTTCAAAATCACATTTCTCTAAGTTTTACACATAATAAAATCTAGCAAGATTCACATAAGAATCTATGCTACATATATCTATCAAAAGCACTCTTTGATCGTTGGTAGCACGTTTTCATTTTATCGAAACCAAATCTACGTTTTAGAAAACGACATGTCTCAGACATTCGATTATCCATAAAGGTGGTTTAACAGCAAGTGATGATGGAAGAAAGCCATCAAATCCATCTTCATTTGAAGCCCATGTGCTCTCGATGAGCACCATCTATTCAGTCCAAGTTTTGCATGCATTTCAGCGTTTTAAGCAACTCAATGGCAGCATTTTACTTACGTTTTGCTGATTGAAATCATCGTGTCTGTTTAAGGTTCATTATTCTGAAGCCAGTTGCATCTCCTTAGCGCGGAATACCACCACAACCTCGGCAGGACCGTACGCCATGGCATCCGTATAGCGTATAACCTGATGGTCAGGTATTTTGACATGTACATCTTGTATTTACTATACGGCGTGATTGCTTTGGTGCAAGTGTTATGGCGTGTTGGCCTGTGCACCATTCAATGAATCAAGCCATCAAATGTGGTGACACATTTGGACAGGTTCTTGAGCTCAACAGGTGACTGTTACAGCTTTAGCATTTGCTTGACCGGATGCATACAAACATGTCTTTGCTTTTCTTTGTCCAGGAACACTTCTCTTTGTTGCTTTATCCATTATTTATGTCAGATACTCGAAGCTTGGACGATTACTGGGTGAATTATTTAAGAGAGAACGATGTAATCGAGACCGAGGATGAGACATCAAAACGGTTCGTATTCATCTTAGGATGAAGGCATGGCAAGTATTGACAACATAATGTACTGATAGAGAGAAAGTGATCTTCCTGCTCAACTCGGTATTATCCGTCTTCACAAGAGCTGTTGCCGATGAAAACAACTACAGAGGAGGAGAGATTCCTTGCTTCTTGAAGCCGTTTGGATCTTATGGGCTTGGTGGCTACATTCGCGACGCTGATATTGATATTGTGCTCATCTGCTCACAGCTGATAAAGAGACGCGATTTCTTCAGGTTCTTCCCTGACACACTGAAACAATTGGCAACCATCCGAGAAATCGAAGTAAGTAATGATGCGCTGTAAATCAGCTAATTGACTAATGGACATTAGTCCATCAGAAATGCAAATGTGCCTATTATCAAGTGTGTCGTCGACAACATTTCAGTAAGTATTACTTTTCTCGGGGCACTATGCTCTATAGTGCTCATCCACTGTACAAATAGGTTGATATATCATTTGTTCGACTGCGGGAAAACTACTGTGATAAGAATATCGATCTATTGGACGACAAATACCTAAAGAACATCCATGAAACATGTCGAGCCAGTATGGATGGCCCTCGAGTCAACAGCTTCATCAAGAAGCAGATCAAAGAAAGCCATGTCTATATTTTCCAAAGAAGCCTCCAATGCATCAAACACTGGGCTACCCGCCGACAAATCTACAACAAGCCAATTGGATATTTGAATGGAAGTACATGGACCTTATTATTACTCAAGACTTACATGGATATGCGCGATACACCCAACCTCTCAATCACTCTTCTCATCTGTACATTCTTCAACAAATGGAGAGACTGGGCATGGCCAGCGCCCGTTCTACTGACAAGCGAAATCCCTGGCGGCGAGCATGGACGCAGAGTCGAACTTCGTGATATACCTGAATTTCAAGATGCCGTAATGCCTATTGTAACACCATGTTATCCTGTGAGCAGTGCAGCACCCAATGTTACCAAATCGACACTTAAGATTATGACTAGAGAATTTGAAAGAGGTAAATCGCTTCCGATTGCTCCTGTGGTCAGTGATTCATATTGCATGTAGCTGTTCTCGTCTTGGATGATGCTGATACTGAGCCCAAGGAGACGTTAAAGAAGCTGTTCAACAGCATTGAATACTTTAAAAGATACCAACATTTTATGACCATCATCACTAGTTCCACATTGCAATCCAGCCATGAAACTTGGTAGGCACAACCGCATATCAACAAGCAATGCATGTAATAACAGGAATGCTACTGTAGGCAACGCAAAATGCCCAATGTAATACCTCAGTTCTTACAAATGCTCGAGAAATCGCCAGATCTCAAGTGCATTCAACCAGTGACAAAGCCCAAGACTTCATTTCATAGCTATCGCACCAACGAAGAAAGAAAAGCGCTTGAAATGGGCATGTCCGTAGCAGAAGCCAAGCAATTGGACTTGAATGGCCAACTCAACCCTGGCACTGTCTATCTCAGCTTCTTTTTCATAGGCATCCAAGCTGAAAGTGCAAGTAAAGTATTGCATTTATTGCCAATCTGCATGATATACTAACGCCAAACGACAGGTCAATACCTGAATCTTTCTGAGCCAGTAGATTCGTTTCAAAAGTTACTACACAGCAGACGCACCAAGTACGACGATGATGTTCGTTGGCATGTTACAGCTTTCAAGAGAAAAAAAGTGAAGGACATCATTTTCTCTAGCCACTAAAAAAGCACATAGTTCTTTAATAAAATGAATCAGTTTCGCAGCATTTGCTTGTTGGCTGTCTTGTCTTTCGTGATTGTATCCACAGTATCTACAAATCCCACCAGGATATAGCGCTCTCCTTGAGTGATATCAATGCCGCTATGCATCACTCGAGCAGCATGGTAAGCAGCATCGCCTTGCTTCAAATGAATCACTTTGTCAATGCTGCCATAGTAAGTGCCGCCACCTTGAAAATCGTCCTCATGGCTAATGAGTAACGTCAGCGAGAAGAGGCATCCGTCTGTATGTAATCTTAGGCCCTTTTGTCCGTTTGCCGAGTATTTGACGAGGAAGATATCTCTGAACTCGAGATCAAGTGTCTTGAATCCGTAATGATCTGCTAGCTCCTCAAACAGGCGATCTTTGATGAGCGTTTCCAGAAAGGCGAGCTGGTCATGGTTGCGTATGGGGATATCTGTTGTTGCAAAGGCTGAATGTCGATCTGTGGTCCACTCTGTTTCAAGGCGGCAGGTATCGAGGACATGTCGACATTCGCCTTGGGAAAGTAATTGACAATGTAACCCTGGTATGTCCATCTTTCCTGATCGAGTCCTGCTAAACACAAGTCTGTTTTCGGCTATTGTGCGTTGATTGGGATCGGATGACAGACTAGAAATCTTTTTCTCCACTTGTTTATTGAGATGATGCCGTCTCTCATCAAGGTCTTTTTGTTCTTGCTGGGAGAGATCACCAAATAAATCAAAAGAGAGTGTACTTGGCATAATGTTTGCTTTGTCGCAGAAAAATGGAAATTGTATAACGAAAAAAAAAAAATCTGCAAGCCGTCAAGCAAAGATCAAGCTATTCCCGATGTAAAAAAAGTAGCGTCATAAGAGCAAATGAAACAGATGTCGCTCTATAGGAACCAGGTTGAATACACTTGGTTTGCGGTAACTTTTCCTTTCTGAATTGCCACATTCACTTCAATATTTGATGATTGAAGAAGATCAGCCTGTCAAAAGCTTATTGCTGCAGGGCAGTAGGAATGTTTCAAGACATCCAAGCGTCCAACATTAGATAAGATCTGCAATTCCATTGAAAATTCAAAACAGAAATCCAAACCTTAAATTTTGACAGGCAACTGTTCATCTAGTAACTGATTTTGTGATGGACAACTGTACCTATCAGCGACCTACATCAACGAATATAGTCTGGCATTCATCAAACGTAGAGATCGGCCATGTTTGTACAAATAGACTAAATCATTGTCGCATATACAAAAAGACTTGGTAACTGTACATCATGTGTATCAAAATATGTTTGTTATTCTCAACAAAAAGTTTGTGTTTATGTTTGTTCGATACATCCATCTGTTGAGCTACAGTACACAGTGTTTCATTGTCAATGACCTGATGGTTTCAGATTTTATATTTTTATTACTATTACAAGAAATGTTTGGTATACAAAAAATAATATGCAATATGAGAGAGAGAAAGAGAGTGCGTGTGTGAAATATGTATAATGGATGGAGTTGTGTGTGTGTGGGTGTGGGTGTGTGTGTGTGTTATAATATAAATGTCAATGGTATATATAATGGATGTATAAAATTAGGCCCATTTTCCTAGTAAAGCCATTAAACCAGCACCACAGTACATTGAGATGAAACAAACGAATTTACGAAGGAAAGGAGCTTGACGGAATTCAGCATTCTGGTTGATTTCTTGGCTCATGAGAGAAATGTAGGCATTGTACAGCAAGATACCGGCAGAAAGAGAATCGAGGATGGCGCTTGCAAGGACCGAAGAAGAAGAATTGGGGTTAAAGGAAGCGTGGATACCAATACCAATAGCACATCCAATGGGTGTCATAATGATGAACAAGACACCCATCAAAGCAGGACGCTTCCACCCCTTGATGTTCATATCATTGATACGTGTGCCCAAGGCAACACCCTCAAAGAACTGGTGAAAGACAAGAGCAATCAGTAGTGTGATGAATTCGTCATTTCCTGTATTGGCCAACGTGATGCCAACAATGATTGAGTGCATCACAATGCCTAGTTCTAGAATAAGCGTGCCAATATGCTTGAATGCTTCTTCTTCCTCGAATAAACCGGCGCTGTGAACATGATCATGTCCGTGATCAGCACACACTGTTGTTGTTTGTTGTTGTTCAATGGGCGAGTTTCCAGCAGTCGTGTCTGTAGAACTGGTTTCCAAGGATGCGCTACTTTGCTGTGTCTTTTCGAGATCCAGAGACTTGTTCTCGGCTGCCTTTTTAGCACGAATTCTTTCGATATTGGACACTGCAGCTAGTTCAAGTAATTGAAGAGCGAACGATGAAATCATACAAAAGACGCCTGCGAATGCACCATACGTTTGCCACCCGGCATCAAGACATGGGCTACCAAAATTTGCCAATGCCTCTGGTAACATGTGAACAAATGCAGTTGCCAAAATGACACCAGTACCGACTAAAAAAAAAAACCATTGTTACTCATGTGTCATTATGTTGTACATACATGTCGAATAAACCACTTACAAAATTTCCCCATTGTGAGCATCCAGTCTCTGGAGCTTCCCTTGTCATAAGGAGAGATGCGGTGCATAATGATAGGAGTGAAGACACCTATTGTGGAATGTGTTAATTAAGATGTGTATATCACAAGGCATAAAATAACGTTACCAAGAGCACTGGTACCAAAGATGATGAAGAGGGCGCCTACTCGCAATGGCATATTGTATTCATGGTTGATCTCTGCGGCACATTCATCTTGGACGTCAGTGGTAGCTATAGAAACAATACAGTGAGTAAGCTGTCAGATATATTTTGTCGAGACGGGATAAATCGAAAAGTTTACCTTCTTGAGCGTAAGCACAAGCAATGATGGCTGACAAAATCAAACAAAGTCTCCAATACGACATGACAAAAACAAGTATTGGCTATGACGGGCAACGTTGATATAGTGAAATACACAAGGTAAAAGGAAGAAGAAGAAGAAGAACAGTAATGTAACATTTGGATTTTTTTTTTTTAATATGACCATCAAGGTGTTCAAAATGAGTACCTTGACAGTGATGGTGTTTCGTTTCGGATAATCAATCAGACCAATAAGACTCAAAAATTTCTGCTTCAAATCAGTAAAATTTTTGCTTGGAGTCACTTATCATGTTGGCTCGCAACTGACAAGGTACTCACTTTAATTCCGTCCTTATTCCGTGAAACCCTGAAGATTTGATTTGATATAACAGAGGGAATGGATAGGCATGCAAGACCCACGTATTACTACAAAGCCGGCATGGGATGACCCTTCTACCCTAAAAGAATGAGTGGATCATCAACACCTTGATGGAATGCAAGCAAAAGCAAATGCCAGGATAAATGTTTTGCAACTGTTCACGAAACAAAAGACGTTATTCCATGAAACGAGTAGCGAGTGCATCGCTTAGCTTATTCAGATGTGTCAAAGTTTGCAATAGATACATCAGATCAAACGTGAGCAAAGTGAATACATTTGATGGTTTACGCCCATGACATCTCAGTGAGACAGGACGCTCTGATAGCATTTTTACTCACTCGACATGAAACCATGTTATTAGAAAAGTGCCATCTTTACTAGGATAATCAGAGCAACGTGTAGCTAAAGCCGTACCTGTTTTCGTATGAATGCAGTAGCCGATCAATCTCGCTACGCTCGAAGACGGCGTCGTGCAGCGGGCTCTCGCCGAAGACATTCCAATCAGAGATAATATAAATCTGGCATAAAAGTAAATGTTAAACAATCAGTTGATAGTAAACAAAAAAAAGGACTATATCAGAGTCAAGAGGGGGGGGGAGATATCCATTCGCTGATATTGCTCATGAGGTGGCGACACAAGACCGGCTATGCGTAAATACAGGCCTTGTGTAAGATCTACAGTGACATTCTGAGATATTGTCATTGCAAAAGACACTTTTATGAGGCAAGCCACTCTAAAAAGATATTCGGGCTAATCAATCGTCCTTTCTACTCCATTATCCCTATTTAATCAGCATCACAATCATCATTGTCATCATCAGAAAGGCATTTGGGTCAGCCAGCAGCAGCGCCGCCCGCGAAAATCAGTTTAAACTCAGACTTATTTTTTCTGCTCAAGATTGGCCAAGTCTCGTGCTTTATCGACCTGTTTAATGTTTTTTGCGAAATTCGACTATATATACTGTGATAATCGTCCGATGCTTCCTAATACATCCTAAGAGCACTTTTCAAGGCGCATCCAATGGTACCAAGTAAGATAGATGTTTTGAATAAACTTACCGAATAATTTACGAAAATACGAAAAGAGGTTTCTGGCCAAAGTGTCGAAATTTTGCATATCAAAGTTCCACAAAGATGATTTCAGGGGCTACGTTGGATCGACAGATACATTTTGAATTAATATATACCATAGTAAAAGTTTTCATTATCAAGGTCAAAAACGCGATCGTTTGATTTTCGATGAAAACCATGAGGGGTACCTCATGCTTTTTGGTCGATTTTTGGCCATGTTTTTTGGGTCCTCAAAAAATTGAGCAACGGTGTCAGGAAGTTACTACTGCTCGAGTACAATTGTTTGGCGTCATTCCGGTGGCTCAGAAAGGTCTACATGTCAAGATATGATGGTCTGAAAACTGTCCAATTTGGTTGTATTTTTGCTGTATGGCTTTTGTTTACACGGCTTGAATCACATCCTTGGTAGCTGAATCTTCTGGAAGAGTAGTTCTACAACCTGTGCAATTTCTAATTCGAATAGGAGACATATTGACTTTGGTAAAGCAAATTTTGATGTGTTATGTTGTTCGCAAACTGATTAAATAATGGGAATAAGAAGCCGAATTTGCTGCTTAAATACTATGGTTTTGCAACTTATATTCGCTACGGCAAAGCCGTCATTAAGACCAATGCTATCAAGTATTGGAGTCAATGCCTGATTGGCATGGTTTTACACCCTTGCTTCGCTACGATATAACCCTCAATAAGAAGGCCAATGTTACCAAGTGTTGGATTAGACACCTGATGTCCAATATGATTAGCTTGAACCTAATTTCCAACTCATTCATAAAATGTCATCATTCCTGTTCCTATTGGCTTTTTCTTCAAAAGGCTTTATTTTAGCTTTTTGTTCTTGTACATTGTCATCATGTCCACTACAGCCTCCCAACAACCAGACATTGACGAGTCTATTCAGGACATTCAATCTGGTAGCAAGGAAAACAACCCACATTCAGACGGTATCTGGGTATTTGGCTATGGCTCTTTGATATGGAAGCCACCAATTCATTACGAACAAAAGTAACTTGTCAACAAAAGCATGCCACTGTAATTGATGATAAATTGACGTATCAACAGGCAGATTGGATACATCAAGAACTATGTAAGAAGGTTCTGGCAGGTAACATTTGATGCTAGGTTTGCAGTACGATAGATGGACATCTGACCTTGTGTGTTTGCATGATGGAACAAAAAATAGCACAGTGAAGACCATAGAGGTACCCCTGAAAAGCCAGGTCGAGTAGTGACATTGATTCCCTATAATGAATGGAAAACAATCGAGAGTGTGGTAAGATGGTGGCGTAAACCTGAGTGGATGTGCGGCATTGACGGAATGGACACATACAGGAAGGACATGATAAGGTGACATGGGGTGTTGCATTCAAGATTCCTTCAGATGATGTGGAAGCCACAAGAGCGTATTTAGACCATAGAGAGAAGGTAGCGTGTATGCATTTGGGTACATGACACCGTCAACAAGACTAAACATCTCACACACACAAAGAATGGCTATACCGTGCATACGGTGGATGTCTTTAGCTTGGAGGACGATGAAACACCTGCTGTTAGAAATGTAGCCATCATGTAGTAGTATACACTTGCACAGTATCTCATTCCTCTCTGATAGGCGTTGGTGTACATTGGAACCACGGATAACGAAGCCTATGTAGGGCCTGCGCCAGCTGACAAGATTGCTCAACAAATTCACGATTCTTATGGTCCATCCGGCTGGAATGCAGAATACCTATTGAATCTGGCAGATGCGCTTCGGGAGATCAGCCCTGGTGTCAAGGACGACCATGTATTTGAATTAGAGAGACGGGTCAAGAAGATTATAGACGATAGCAGTAAGCAATAAACAATTTATTCTATCAAAAAAGCAATATACAAGATACAGGACATGCTGAGTGACATGACAACACATGTCATTGTCAATATAGCAGCACGAGAAAACCGTTCTCCTAGATTTGGTGGCTGTGTTGGTGGGGATAAGGGTATGTTTTTGATGTTGCAATGGTTGCTACTGCAACTAGCAATGCTACTGCTACTTTTACTACTGCTGAATGAACGGTGCTTTCTATGATGATGATGATGTTGTAGCAGTAGAGGCTCTTTTTCAAAACTTCTAAACTTTCTGGGCCAGAATGTCTGAAGCAAGAACGAGCTGAATGTGATGGTTTCCCTCTCGTATACAGAGACAATGGGCAGATGGCTACCTAGACTGCTGCTGCTGCTGTTGCCATAACCCCTGTCCATCATACATTGCTGCTGTTCGCTTAAGAGTATCCTGTCTATACAACTCTTGCAGTTGGTTGGATCAGATCGAGAGGATGTGGGATGATCAAAGCTGCAATACGAGTCAAATGACCTTCTCATACCACTTCTGCTTTGCTGTCGAAAGCAGCCATCTTGGGGATGCAGTAGTGGTGAATTAGCATTGGTATGGGTAGGCGATTCTTCTGCTGGTTGTTGTTTCCCATCCAAATCATCGTCGTAGCACGTAATGATGGTGGCAATGGTATTTGCACTGCTGCTTCTACTGCTACTCTCACCACTTGTTGTTGTTTGTATACTATCCAGACTGTGTTTAGAAGTAATGATACCTTGTTTCCTATGCTGTTGTTGTGGCGTTTGCCCTTGGATCAACAAAGGCTCATGTCCGGTGTCATTCATGCGAATCGACATCCAATCTGGCGTTGGCAAATCTTTGGACAGTGTTGCCATACCATGCAAGTAGGCAGAGAATCCGTCTACAGGCGTAAGCATGCCACATCTCATTAATTGCATCAACCATTCGTTTTCTGCATGGTCTGTACTTGCCGTGGTGGTGATGCCAACAACGCAGTATGGAAATGGATCTTCTGCTTTTGTTTGCTGCCAGATAGTGTCTTGTGTCGAGCACATGCTGATATCTGAATCGATCGAGATGGTGATAGACTGGTCCATTGAGGTATAAACAATGCGGTTCTGGGTTACTTTGAACACTGTATTTGCCTTGAGCATGAGTAACACAGTCAATAGAAAGGACGCTTATCATTACCTGGCTGTAGCTGCCTTGTATGCACTTGATATTCCATCGAAAGACACGCATCCCTCATTCCATGTATTGCATCATCTGAGCTTACAGTGTTTCCATCTGCGTGGTACTGGCATGAATCTTTGGACAATATGCTGCCAAGAGAAAATGACCCAGAAAGCCACGGCTGTAGATGTTTTGATTTGAGCCAAACTCGCTGTTGCACCCACGCCTGCTCTGTGCTATTCGCGTCGTACACTTTTTGCTCCACCATGGCATGAGGACTGTGAGTATCTAAGCTGCTGATACTATCGTACCATCGAGCACGGGTCATGAAGATTGTCTGTCTCTTATCAAGTCTCTGTGTATACCCGCTCAATTGAGGCGTATCCATGTACAACGTGGTCATTTTGTATTGATGGTCGCATGTGTGATGTCTGTCAGAATAGCCAATTTCGTTCACTGCTAGAGCTCTGAAAGCGGTATCATCTTGAGCTATCGTCATCTTGTCAGAGAGATACAGCATGATTTCAAGCATGTTGCTTGGATGAAGCCAATAAGTGTGATATTGCTGTTGTGGTGGTGATTGTAGACACATGTCTGATGATGGCCTTGTTTCACAAGAATGAATAGAACAAGACAAAGGCGAATATGCTAATGAACCATGGTTAGTCCTCTTGGATGCATGATTATTTGTGTTGGCTTGTTGCTGTTGTTGTTGAAGCAGTGCCACGTGGGAATCCTTGCTGTTATCAGTCTCGGCCTTGGTGTCATCCAGTTGTTGTGCCTTGAAGAATGTGGATATGCGGTAATAGGGTGATACCGATGAACTGGTCAAATACAAGAAATTTGCCTCTATGGCTAGCTTGTGGTATTCCATGGCATCTGTCCAAAAGGGCTTGCGGAAAACTACCTTGTGCACATCATTGTCACTGGTTGAATCATACTGCATAAACAAGCGTAGAAATCCACAGTAATTCAGCTTTGCAAATCTGTACAGCTGGAGGATCTCCAATGTGAGTGATTGAAAAGTAGCTGAAAGCATGGTGCATCTCTTTTGGTCTTGAAATGCCATGATGCGTCTGTCAATTTCGCCTCTTTTCAGCATGTAAAACTCGTATATCTATAGTATATTCAGTGAGTTCGCTTGATGTATTTAAATATATCATACGAAATGCCCTACTCTGATCCACTCATCCTGCAACCTACTACTCACGATACGACTATCCTGAGCAGCGGTCATCTCTCTTTGCAGCATCTCATAATCCATATAGTAGAATCGCCAGGGCGTGTATCTGGCAGCCTGCCAATGCTGGTCAAACTGTTCCAGTGCAGCCATGTCAGACAACGTACCTCTCCCGATAGACACAGTGGGCAGCCAATGTGGCAGGTGGACTGATTTGCTAGACATTTTACAGAGGGAGAAAAAGAAAAGAAAGAAGAGGGAAACCTCCAACAAGTTTCATATGATGCTATTTACCAGTAAATATTATTGTTCGGGACATCCATATCATGATAAAATCAAGCTCTTGTGCCTAGAACTGTGTGTGTTTCGTAACCGAGCAACAACCTGCCTATAACAAATAGAATTGCATGATCTGGCTTCCAACAAACCCAATCTTGATCAGTGTGTAGACGATGCTGCTATTCAAAAAATAACCTACAAAAAAAGATACCAAGCATTTTCTTTTCCTTTTTGTCCTTTTTCATCCCCTCAAAGATATCCAATATGAACGGTTTAGAAAGTACGACTGCAATACAGGCTTCTGAAATCAGGTTTTGCACATGTAAAAATAGTAACATTTGATATTAAATTATTTCTGTTTAGACCAGCTTTTTCAGTTAAAGGTAAATTACCAAAGGCGTACGTGTTGTGTGCCTTTGAGCTAAGCACCATCGTTTTATCACAGTTTACAGCGAAACAACTCAATAAACAATCCAAGCGCTGCCAAAAAGATGAAACAACCGAGAAGAACAAGCTGAAAAAAGCCATCCAGGACGGTAACATGGAGGGTGCTCGCATATACGCCTCAAATGCTATCCGAAAGAAGAATGAATCCTTGAATCTGCTCAAACTATCCTCTCGTATCGATGCCGTCGCAAGTCGTGTTCAAACTGCCATCACCATGAGAAAGGTACATGTATACACAGACATGCTGTATGATGTCATGGAATATATATGTGTGTGTGCACATACTAACTAATGAATTAGGTATCTAATTCAATGGCTCAAGTGGTTCGAGGCATGGGAAGAGCGATGGATACAATGAATTTAGAGCAGGTAAATACAATGGAGTGCAATATGGTGAGCTACTGCTAAGCATTCGGTAGATCTCCATGGTGATGGATAAATTTGAACAGCAATTCGAAGATCTTGATGTCCAAACAGGCTACATGGAAGGCGCAATGGCAGGCACAACTACCATGAACACACCCCAAGATGAGGTTGATTCGCTTATGCACCAAGTTGCAGATGAACACGGGTTGGAGTTGAATGACGCTTTGAATGAATTGGAGCCAAGCAAGGTCTTGAACGAACCCAAGCAGAAAGAGAAGGAAAAGGACGAGGATAGACTGTTGACGGAAAGACTAAAAGCCTTGAGACAATAAATAAAATGAACGCATAAATTATGATACATGCTCTTACATTACATGTCGTTAGCTTTGGTCTTTTTGCGCGCGAGAAAGATGGAAAGAAAGAACCAGGAAAAAATTGGGTGAATCTCCTTGCATATCATGTATAAATACATATCATCCATACAGCGTTATTGATAAACCATGTATATAAATAAATGCAAATTCATCGATTCTAATCTTTTCTCTCTCTCTCTCTCTCTCTCTCTTTCATTCCCTTTACAAACATGAGTCATCCACTCCACCACCAAATGTCCTTGATCTCTCTCCATTTTCAAACATGGACGCCAGACCATGAAGAAGACTCGTTCTCCAAGAATCTGCTGGATCAATTTGATCAAAAGATGGATCAAGACCAAAACGTAAGTGTGGGCGCCGTCATTTAGGCTTTTTCATGCGTCCTCCTTCCCTCACACAGACTCACCATCTCACTCTAGTCCCATCTTGTCATGGATCAGTCTGATATCAACATGTCGGATACAACATATGAAGAAGATGAGGACGAGCGAAACTTTTCATCTATCGCTTCTAGCCAGCATTTGAATGATATAAATAGAACAAGCATACTTACGAGTACCAGTAGTTTCAAGATCAAAGAACATGAAAATCCAAGTACATCGGCAGCTGCTGTGGTTGCTGCTGCTAGAGCTGCTAGTAAGCAATCCTTTCTACTAGACAGCGATTCCTGCTGCGCTTCAGCTGCCATCTCGATCCAGCGACCACCTCAGCCACAGCCATCACAACCGCAAAAAAAAAAAGCAAAATATACTCAAGAAATCCTCCATGTTCTTTTCTGAAAAGATCATCAAGAAGAAATCCACCCTATTTACGAAGGCTCCACCACCTGCCACACCTACCACAACCACCACAGCAGCACCCCATGATAGACTGAAGCGAAGCTTGGATCAAAAGAAAAGGTCCAGCCCTGGCATCACCATCAAATCACAACCACAACCACAACCACAGCAGCCGTCATCCAATGTGAAATTGACTCCTTGGTGGCGCCGTCTCAACAACTACCTTATTCCACGTGATGATGCTCGCTGAAGGATGCTCTGGGTGAGGTAGGAGGAGGAGGAGGAGGAGGAGGAGAGAGAGAAAGAAGCACAGCAAGAGAGGTGAACGCGAAGTCAATTTATTTACAGTCAAATAAATTTTTGTCCTTTTTTTTCTTTCCTTTCTTTCTTTGTTATATAAAAAGATACAATAAACGATGGTTGCTCCTATTAACGAATACACACTTGAGGAGAATACTGTTTTTTCCATCGTGGGTAAGGGCCTCAAGCTGAACACTGCTGCCGATGTGCAAGAATTTGTTGATACCATCCGTCAAATGGACGACCTTCAAGTCATTAAATTGAGTGGAAATACCATTGGTGTTGAGGCTGGTCAAGCCTTGGGTGAAGCATTAAAGACCAAGACGCAGTTAAAGGTAAGGTTCTGCTCGCCTGTCATTGTCTAACATTCCCACTGACCATCCCCATAGCAAGCTCTTTTATCCGACATCTTTACAGGCCGTTTGCTGTCCGAAATTCCTCTCGCTCTCAAGGCCCTGTGTGATGCCTTTGAACAAGTAGATTTGTTAGAATTAGACTTATCCGACAATGCTTTCGGTCCTGCAGGTGCTCAGCCTTTGATCGACTTTTTATCCAACACAAAAACCCTTCAAACATTGCGTCTCAACAACAATGGTTTGGGTCTGGGTGGCGGTGCCATGATCGCTCAAGCACTTCAAGCCAACGCTGATAACGCTAAAGCAGAGAATCGCCCTAGCTCTCTTCGCACCATTATTTGTGGACGCAATCGTCTCGAAGATGGATCCTCCAAAGCCTTGGCCCGTGCTTTCTCTTCTCATGGTACCTTGGAAGTCGTCCGTATGCCTCAAAACGGTATTCGCCCTGACGGTATTCGCACCATTGTAGAAGGTCTTCGTGATTGTAAAAACTTGCGCCACCTCGATCTTCAGGACAACACATTCACCGTCAAAGGATCCAAAGCTTTGGCTGCTGCTTTGCCTAGCTGGCCCAACCTCGAAATCTTGAACGTCTCTGATTGTTTATTGAGCAAGAAGGGTGGTGCTTATGTGTTCTCTGCTCTTGAGCGCGGTGAAAACAAGCAATTGAAGGAATTGCTGGCTCAATACAACGAAATCCGTGCTGATGCTGTCCAAATTTTAGCTGCTGCTATCAAATCACACTTGAACTTGCTCGAGAAACTTGAATTGAACGGTAACATGTTTGAAGAGGATCATCAAGTGGTTGAGATCTTGAGAGATGCACTTGCTACTTGGGACCATGAGGATGCTTTGGACGAGTTGGATGAAATGGAAGATGTCGATAGTGAAGAAGAGGAAGAAGAAGAAGAGGAGGAGGAGGAGGAAGAACCTGAGCTTGTCAAGGAGGCCGAGGAGGCTGAAGCCAAAGAACCTACAAAGGATGAAAAGTTAGATACAAAGGCAGAAGACGAATTAGCCGAGAAGCTGGCCGAGACACATATCTAAATTATATACATGCGCACACTACAACCAAACTCACATACTACAACATTATATTATACAATAAAACTCACTATATACTCCTTTCGATCTTTAAAATCTTGGCCAACGGTATATGCTTTTACATGTGCAAGCAAACTGATTGAATACAGGGCGATACGCATTGTCATTCATGGCAATCACTTGATGCATGTGGTGTTTGTCATACAACGTTAAATCCCTTCTGGATAGACTATCAGACAAGCTTCATGACAACATACTGTTACCTTTTTATAGGCATTGCGTTGGGCAAAAGATCGCAGGATGTTGTCGCACTATAATCTCAGGTGCTACCAATTGTGATGAAATCCTTATAGAATCGGCCACAGATCACCTTTTGAATCTCGTACAATGCAATGTACCAAATGATTGATTTGACCATCTGCCATATCTATACAGCCTTTGTTTGCGCGATATTATGCTAAAAATCTGCCATATCTGGTCAAATTCAACCGCTCATTTCTCGTCCTACAGTTCGTTTCCAGAGGTCAGGATAGTATTCAATGATTGCTTTTAGATTGTGGATACTTCCTGACGCCTTGGCTAAAAAAATTTTGGGTCATGAAAACATGGTCGAAAACTGCCATTTTTCCATGAGGGATACCTCACGAAAATCGCCGAATTTCAGTTGATCGCGTTTTTCACCTCGAAAACGACATTTTCTTCTATAGTGTTTATAGGATCAAAATGATCCTAGAGACTCATTGCAACGTCTTACATTGCGAAACCGAAAGTTGTATATAAAAAAAATTGACTTTTGCTTCCAAAACCGCATTTTAAACTTTTCAAGATTACTCTTTAGTTTAAAGGAAAAAGTCGTGTGCTCTTGGTACCATCAGAAGCGCCTTGAAAAATGCTACAGAAAAGTGGCTGGTAGCTGGGTAACGTAAATAGTACTTATCTAGTCGAATTTGACCTTGAAGATAGAATTATCACTTTTTAGGTCGAATTTTATCAATCTGAAAAAAAAAAGAAAACGCCGGCGTTTGAAATCGCAGGCTGTTGGGTGGTGGCCATGGTTATCTGTTACAATGCCTGCAGTAAGATATGGATGAAATAGCATCAGAATAAAACCATGATGCATATGTTATGGTTGGAATAGTTTAAGTTGTTATTTTTGTATTCATATAACTATAGGCGTTTGAAAACCAAAACCAAAAGTTGCGAATAATCTGGCGATAGTAAACAGGTTGTAGTCAGGCATGAGGTGATGCTATGATTACCAACTCTCATAGTGATGCCTGTTTCCGACAGACGCCATGCTGTACATACAGTTAGCTATGTTTTGACGCTAATATAAGTATACACAATTCAAAGGGATCGCCCAGTGGAAAATAGCCCCTTATGATGCCTCCGTTACAAGGTAATACAGTGCGCATCAATCTCGGATCTGAAAGAAAAATTGCATAATAAGCTCGAATTTCAGAGCATGAAACTACAAACAATAAAAGCAGATGATGTTTATATAATATGTACAGATGATACAGCTTGAAAATGCAATGCTTTATTATTAAAATTTATCATCAAAAGATGTAAAATTCTTGCTTTTGACCAACATGTGATTCTGGTATATCTCCCAAAGTTTGTTTCCCTCTACGCTATCTTCCACCATCAGTTTGGCCAAATCAAAGTAAGATTCTACCGTCAAATCTTGCATGCCATAGGTTTCCTTGGTCGAGTACTCTAGTTCGTATTCTAAGGGCCTGTCTGTATTCAATTCATTCCACTTGGTGAGATTGGCAAAGTATTGGGAATAGCCTAGCAAGGTACCATGAGGCAAAAGATTGTCTTCATCATCATCGTCATCATCATCGTCATCATCATCGCCATTGTCACCATCATCGTCGTCGCTGTCTTCATCTGGATTGACTTCATATTGATAGATTCTGAACGATGGGTGATAGATAGGTAAAATGGATGGAGATACTTGCACAACAACTAATGGAGGGTGAGGTTTTTCAGGGCTTCTATTCTTGTCATCATCTAATGGCTCTATATTTTGGTACATGTTCTTCAACCATCCCATGTAAGCTTCAATGTTTCTTGCCGTGTGAAAGACTTCATGATCGTCATCCTCATCATGTTGATCTACGTTGCTTTGAAATGCTTGTTGTTGTGGCTGCTGCAGCAAATGATGATCCAGAGCAGGCATAACAGGAACAGACTTTGCATCTTGCCTGCCATCAAACATGAGGAAATGATCCATATTGAGATGGGCAAAGAAATGACCCATAATCACATCAGTGTAGCTTGTGGCAATGCGCATGTATGCTGTCAAGCAGGTGTTCTTGTAATCACGAGGAGATGGTGGGACATGACCGATCACATAGATTTTCTCATTGTCTCTGCGCGCCTTCTTTAATTGGTCTTCAAACCACACGAGTTGAATGGCTGCTGGACTATCAGGGTGTAAACAATTGTGCGCAGCCTTGTTTTTGGTGTAAAAGTACATTGAGTTTAGAGTAAGGACGTTCAAGCGTGGTGCGACTTGTACGACGTAATAGCCCCCTTGACGAAACATGGATCTCTGTTGCATTGGCATCCATGATCTCCACATGCGTTCATAAAACATGAGCAAATCACCATCTATTTCAGCGCCTCCAATCTGGTTATGGGGATAGACATCATTATTACCAAAACTTGGGATAATGGGTATTTTATCATTGACCCAAAACGTATCCATCATCATGTCTGTGACACGTTGATTAAGCTCATACACATGTCTTCTCTTTCTACGACGCTTTTTGTCCCAGTCATGTCTGAGGCATTTTAACGTTAGTTTCATGTTGGACAAGTCTTCTTTCTAGTGGCACCTACTTGGCATTATCGCCTGTCCATACGACGAAATCAAGCTTGTCCTTCCATTCTTTGGAAATCCAGTCCAATGTCTCTTGAGCCAACAGAATCGGTGCATCACATCTCTCTCCAGGTGTTCCGTACTTTCCTGATAAAATGACGGGTTCTTGCTTCTTCTTCTTTTTCTCGGCATACAGATCAGGCAACTGATGGCAAGCTGATTTCACAGTGGCTCCTTGGATATAATCTGGATCAATCTGTAGGAATAGGGAATTCAGTCAGTATGAACAAAACTTCATCCCTTTGTCCTCCCCCCCCTTTATATACAAATACGCAAGCATTTTGCAATCCCTTGTGAAACCCCCTGATGTACTTACATGCATGTCTGTAATATGAAGAAAGTAGCCATGTTGCTTGCTCTTGTAGATGGGTGCTTCTTTGTAGATCTCGGGATACTTGCCTGTCCAGACAGACCATGAAGATGCAGGTACCTGAGACAATGCTAGATTGCTGGTTGTCCAATCTCCAAGAAGGAAGAAGTCTCTTGTAGGCTTCATCAACCAATACCAAACAAACATTGTAATGCAAATCAGGATACCATACGAAAACAGCGCTAGTTTCATCATACTGAGATGCTGGTATATGTGTTTGTAGGTATAAATTGTATTAGTTTGAAAAAGTAGAGAGAAAAAAGAAAAGGAGAAGGAATTATTTATTGATCAGTATTCATATAAATATGTAACATATCAATTGTCAAAATAGTGACTCTTTGTATACATGTAAGATCATGGTAAATGTAATACTTGGATCATCATGAGGTTTTCATTTGAATGATCGTTCGCAGCAACTAATTTCAGTCCAATACTCTAGCCAACATGTCAATAAATCCACATTTTTATTGGAATAGCATCATGCGGTATCTTTTTTTATACACTTCTCTGAATTTAAAGTTATCATACACACTGAAAAGTATAGATCAAGAAATGACTACATTAAGATTTAGGGTTGGGTAACCCACCTGCCATATGATTGCTAGTTTAAGAAGTTTCCTTCCTCAGCCTCTTCTTTGGGCAGCCTTTTCATCTCTTCTTGGTTGCTATATGAATGGCAAATATTTAAGCTTAGATCAGAAATTGCTTGCGCTTGGAAGCCTGAAGGGTAGCTCCATGTTGCAGCAGCGATAAAGCATGATTATACGCCTTGGCTGGATTTCAGATTTACAACCAAATGTGCAGCATCTCAGTTTCAAGTTAAAGAATGCTGATCATTCACCCGCAGTCAAATAATACCCAAGCAATGAGATATACCCAGGAACCAAGGCATCCTGATGCACAGCCGTCTAGAAGCGTAAATGCATGAATTCTTTGATCCACCGAATGCCACTGGATCCCCTCAATTTCAGGTACCAAATCAGCATTTATACAAGCCACTAAAGTTCCATTGCAAACAGTCCATAAATTTTTTAGATGAAAATTTTTTAGCAGCTGCAATAAATAGCAGCGTTCAACATGGAACGCCAGTTTTTAGTTCTTCCTCTCATTCTTTTCATATTTTTTTAAAAATGGCTCCCGTCAAGACCTCCACCGCTGCCGTCAAGAAGTCCAAGTTCGTCATCGACTGTTCTGGTCCTGCTAACGACAAGATCTTTGATGCTGCCGCTTTCGAGAAGTATCTCCATGATCGTATCAAGGTTGACGGTCGCACCAACAACCTCGGTGAAGCTGTTACCATCTCTCGTTCTGCTGATAACAAGATCACTGTTGTCGCCAACATTGCCTTCTCCAAGCGTTACCTCAAGTACCTTACCAAGAAGTTCTTGAAGAAGAACCAAATCCGTGATTGGCTCCGTGTTATTGCCACTGACAAGCAAACCTTCGAACTTCGTTACTTCAACATTGCCAACGATGAAGAGGCCGAGGACGATGAAGAGTAAATTTTATAATTTGCATCTAAAATAAATTTAGTGTTTTCTTCTTTTTTCTTTTGCTTGTTTCTGTTCTCAGAGAATGGATCAAGTGAAGGGAAGGGAGGAAAAGGGTGAGACGAGAACGAACCCTTTAACTGAGTATATCTCTTTTAAAAAAAATCACAATCTCTTTGGAATTAAAATCGAATGAACTCTCGTCGCTGGATGCTACTATTACTATATACCCCTTCATATGGTAGTATCCTGTGCTTGGTTCATCTTTACACATATACATCTATCTTTTTAAACTATGCTGTTGAGTGAGTAATCAATGTCTTCCTTTAAGCCACTGCGATTCTTTGAGAATGCTCTCCGAAAGAGCTTCCAATCCTCAATTTGTCTATCCTGCTACATCTGAGACGAACGTATCAAAGTCTAGGCTAATTATTATTGAAAACTGATGCCCTGGTACGAAGCAACTGCCTGCTGCACTTTGGATTGCATTGCAGCTGCCAATCTAATTGCCTTGATTCATGTCACTGATAATCAACACTAAACATTCTGCGCTTTCTATCCGTATCTTTATTTCAAATTGTCATCCATACTGCAAATATCAATCTAAAATACGTTCATTTCATTTGAAATTAGAAATTGTAATGACAGTAGAGTTGAGGATTGTTGAACTTGACTCTTGCATTGCAAAATTTGCCCTGTCAGCGTCTGTAACCATGGGCCCAATATTAAAGTATTCGAGAGCGATCAAGATGGTGATGGGAATCAGGACAAGACAACCAACTGCCATGCCTATTTTGAGTCCTTTCTCTACAGGCATTTTGATATGTGAAAGATTGATTTGATTTTATTGATAGATAGTTGACGTGTTCCCCATATGAAAATGGCTACAATTTATATATAAACCACCTGACAATAAAACCATCATTGGTGTCATTGAACGGATAAACCAAGCCTGTATGATGCCATTTTGATATCTACATTCTATTCTGTCTGAGCTCATGCTTGACCCTGCCAAGCACACAATCTACCGTCCTCTCCTCCCGTTAAAATGCTTTGTGTTGAATGGTTCCAGTATAATGATCGAACGACATCAGAATGACCACCAGCCACTTTAAGTTGTTGACAGTGTTGAAGCTGTCCAACATTGACATGAAAGAAATCCACTGTACCACTGCAAATCATAGTCAATACAAACCATACCCTTATCATCTCATTCCATTGATAGTTTACCTGTTGTCACCAGTAATTAAATAAAATCGTTGTGCCACTGGATCATAGCTGCAGTCAATAGCATAATCAACGGGTGTCAGTCCAATGGATCGAATATCGCCAAAATTGCAAATGGTATCGCCTTCTAATGTGTGTAGAGAAAACGTTTCGACATGTGTCAAGCAGTACAGATATTCAGCATTAGGGCCAAAGTAGCCTGCTTTGTTAACAGATGATCCAGAGTTGACTACCGAGAGCATAGCTTCTTCTTCATCAAATTCAGTGACATCGTAGTTGTTGAGTAATCCATCAGTTGAACAAGAGATGAATTGTGCTGGTAATGTAGGATGGCATTGGATCTAGACATTGTTAGGATGCTGTCTTTCCAAGAAATTCATTCGTGGTCTTACCTCTGTAATATCATCACCATGGGATTCATCAAATGTATGTAACAATGCGGCATTTCGGGTATCAAAGAATGCCAGATCAGCAGATTGAGTGCTCGTTGAGAATTCAGTGCCTGCAATTGCCATTGTATCGTTGCAATTAAGGTCAAAAGCAGTGAGTGGCTTGCTATCTAGAGTTGCTGTTAGTACACTTAAAAGCGGTGCTGTCATGTTAGGATTTACATTTGAATACTTGTACAGGGCCTGTGGATCCAGCTGCTCTCAGATCCCATCGTTTTAGTGTCTGATCCTCGCTTGCTGTAAATAGGTACTGATCGCTTTTCAGTTTCATTTTAGATATTCTTTCTTGATGAGCCGGGATGGTGTATGATAGTTGCAATGTGCTGAGGTCGTAAAGACGAACAGCGTTGTCTGATGCAGAGGTGATGGCATATTGAGAATTTGCTGATACATCAAATACATAGTCATCGTTGTAACCAAGATCAATGCCTTTGACCAGTTGAAAGGGAGGCAGGATGTCTGTGCAAGTTTGAACGTCTATAGAGCTTGACATGATTCAGTGGTAAGGTGAAGAAAAAAAAAAGTTTTTTGTTTGGAGTTTCAATGAGATTGAGTGCGGTTAAACTGTTCAAGCTTGTGAAGCTCCACCACATAATCAGTTTATTTCAATTAATTTAAAAGCTTTATAAGTTCGTCTTGACCTTTGAGTCGAATCAGCTCTTCAATGGCCTGGTATTTTGTGCCTTCAGCGTTGTTTATCGCCACTTCTTCTTCTTCTTCGTCTTCTGGTGCTGTCGAAGGGTGTGTTGATATCGATAGTGTGTCCTCCATCTACGACGTCTCATTCAGTCACTCATCAAGATGATCAAAAGATTGGCATACACTTACATTGGCAGCATCTAGTAGCATCTGAACGCCATCATTCTGAAACTGTGCTATGTCTTGAAAATCAAATGCTTGCAGGCTCTCAAGCCATTCACTTGCGCCTGATTTGATGTAATCCTGTTGTGTATGCAATGACCTGTAAAAACGATACCTAATTCATTTGATGTTAGAAATAGATTGCCTTGGTGATGTTTATTATAGTATAATCTCACTTTCTTGCATAGCTTAGAAACTCATTTTCAATGTCTGATGCGTTCACATTGTATACAACGCCTCCGTAGTCAACAATTTTGTCTGCTTCTGGAAACGTTAGATCTTCTTCCGGTAGTGCAACTTTTACAACATTGCCATCTTTTTTTACTAGCTTGTGCTTTCGTGCCTAATTCAAACTAGATATAAATAAAGAGTAGACGCATAAAACGGCTGAAGTAGAGTTACATATGATCTGCCATCGTGCTGAGGACATTTCCAATCTTTCAATGAATGTGTGTCAACTGGATATACCAAGCAACTTGCATGCCAATATTTATAACACTGGCAACAGTTAATGGGTTCTGTAGAGTCATTGATGGTTTTTCTGCAGCGGTAACAAACGGGTAAATTAGCCATGATAGAGGATTTTAGGATATAACAAAAGAAAGAAAGCTAGTTGCTTTATTATTACTCCAAATACGCCCATTTTTTTATTGAATCAATTTTTTTTCAAGCACCTTTGTATTTGTATTTTGAGCCCTCTAATTCGTCAAGGCCCTGATAAACTTGATTTATCATATGGAAAGCAAACCAATACATCGTCGTTAATACAAGAGGTATAGCCCAGAAGAACAGCTCAATCGATGTAGCACTACTGAAAAGGCACATTAAAGGTGAGATGAAGCCAGTTACTATTGCAACTGATCCAGTGTATCGCAGAGGAAGTTGAGGTATCGTTGCCATCTTGACTCTGGAGGAACCCAAAAGTGTCAAAATCGACAAAAAAATTGATATCAAGCTGAAGAATACAGCAAAAGTAGGTGATTTTAAGGTTGAGGGTGTGGATTCAAAGATGTCTGCTATTGGGATGGTGGGTATACTTGATTTTTGTAGTAAGACGCTGCCAAATCTATAAGACAAAAATGAGTAAAAGTTGCATTCCAGAATGATAGCCGTCCATACAGTGCTGCTACGAGTAATCCAATAACGACGAGGCCAATCTAAGCATCAGCAAGTTGAGTGCAAGTCTTTAAATAAGATGTCAACCTAAAATTGTCTACCTGAATATGCATATTTGCTGTATCATTTTGCTCACGAAGCTCCTGTAATAATTTCTCTTGCTCTTTCAATTATAACAATGATAAATTTAAATACAAGGCAGGCATATTCTTCAAATAAAACTTACCTTCTTCATCCAAGAATTCTGCTTCTTCCTCGGGATTCTTTACAGATTCCTTCTTTCTAAAATGCAGACCCTCCATAAATGATACAACTAAAATTTAGTATCAAGAAAGAAAAAAAAGAGTCGTGCACATGCGTAAGAAACACTGAATGTCATATGGTGCGTATCCAGGGGTTACAACAATAGCTTCAGCATCGCCAGAAACGTATCACGCATTTTAAATTTTGGCAAAAATGAAAGCCCAACGGGGGGGTCGAACCCCCAACCTTGAGATTAAGAGTCTCACGCTCTACCGATTGAGCTAGCTAGGCATATGTATATATTTGTCGTGCCTAAATTTAGTTTTAAGCCAGATTTAAAGAAAGCGACTATTAGGCATCAGCATATACCCGAAGGTTCAGGAAACTGATAGCAGGCATTGATCTGATTGTCAGTTACTATATCAGTTACTATATCTACTCGAAAGTCCCATTGATTAAGTGATTATCGATCGTAGAAATAGTATAAATATAAGTTGTAAATGCGTTCAATAAACAGCATCTGCAGTGAAATCAGGTTTAATGGATTTCACAAAAAAAAATAAAGCAAAGGTAAAATACAATAGAAATCAACTGTATTTTATTTTGTGTATAAAATGAACTGAAGATCCTGGAATTGAGTAAAAAAAGAAGAGTATTTATACATTTGCAGCTAGCTTGTAGGATTAGTGATGATAGAGAGCAATAGGTTCTGCTATTGCGATATCTGGCAAATGTTGTTGATGTTTGATTTAAAGTGGTAATCAATGCAAGAGCACTGGCCATAAGGGTCGATTTGAGTAACCTTGATGGGTTTGGGTGAGCTATCGTCATAGCATGATTTAATGTAACCTTGATGGTTTAAAGTGTGATGTTTGTTATTGAAGTATGGAACCTTTTATCTGGGATATTGTGCAACTATGGCAGCAGGGCATAGTTGTCGTATTTGAATATGCTTGTTATTGATTTGATTCTATTTGGATAAAGATACCATCACTTATTACGACCATCATGGGTGTGATTGAATACACTGTGATCAGGAGTGATTCATTCACACGATGTGCGATATAAGCATGCATCTTTACTTTAGTATTTTTAAATGGTTTTTTGATGTACATTTGAGCGCTTTCATTAATAGATCCAAATAGCATGAATTTGAATGAGTGCTATTTGATGAACTTTGGTTTTCAATTAAGTTGCGTTTGGGTGGCTATTTCATTACATAGAGAACAAATGAGACGGCGTGCTTCAAAACGTTATATTCAGAACCGCTTGGCGATTGCTTGCTTCGTTGTGATGTGGCAGAAATTTGACGCTGTGTCTTACATTTTAGCCAACTTTGAGTAATGAGCTTCATATAAGATCCTGTTAACTACAGTTGATTAGACATAGTAGATTGATGGATTAGATGTCGAGAAATGTAGTTTTTAACCTCTTGGCGATGACTTGCTTTGCTGGGGTTTGGCGAAAGATCAAATATTTGTTGCACATTTCACAAAAAGGCTGAATAGTTGCACATTTGACTTCTATCACAAAAACTTCCCATAGATTAGAAACAATTGATACTCCGCAAAAGAATACCATGAAGCTCTGCAAAGATGTACATATGTATCATATTTGCGTAGATCTCCTGTGAGTTTGCGGAGATCAAATATGCATAGAGTTACAGCTATTCAGAATGAGAATCCATGGGACTCCAAAATCTATCGACCTTTACATTACGCGTTTCTTGATAGTAAATACCCCTTCAAACTTATATGAAACTTGTAGAGAATTCAAAGGAGAATTTAATTGTATCTATATCAAGTGTTTGCTGTACATTATTCAACTGATATTTGATAAGTTAAATTATGCAATTTTTTCACTGTTTTCTAAAGATTAATCAGTATCTGTCATCAAAACATTTTGTTAAGCATTACTAAACATTGTAGACCAAAAAATTTCCTATAGAATGAGCTATTGCTTGAAGCTCTGGCATAACTCTATCATGAAATATTGAAAATCTTGTCCTGACCAAAAAATCCTTATCAGATTTTTTGCTTGCTATCACAGGCAGATTTTGAAGGAAAATCCGTGATTTTGCATGATACCCTTTTTTTGTCCATATCTCGACAAATACTCACTGTATTTGCACAAATCAAAGACCATTAAATAGCTCTACGTTATATCCATTATAATATAAAAGTTTCAAGTACCAGATGTGCGTTCCCTTCATAAATTTGCTCAAAATCGTATATTTTATGAGCTACAAGCAGGAGACATTCAACTTTTTTTTTATTTATCTGTAATAACCATACCATCGTATAGAGAACTCAGAAAGAAAAAGAAGCCACTAAGCTTGAACCTCTCGTTCACTTAGTAAAATCCAGAGGTATGGCCCTTTGAAAATCGGTCATTTGGAACATTTTCCGTCATTAATCATCCACATTATCATCAATAACCCAACATAAAACCTGCCCTAGTCAGGCAAAGTACCCTCTACAACTTTCACTACACATACATCCCACATTCATATAATAAATTATAAAGTTTTACTAGCAGCATCTATTCATAATAAACTATTTTCTAAAATCACCCTTTTCTCAACAACCAGACTACCTACGCAGATTTCAATTGCACCATCGTTTAAAGGGCAAAAGCGGGGTCTCAAATCAAACAAAACTCCGAAAGCGGCATTTAAAACGTTGAAACGACGTTTTTGGCAAATAGAAGAAAACACTGCAAAAAACATGATGTCCATTTCTCTTTCTGTCTGGATCGGCAATGCAGTACCCGAAATCTTCAGAAGGAACAATCGATAAATGTTATATTCTCCCATCGCCGTAATAAACACGGTTTCCTTCTTTTTGATTTAGATTACTACAGGTAAAAAAAAATGTCTGAATGAGCATCTCGATTAGTCTCAAAACTAACTCTTTTCTGTCTCGACTTCATTTTCCTCTTTGTCTAAAAAGGTAAACATATTGTCCAGAAATTAATTTTTATTCGTCCAGAAAGAAACTAACATCGTCTGCATTTGGAGTGTAAATACTGTAATGATGGAACACCTGTTGTAATTTTTGGTATCCATAAATGCTAGTAATATTATAATGGGTTATGGACGAATGTTCAAAGCAAAAACTGCTGTTGCTTATAAGGGAAATATATGCGGTGTTGGCAAGTTTATATCTGAGCATTTTGTAATGATCTAAACACTTCATCGTCTATATAATAAGCCTGAAACAACAGCTCAAACACATGTAGTCTCTCCTCCAAACGAGCCATTCGTTTTTCTTCATCTTCGTCTTCGTCGCTAACCATACAAAAGTCACCCTTCTTTGAAGTGATTGTAAGAGTATCGTCTTCTTTTTCTTCGATTATTGTTGTGCGATGAGCCAACTGAGGTTTTCTTGTTGCACTTATTGGAGTTGAAGAAGTAGTAGGAGAGGTTGACAATAATGCTTCTGAGAACCGTCTATGAACTGGATGTACAATGGGAATATGGACTTGATCTGTTGTAGGAAAACGAGCTCTTAGGCCTTGCAGCAATGACCTTCTCATTAAACCTACGGACCAGCGATGCAATATACCCCACGGTGATCTAGGTCGATAGCCAAACAAACTCGCCTGAAATCCGACAATAAGACCAAAGATACCACCGACTATACCCATTCCATTTACCAGAGTAAATGCTCGTTGTTCTCGCATTACAGTAACATCGTAGCGCATAGGATACACATGCAGAGAGCCCAGAGGCTGCGGGTTTGTACCATATGTCGTCTCACTATCAGCGCTCATTTGATTGCTCTTCAGTTGATATTGAGATATGCGAGTTGAGCCAAAGCCAATGTAATTCCAAGCGCTGCCATCCATTTTTTGCCGTTCCAATAACTCATATCCAATGCGCGTGGAATAACTGGGATGCACTTCAAATACGTTTTCAGTTTTGAGATTCATCTGCTCCGAGGATTGAAACTTGGCATTTTCGTCCATGCTATACCATTCAAAATCTCCACTGATATTGTATACAGGAAGATTCGCATCATGGTCCGGATGGTATAATTCAACATGCAATATACTGTTGTTACTGGGTTGACCATAGTAATAGAATTTTAGAAAAGAGCCACTGTGCGCTATGCGATCGTTCGTTCTTCCCAGTTTGAATGTCTGTTTCAGTGGTCTGAATAGCTGGCAGGATAGCTTTGTGCCGTAATAGTTTAGATTGGATCTGACATTTTCAGTGATGTTGATCAAGTAATTGCTGCATGATTCTCCAAAGTCAGTAGCACATTGCAGCACAGGACTTGCCGTATTTACCCAGCCGTCAAAGCAGAATCTGATGTCTACAATCTCGAGTCAGCTTGAAGCATTTCTTGATGGCATCGCCTTTGTATTACCTGGTGCTGCCACCGTATAATCAGAATTATGATCGTAATACTGTTGATCTATGATGGGGCTATTTTGCACTTGTAAAATCAAGACTGTAGTCATAGTAATGAAGATAGCCAAGAATGAAAAGCGAAACAAAAGTCGGCTTATTTCTGCCCACAGAGGCTCCCCTGGCCTGATTTGATTATATGCGCTTGTAAGAAAAAAAAAAAAAGCCATTTTTATATACATAGGTGAAGGATAATCGTACCTTGGATTCCATATATTCCGTCTAGTACTTGTAAACAGACTGTTTATAGTTGATCCATGTCGTTTGGTTAGCCAGTAGCCCAGCAACACCACCGAAGCTGATCCGACAAATGCACCAAAGATCGATAATCCGACAATCAAACCGACAGAGTAGTGCTGATGGATACTATAATACACATCAGCAGGCGGCAGCCATTGATTGGTGTCCAAATCAAATACATACAAGCCGTCGTATACAGTGTGATAGTTGATGCCTACGTGTAGATGTTTAGCTTGGTTTGCAGAGAGATTTACAGAACAAGCGAGCTACCAAATCCATAAATCATTTTTGTTTCATTGACAATATTGGCTACGGCATGCGATCTCGGAAAGGGCTGATAGGGCGAAGCGCCCGGAATGTGCCACTCCCATGTATTCACGTCGAGTATTGCCATCATGTCAGAGGCGCGCTCTCCAGACAGATAGGACTGAAATGGCTCAGCCTCTTGATTCTGTCCTGTGATTTGCCGTTAATGCCATGCTGGAATTCTGCAAACAATGGTTCATTTACCTCCACAAATAACAATGCGATTGTCCCTTGCTACGAAAGAAGCCCTTCTTTTTTTAGTCCAAGCACTGACGTGAAGCGCTCTATACTTACATTTTACCGCTGTATGGAAAGTTCTAGCTTGTGGAATGTCTCCTTTCAATGTTTGCTGGTACCATTCGTCTGTTTTCGTGTCATAAACAGCGGCATTATTTAATGAAATTAAGCTTTTTGTAGTTTGTGTCAACAGCGATGCATTCGAACAGTCGTAGCCGCCTAAAACAACCATCTTACCATCACTACAGAAAAGACTGACATGTTAGTGTTTGCTCTCTCTCTCTTCGCCCAACGATTCAATACCGACTCCAACATGGTGGAAGTATGTCCACATCTAGCCACATCTAGGTCGGATAGTCTAGTCCAGCCATCCATCTCTGCATTGTATCGCCAAACGTCATGTAAACCATGAGTCATATTCATGCCGCCATAGAGATAAATGCCACTCTCTGATTTGCTTGTTGTGTGCCAGAATCTCTCAAGGGGCGTCTCTATTGTCGCATTTTTCTTTTGGAGTGGCGTCCATTTTCTCAGATCAAAGCTGAATTGGTAATACCGTAGATATTCTGGCTCTGCTGGAGGCGTCATGTTGTGCTCGTTTAGATGGCCGCCAAATGAGATCAATGTGGATGCATTCAGGCTTTGCAGTGAATGGTATATCACAGCCGGCGAGGCGTATGGATCTGTTTCTATCTGTGTCAGCTTGCTGAGGGAGCTATCCAGTGTCCACAGGGCTTCCTTGTTCCACGGAGCCACATTGTAGAAACCGCCATAGATGTAGATGGTGTCATTGATGCGTATGGAGTCAGCGCCGTAGATGGGTCTGTTGGTGCTCTTCAATTCTTGCCCAGCAGGCAATACAGAGGGATTCATATTTGAACGCACTAAAAGGGATGAAATAATAAAAAAAAAAAAAAAAAGAAAAAGGGTAGAGCCCCAATAAATAGCCTCGTCCGTGTTAGACAAATGCAGCAAGCAGAAGGATTAAGGAGGTGTATATGATGCATACTCTTTATTACAAAATACAACAATTTTAAGCTGTGTGTTCTTGTTCAGATTCAGTCTCTGTGCCGGATAGCTCTGAATCCGTGGTTTCCTCCTCATCCCCGTCGTCATCCTCATCACCCGTCTCGTTATCAGTCTCGTCAGTCTCCTCGTCTCTCTCTCTCTTGGCGATGGGGCAGTTGCGCGCAATGTGGCCAGACTTGCCACAGTTGTAACATGTTTTGACAGGTCTGTCGGCGGCGTGAACAGCATTCGGCTGAACAGACAAAGCCGCTAAAGGACATTCACGAGCAATATGACCATGCTTCTTGCAGTTGTAGCAGACAATGCCACTGGCCAGACAATCCTTTGCATAGTGGTTAATGCCTCCACAGTTGTGGCAAATGACTTGCTTGAATCGAAGCTGCTTTGGTTCAGCAGCCTGACGAGGTTGGGATTCATTTGTACAGTCTCTTGCAATGTGGCCCTACACAAATCAGTATGAATAAGCCGTAGCATGTGTGCTGCTCTCTCCATACGTTACATATTGCTGGCAATTGAAGCATTGCTTTTCCTTCTTGGCATAGGTAGTGGGCACTGCAGGATTGGGACAGTCAGCAATGAGATGGCCAACTAGTGCAACGCTATTAGTTCTGCGATACAAGACCTGTGCGAGTCTGGACTACCTTCTCTACAGTTGTAGCATGTCTTGGGTTGAATGAGCTTGGGCTCGGTGCATTCACTGCTCAGATGGCCTGGTTGCTTGCAGTTGTAACAAAGTCTTTCTGCCTCTTCACAAGCTGTTGCAAAGTGACCCACTAGCATAGATGTTAGTTTTTGATATGCCTTGTGTACTCTAAAACGCTTACCATTGCCACACTTGTAACAAGACCTTCTTCTCGTGTATACCATCCTTAAGAAAACGTTTGAAATAGAAGGGAAAAGGGTACACCAACGACTTTTTGATTATGCGCGGTTCTTCAACCATGAAAATTTTTTTTTTTTTTTTTTTTTTTTTTCCATTTGTACATTCCAAATCAGTGCGAGCGGTGTAGGCTCTTTTGTACGTTTTTCATGCACGAATCGACATCATGAGCGACGCAGAAGACGATGAAGTATGGATAGACTATTCACAGTTGCTGGGCAAAAAGAGGTATGTTTGCAAGTGTCTAACAGAGGTCGGCATATCGTTTTAACACGGCCCACACAGCAAAAAGAATCAAGCACTAAAACGAGGCGAAAAGACCAATGTACCACATCAGCTAGATCAGCAGCAACTGGCCAGATCTCGTCAAGCCCTGTTTGAATGCATAGCGCAGAAGGTGCCTACACCCAAAAATGCCAGTGTAGGTCAATTGAGCGCATCGCCTCCTTATCATACAACCATCACAAAGAGCAAAGGCACGCATTTACACTCCATGGGCTTCTCCCATCAAGGCGCAATCACACTATTCCCAGAGGAAGCGGCATTCCTGATAGCCAGAAATGCATTGACAGTTACACAGCACGACGCAGATCCAACTCACTTTGAAGACTACTGTCAGCTCATGTGCGAATGCTGCGATGGCTGGATTACATTTGATAAATACCAAGTGTATGCGTATCTAAAGCGACTTGGATACATTGTCATGCGATCAAAGAAGCTGCCTGTTACTACCAAACAGACAGCAGCAAAAGAGCCATCCATGCCCAGCATGTTCAAGCTGTTGTTTGATACTATCACGCACTGGATCCAGCCCTTACAGAGTAGGCCGCTTGTATGGGACTACAGATGCACCAATTACCCACAGATGTACTCTACCTTGCAAATCATACCGTCTACGCCGTGGTACAAGCCATTCTACACATCGCTATGCCCTGCATTTGATTGGGATGTATACAAGCCAAGGCCTGGCTGGAAAAAGAAAGACCCAGGCGAGCCAGATTTCCGAGTTGTGGTCAAGAATGTCCATGAGGCCATGCCGACACTGTACGAGCAGAATCAGTTCTTTAGCCAGTTGATCGGCACTTGCAATATCAATTACAAACCTGCCCTCAAGCACACTGCATTGGGACTACTTGCACCTACCTTTGTCATGGCTCTAGTGGGAGATGCAGAAGGCATTACGTTTTTAAGACTGACTGGTGATGGCGTGGAGGATGTGTCCAATGTCGAAGCATTCAGTCAAAAGAGGGCAGCAGGAAAGACAGCAGGTCGATCCATAGTTTAATCTAGTCACAATCCTTTTATCAATCACCTAATCAAAACTGCTTGACAAAAATAAATCTTTCTTTCTTTCTTTCCTTTATTTCTCAATTCACTTACACAATGGCCTCTAGACTTGATCAAGCTCTCGACGAAGCGATTAAAGACAGAAGAGGAAATAACAAGAGACCCAGCAATTTTGGACGCAACACAAGACGTGATAATGGCAGCAGCGGTGGTGCCATTCGCAAGAGAATTGGCGCTGCTAACAGTTCACCTGCTATCCGTTCCTTTGTTCGCACCGTCAATGTAATGGAGGAGAGAGTAAGTCAAGTATCTGGGCTCATTTGCAATGTATTGATATGTACGCGTTGTTGTTAGCGAGGCGGTGGAGCCAGAAACGTGGATGGTCAATGGTCCCACGATATGTTTGACGATGAGGATGTTCCTAGAAGCAGTATCTTGAGCCGCCTGGGCACTGCTCGTGGTGGTCAAGGAGGCCGCTCTGAACGTGGTGTCGAAATCTGTGTCGAAAACTTGCATTACAATGTCACTGAACAAGATGTCAAAGAGCTCTTCAACACTGTCGCCGATGTCACAAAAGCCAAGCTTATGTTTGATCCATCCGGCCGTTCAACTGGGCTTGCTTATATCTCATATCAATCGTTATCTGACGCTGAAAAGGCTATCCAAAAGTATAACAATATAGAATTAGATGGTCAACCCATGCAGATCAAGATCAGTGAAAGAGCTGCTTCAAGACCTCGTTCTTCAGGCGGAAGGTAATGCTGGATTGTCTGGGGGTGGGGGGGGGGTGAGCATAATGTACTGATGATGCTTTTGCAGCCGTTTCAACAATGACCGTCTTAGTAACCGTCTTGGCGGTCGCTTAGGCAGCAGCAGCAGCGGTCGTCGTAGCAATGATCGCAACGACAGAGATGATTACAAGAGAGCAAGCCGTCCAAGCAGATCATCCAGAGGCAACGACAAGAGAGAAGATCGTCAAAAGAAGGTGCCAACCGCTGAAGATCTAGATCGAGAGATGGAGAGTTACATGAAATCAAATGTGAGTTTGGAATGATGGAGGATCAGCGTTATACTCATGTTGCCATATACACCTTTCTAGTCGTCTGATAATAGCACAAGCAATAACAATAGCAACGTCAACAACAATAGCACTGCAACGCTTGAAGAAGATATTGAGATGATGTTGGATTAAAAAAAAAAAAAAAACACATACACACACGAGGGCATACACGCAAGAGAGTAAATACAAAAAGACAAAAAATAAATTCTGTAGCTATAGGGAGAGTACACATGGTTTATTTCTTCTTGTTTTTGCATGATTTGCAGGTCAAGGATCTTTTCCCTAAGAGACCTGGTCGCTCCTCGCCACTTGCTTTATGATAGCCAATGATCTCGTTGGCTTGAATGTTAAGCAAGCCAGATTGATTTTGAAGGGTTGGATTGTCCTGAGAATTGCCATTACCACCAATGATACCCGCCTTTGCAGTAGTGACCCAGGAACTGATTGTGATAAAGAAGTAGGCAGCGAATGTGTGGGTGTGCATTTGACTTGTAGATGTGCAGTGAATTTAAATTTGGATTAAAGAGAAAGGATGCGTTTTATTCGAGTATTTATACGTATAGAATCTTCTCATTTCTGATTCCCTCTCCCCCCCCCCCCTTGATTGAGGAGAGCAGAAGAATTTGACAGGCAGAAGGTTGGGCGCAGAGAATTCTGTATAAATAGGGTAGTTTTTCATTCTGAGAATGGGTGCTTGAGCGATGAAGAGTGATCAGACTTGCACTTTGATCGGCGTGCTTAATCTAAAGGGGTGTGCTTCCGTGTTGAAGACGTAATCATCAAGCGAGATCAGTGATTTGTCAGAAAAGATCAAAAAGAGGTATTTCAATGTTTCTGCAAAGAAGAAGCTCTCTTGAAAGTCGGATGTAATGTCGCCGTGATTGTCCATGATGTCCTCCACCGAAGAGTAGCCGTGTTTCGTCTTGCAATGTCTTTCAATCGACTCGAATATCTCCCAAGCCATGTCCTGGTATTTAGTGTCCCCCCGTCAATCTATAAAAATAGAATAGACTCTCCAACGTTTCTGTAGAATGACATGTATTCAGTAAATATGGCTAGTGTGCCCTTCAATACGCCAAGTACCTGGTCGTAGCAAGTAAGATTTTTGTGTGGGGATAAACGCCAGATCTTTATAAAGACGCTTCTGTTCCGTGGTGTACGTCGCATTGATATTGCTGTCCACCATAGATGCTTGGTCCATCCAACCCCAACTCTCAGGTGATAGTCCAGTAGGCGAGTTATGCCAGGTCTTGAAGCACGAATCCATCAGTTCTTGAGCAAATGTTTCATAGGCAGGTTCCTGCAAATAACGAGCACCAAGCAGCAGATTGCCAGGCATAAAGCAAACCAATTCGCCTGATTTGAGGTACTTTTTGCCACCTAATGCTTCAGCTAGAAATACAGAACCCTCGGCAGAGACAGATCGAAGGTAGTGGTGCATGCTGTCTACAGCTTGCTTCCACATTTGAAGTTGTAGCTCCTCATTGCCGTCCATCAAGATGTGCGTCTTGAGCAAATACTCGTAAAAACTATCACCACCACCAGACACTGTGATGTAAGCTATACAGGATGGTAAGTGGTCTGTAGCGTAATGCACACTCTGTAAACACTCACATGTGTTGCTAGGCTGAAATGTAGCGGCGTCCCATGAAATAGAGTACAATCCAGCAAGAGGTGTCTCGGCTTGTGCGATCTTTTCAATGATGTGGTTGCCCAATTTTTCCCATTGAGGATCATTTGTCACTTGACTCAAGCGAGCAAACTCGAGCTGTAAAGCAAACTCTGCCAGAATAACCGTCTTGGAAGGTATCGGCCGTTTTCTAACGCAAGTACAATAAATATATCAGTTGGTCTTGATAGTGTGCCATCAACTACTCACTTTGGTACATCCACAAAAGCAGCAGGGACCTGATTTTCAGTCGTAAAAGCAGGCAACAAAACCTGTTCTACCAAATCAAGCGCTTTTGTAAGCAACATTGGATCAGGGCGAAGGTCGTAAGCGGATAGTAGACCTCCCAAATATCGGATGCAAGTTTCAAATGTCTTGGAAGGCGTTTGTGTGGATGCCCAATTGACATTGGCTACAAATCGAAGAGATTCTTGGTATTCTTGATCCAACCCCATGATGATCATGGTATCCAATGCATCAAATATACTCGCTGGTTAGATGAATGAATGAGTATGAATGCTTGGCCCAGTATACATGTGGCCAAATTACGTACCTCCCCAGCCATTTCTAGGGTCGATATAGTTGAGTATTAGTGTCTTGATTCTGCGTTATGCCAAATGACACTACCTTGAATCAGAAAATGAACCACTCACTGGCAACAGCTCGTCGTGTCCGTAGGCAAATGTAGAGTATCCATGCCACGCATGCTTGAAAGCGGATCGAATTTTGTTAGCTCGGAACTCATTGAAATCTGCAGGGTAAGCATTGACTGACAAAGTACTCAAGAGAGGAACCAACAAGCAGCAACTCAGTGTGGTGAATTTCATAGGATACATGCTTTATTCAAGGTGGAGGAGAGGGGAATACATGCCTTGGATGTGTATTTATATGCCATTGTGGGCTGCATTTAAGACTAATTATGAATGACATGTATGTCGAAGGATACAGATCAGCACATTCAAATGAAATTCCCCTTCTCCCCTGATCGATCTTTATATATAAGGATGAACGGAGGAAAAGGAGTACTTCAAGATTGTATTAATTCGAAATTGGAAAACAAAAGGGTGCCTTCATTTTCTAGAAACATGTACAGTTCTCACGGTGAATACATGCATCGTTTTGAAAGGGGTCCAATCTTTATGTTTAGTACGCTTCTTATTTTGGATCAGATATACTGCTTGTAGAGCTACACTTTGTACAGAACAAGCAACGCTAGTGGATCAACATCATCACATTGACTTTGCTGCTTTTGATTTGACCTAATCCTTGATCCAGGAACTAAATTTCACATCTTGCATTGGCCAATCTATTACTTGGTACGATTAGACCCGGTTTTCTAGGCCAAGAAATCTTCTGAAGGATCCATGTTTGATCAACAAGGGTTGCAACATTTATGCAAAATTGATTATCCGCAGATCACTTCTTTTTGATAGTATATACCATGGTTTTATACACACTCACATGCTATAACCTATGCAGCACCTTTTGATCTTGATGTGAAGCTGCCCATTTGGTGGTATGCAAAATGGCGCTTGAGAAAACATTTATCCTAAAGCAAGTAATACGAGAACATGATGATCCGTAGATTGGATCACATACAAAGGATGAATAGAGCAAACCAACACATGTTTCATTGATGGTTTCGATAATTGACTCGGCCACAACCAGTTTGAGCAAACATGAACAAGAATACATGGTGATAGATTGCAACATCAGTGGCTTATTTTTTGTTTGTGCATCTCTGGTGTTTGTCGCACCTTGATCGTTTTCTTAAATGATCCAAACTATCTCTCTCACGCACACTAAATCTTTCTTTCACTTCTTTTTAGTCGATTTGCATCCAAATCTTTTTCTTTAAATCTCTCTTTTATTTCTCTATTCCGGTTTTTTTTTTGTTTTGTTTGCTTATCAAGGGAGAGAAGATTTGACTATAAAAAAAAAAAAAAAAGGAAGGGGGGCCATCTATTTTATAAATGCCCATCACTTTTAAAACAAATACTCGGGTTTACTTTTATTGTTGGTAGGTAAAACAAACAGCTGCAGTTTCTTGATCATACTCACCTAGCCTATGCTCTCCAGTTTTTTGGCTTTAGGTGGTTTACTGGTAAGCTTATGTCTCATACCGAGTTCCCAAATGACGGACTGTACTGATCAAAGAAACCCCTCAAACTCACTTGACCCCGCAATAATGTTTAGTATGGGTAAATCAAGTCAGATGAAATGCAATCCAAGGATAAACTACTAAACCTTTTTTTTTTTTTTTTTTTTTTTCATATTACAGTTACAATTTTGGAGTGTTGACAGGATTACTCCTAATGCCTTCATTTCAGCAAGATATGCGGATTACCACTGAAACGATCAATAGCGCATTGATAAGTACGTTGATGGCAGGAGCTTTTGTGGGCGCAATTGTCTCGGGACCATTAGCAGATGCCATTGGTAGAAAAGCGCTTATGGCACTAGGGACAATTATTTTTATCTTTGGTAACGTATTACAAGTTGGTGCCAATGATTTGAATACAATGTACGGTGGAAGAGGCGTCACTGGGATCAGTTTAGGGTAGGCTATTCTATATCTTTGATTTCTTCCATTCGTATTAACATGCAATATCAAGCATTTTGTCCATGGTCGTACCTCTGTGTATTGTATAATCATAGTAGATGCAGCGCACAAACCAAATCAACTCACATTGCACATAGATCAATCCGAAATTGCACCCAAAGACATGCGTGGTCGCCTCATGTCTATACAACAATTCGCTATTACACTTGGAACAGCAATATCATACTGGATCGATTATGCGTTTGTCAATGTCCCTGGATCCGTGGGCTGGAGATTAGCACTCGGCCTTCAGCTTATACCAGCACTGATCTGTCTGATTGGCCTCTTACTGTTCATTCCACAGAGCCCACGCCACTCAATCGACAAGAATAAGCATGCCGAAGCACTGGAAACACTAGCAAAGATTCGAGGCGATGGTACAAAAACACACAAAAACGTGCTGATGGAATTTACCGAGATGAAGCAGAACATCACATTTGAGCACAAACTATACAAAGATCATAAATACAAGCGAATCTTCTCGAATGGTTCAGAAAACAATCGAAAGCGATTATGGATAGGCATGGCAGTGCAGATATTTCAACAGCTGACGGGCGTCAATGCGCTATTGTAAGTGCAGGCAGAGACTCGATTGACACAATGCTCATGTCATTATGTGTACATAGAGTATTTGCGCCTCAGATATTTCAAGCTACTGGTCTAACAGGACGAGATGCTGCTTTATTCGGTAGGACAACACTCGGTATGTTCTATGAAAAGCAACTAACTCGATATTAGCAAATGGCCTTAGCGGATCCATCAATCTATTAGCAACAATTCCTGCTATGATTTTTGTAAGTTGTACGATATATGCAATCAACGCATCTTGCTCAGGGCTCAATTACAGATAGATCGCTGGGGTAGACGTCCAACTATGATTACTGGCGCGATTCTTTGCAGTGTATGTATCTGTGTATTAGCAATATTGTCAGGCGTCCATGGATTTGCATACAACACTGTCGATTCACTGTTGCAACAAGACATGCCATCAGCAAACACCGGAAAGAGCGGAAATCCATTATACTTTATTTTCGACGCCAATGGAGCTACTATTGGATTCTTGATTGTCATGTATGTCTGTGTGGCGATCTACTCTTGCACTTGGGGCACATTGGGCTGGATCTATCCAGCAGAACTCTACTCGCAAGGCGTGCGAGCAAAAGCGCTAGGCATCTCAACAGCCTCCAACTGGTTATTTACCTATGCCGTGCTTCAGTTGACACCCATCATGCTGCAAAAGATCTACTGGCGTACCTATGTACTCTTCAGCGCCATGTGCTTGATCATCGCCATCGTTGTGCACAGGCAGTTTCCAGAAACCAGCGGTAAATCGCTGGAAGAGGTGGATTTGATATTTAGCGGTAAATTCAACTTTTACGATGTGCATGTGCATCATCCCCAAACAGCAGCAGCGGCTCTAGCGCAAATGGAAAAGGTGCAGCAACGCAACAGGAACATTTATCGGTTCCCCTTTACACCTGAAAGAACTCTCTCAAACCACCATCACAATAGAAGAACGCTTTTACCGAATTATGTAACTCATCAACCATCTCTGGCATTCCATTATTAATTCTTTCATCTTTTTGTAGCAATAATATAATACCCTTTTTGAATAATAAAAACCATTGTACATACACATTTTTTAAAACGCATGAATTTGCTGTAGTTTATTGGCTGCTGATAGTGTATACTTTTATCTGATATCATGCTAAAGTAGTGTAGTGGTAAAAGAGTCGTTTATGGCTTGAGTTTGGGACAGTCGCTAGATTGACACATGTCAATAAAGGTAATCACGGCAGCTCTTCATGTTGCCACTTACCGGGTTTTATGGCTGAAGCTACCGCATTCACAGCATTGCTGACTATGTTGCAATTGATGTCGAGGAAAGGTGTGGAGCATTTTGGTTTGGATAAGATAAAAAAAAAAAAAAAAATGGTGATGAGACAAAATAGACTAGAAAGAACGCATCCCTTTTATAGTTGTTCAATGAGCCCCAACACTAAACCTTGTTGTGCTTGTTTCAATCAAGTTTTTATTTATTCATTAGTGTTAATTTAATCATGTACAAAGAGCCACCTTTTCGTCACTCAAATCCTTGTATTTCTGCTGCAAGTCCCTTTCTCTTGATGCCAGCTTGTAAATTTCGTCTTCCAATGCTTCAATGCGTCTGGGAATGGCTGATTTCTCGGCAATTTGCAAGTTGACGAAGCTTTGATACTCAATTTGTGCTGCCTCAAATTCCTCGTAAGATTCAATGATTTGTTGTGATAATGTTTTTGATCTTGCCATGTAGCCACCTAATCTGACATCCAACTTGTTTTCTAATTTGCCAGCTCTTGTAGCATCCTTGATCATGGCCTGTCGATTAGCCTACAATTATCACCCCCCCAAAAAAAACAAGTCAGAATACAAGTTTATGAACCAGAACACACGCACGACTTACCTCGACAATCTTGTCTAAACCTTGGATCATGTCCTTTTCGTCATCCATCTCCTCAAGCGTCATGAAGCGATTAAACTTGGCAGAGAACAGCAAATCAGCATGCTCCTTTTCCCATTTCGTCTCAAACGCAGGGTTGGAGGAAACGTGATTCCATACTGCCTTCTTGATGTCTTGCTGTGATTCGAGGCCCAGAGTCTTTGCAATTTCGTCATCCAACTCCTTACGAGCATCTTGTAGTGCGGCACTCTCAAACTCGTCCTCCAATGCAGCAATGCCGTCCGCTAATTTTGTAGCACCAGGGGCTACCTTGCCACCTGCGACAGGATATTTGACAGCATCATGTTGCAACAAGCGCTGTAATTCTTCGTGAATCATTTTGTCAATTTCACTTGCGTCTTTATCGAGCGTAAATGTGGGTACTGTTGCAGGTCGAGGCAAGTTGAGTTGCACTGCCATGGAACGACGGGCTGCACGTTCTTTGGCTTCGAGTTCGGCATTTTCCTTGATCTCACGTTCAAAGTCGCTCATATCCTCCACAGTGTCCTCCTTGGGTTGCTCAGGTTCCTTTTCTTCCATTTCAGGAAGTTTAATTTCCCATTCATTGCGAGGTTTGGGCAAGCTGGAAAGACCTTGCAAAAGTGTACGCTTGCGTTGTGTGTTGAATGCTTTCTCTTCACGAGGTGTTTTGAAGGGCGTTTCACTGCCAAATGGAGTTCCCATCACACTATTACGAAGAGGTGTTGCCATGGGGTTGGGTGTAGCCATGGGATTAGGTGTCTGAATAGCTGTGATTTTAGGTGTAGCGCCTTCAAATCCAGTGCCTTGAGAAAGTGCTGTGTTCTCGCCACCCAAGAGAGGTGTTTGGGCGTTACTGAGTGCAATCAGATTACGAGCTTCAATCATGAGATTATCGCTGGCAGGTGGTGCACGAGGTGTTCTTGTTGCAAGTGTGTTAGGTGTGAAGGCATAATCACCTACTAGACCTTGTGTAGCATCGACTTCACTGTCCAAAACGAGGTTTTTGGCATTTTCACCCGCAAAGCCAGATTTCACAATGTCTTCCAATTCCTGTTCTCCAACTTGTGGAGCGGGCAATACAAGCTTGCGACGTTTGGCGATCTGCTCTTGCTCTTGCATTTGAACAATTTTGGCGTTCTTTGCTGGAACGAATTTGCCTTGATTACCCTCTTGTGAGGCGTTGGGGTTCTCCTTGGCTTTACGCTTCTTTTCACGATTCTTTTCATCTTCAATATCGGCACGTCGTCTATTCAGTTTGGAGAGGTGAACATTGGTCAGTTTTCCAGGATCTGCAATGCGGCTAGCTTCCTCTGTCGTGTCGTAGAAACCTAATGCTGCCTTCTTTTCGAAAGGAATATCTGTATTGTAGTCCATGACATTCTTCTTGGTCTTCATACGCATGCTATGTGATAAAACAGGTAAATTTCCAGTGCTACAGTGTGTTGCTAGCACCAAACACTTACTGGATACCAGCAGCTTTCAATTCTCTTCGCTTTTGAAGTGCTGTCAATCTTCTGGCTTCCTCCAATTGTCTCTCTCTTGCTTTTCTCTTGGCCTTTTTACCCTGTGTATTGGCTAATCTTGCACGGGCCTCTGATAACATTTCTTTCTCATCTTCGTCCATGTCGACAGGATCAGGTCTAGCAGGCTTTGATTCTGGCTCGGGATCAACTTCTCCAGGCCTTAACTTGCGCACATCGTCTGCACTAGGGCCAGTTTCATGACCCATGGATCCAGTCAAATCAAGCTCGCTAGAGCGTTCTTGCAGTGATTCAGCTTCATCCAAAAGTCGTTGATAACGTTCTAAACATTGTGCTGGCGTACGGCCGACAATAGGAGCAATGGTACGCCACTGTGTAGGCATGAGTTTGGCTAAATGCAATAATTTCTCGTCTTCTTCTTTGGACCATTCAGTCTAACCAAGTCGTGAGTTTGCTGTGCCGTTGTTTGTGAAAAACGTGATTTCATACCTTTTTGATACTGGGGTCCAGCCATTCATACCATCTTGCTTTACATTGCTTTGGCGTTTTGCGAACAAGCAGAGATGAAATACGCGCCCATTGGTTTTTACCGTATTTACTGACGGCAGCTTTCAAGATCTCGTCTTCTGTATTCTTCCAAACACCACCTTTGATAATAAACTTCATGTTCTGTAGATGATGAGTTGATGTAAAAGAAAAAGTTAAACAAGCACAACAATGTTTGAATTTGAAAATTTTGATGTTTATTCGTTAGATTGTTCCAAACTCCAAGGACACAACGTCACTGTGAGCCTACAAGCAGTGTCGCTAGCCTGTATTGTTGAATGAGATGTGAAGAGAAGAGCAGGACCACACTTTTGCAGCTGTCATATTACTCAATCGTTAGTGAATCATACTTGATTTGTATTAGAAACGCACATGTTGACTGTTATCTACAGAGTGAATATCCTTTTAAACGACATGCAACTGTGGATTAGACCTTTTTTTTTTTTTTTTTTTTTTTTTTTTATTACAATTTTTTGCATTTGTGTCAATGCAAACAACTCATATACAGACTTACAAGATGGCAGTGTTACTTCTTACTACTCAAATCCATGTAAATTACAGCCTGATATGGATACATTTGAGTCCTAATTTCTCGTCTTAAAAGCTGTTTTAGACCGCCAGAGTAGCACCACTCAATTTCTCCAATCCAGCAGTTACTTTCTGATACCTTTGCTCGATTTTTTTTGGGATCGCCAAAAATCGGCCAAAAAGGATGAGGGATACCTCATGGTTTTCATCGAAAATCAAACGATCGCGTTTTTGACAGCAAAAATGAAGGCTTTTACTAAGGCATATATCACATCAAAATGTTTCTTTCGATCCAAAGCAGCCCCTGAAATCACTTTTGTGGATTCTTCATATGTAAAATCTCGACATTTTCGCCAAAAACCTCATTTCATATTTTTAAAGAATGCTCGATAAATTTGTTCAAAACATCCACTTTTCTAGACACCATTGGATGCGCCTCAAAAAGTACTCCAAGAGAGCTTAAAGGAGTTCAGGATAATCATCACAGTTTATATGGTCGAATTTGACAGAATAGATCGATGGAGTCGAAAAGTGAACAGAAATTCCCATTTCGAGCAGAGAAATGCATTCGGAGATTGAACTGATTGTGGCGGCTGCTAGGATTAATGCTTTTGGAGGCTCATAGGAAGGGCAATACAAATTGAGCAACACTACATCATGGGCTGAATATGTTTTTTCTTGATAGCTGCACAGTTTTGCGTATCTAATAGATATAGCCGCTGTAGAATGCTCTTCCATAAATGTCAATAAGAGTGAGACGTGCGTCATTGCCACCCTGTGCAGGATTGCATGTTATATTTGATGTGAGTCCTAGCCTCATTAAACCTTTAATTCTACTAGAGTTTTCAACTAGTGTATAACCCTCCAAGCTGCAGGTGTTTTCAGCAAAGATACGAGAGCATGGCTGATCGGTCCTTTAGAATTTCAAGTTCTGAAGCTAGACATACCAGAGACAACGCGTATAGCGATAGCATTAGGTTTTACATCAAGCACCAATATAAAGCACTGATGCGGTGCAAAATGACATGCCTTCAGTGATATCTCGGCCTATTTTTCAGTAATTCTGATTTGAACGTGAATAACGATGAATCTCTCTTTTTTTCCTTATATTGCATCTCTTACGACAATGTCTCGAATTGCATCTGCTTCTGAGCGAGTCCAACCTCAAAAGCCATGGATGAGCTATTGTCAACGATAACGCTATTCAGTCGGCCGGCAGCATCTTGTTCCTCATGCACAGCAGCATCCCTCGCAAAAAAAGACAAGCCCTCAATATCAAAATCCATGCAGAATGAGACACTTGAAAACGTATGCATTAAAACTTTTGTATGCTAATAGGCTATGGTTCATACTAGATCCATTTTATTTAAATAGGGGATTCACCAACATGATTGGGGTTGGCAATGACCTAATACAACACCTCATCAGTTACTCTATCCACATATAATCCAAAAGTCCAGCTTACCTCAACCCAGTAATTGTCAGGATCAGCAAGGAAAGCAATATTCTTCATGTTACCATCAGTCAATTTCTTGACAAACTTGACACCAAGAGACTCAAAACGCTCACAAGCCTTTTCAATGTCATCAACGAGGAAAGCAATGTGGCCAAAACCACGACCAACCTCGGTGTTACCGTTGGCATATTTGAAATCGGGTTGATCCTCTGTACCCCAGTTGCTATGTGATATCCAGCATGTCAACAATGCCACTTTTTACGCGTCTATGAGTTCAACTTACTGGGTCAATTCGAGGACACCAGGCAAGCTAAATGCCAACTTTTTCTTTTCTTCCTCATCCTCGGGAACAGAGTCGATATAGGCCAAAAAGTAGAGAGTAAATTTGCCAGAAGGGTAGTCTGACTTGGTGATAAGTCTGCAATCAATGAACACATGTCAGTTGAAAAGCACTGTACCCACATGTGGACGTGGTAAAACTTACTTCATGCCGAGAATATCAGTGTAAAAGTGGACGGAGGCCTTGGGATCCTTAACACGGATCATGGTGTGATTAAATACATACTTGGAGGGATTAGTAGACATGCTGACTTGGTTTAATAAAATTAGTAAAAAGAAACAAGAAAGAGGTGGAAAAAAAAAACTAGCACTGATTTATAATCCAATGTGCATCCCATCCATGCTGGAAATAAGCCAATGGCATGCTTTAAAGGTTTTGTAGTTGTACCAAGCTCTTATGTGGCACAGAAGATATACATGATAACGGCAAAAACTAATAGCGAAGATTTCAACTGTCATCTAGTGTGCATCTTGACAAGGCATTAGGGCCAACATGCATACATGTCTATATCTGAAATTACCAGTTATTTCGAAATATGGAGCAAGAGGTAGGACGTGAAATCTCGTTGACGCATCTTTTACGTTTGCATGATGTAAGTTACTGCCGAGATCAAGGTATGTAATTTGATACTTTTCATTGCGGCCATGCAGCGAACGGAGAGAGGTTTTGCGATATGTACACAGTGTCCTTTTTTTTTTTTTTATTTGATACATGTATTTACGTGATTAATTACTAAGTGAATTCTCCAGATCCTCTAAATAAGTGTGCAATGTCTAGCCAGCAAAAATAAAGTGAGACGACTTGAACAGTTGTTACGTAATGCCCGCACTCCATACCTTGACTCGATTGCCATCTGTCCATTCTCTCCCTGCCAATTCCACAATCCTGTCTGCAAAGCTAAGTAGGGATTCTCCCATGTATATAAACGTTGTTTGAGGATTGGTCATGATGTTTCCTGCTATTTTGGCTGTAACAGATGTGTTTTTGCGTTCCATTTCAATCACACTGACCGCTCTTACGGTGAGTTCCACCAAGACCGAGGTCAGATTCTCCGCCGATGTCATTGAGCTTGACAGGTGCATGATGTCTCTGTGCAGCATATCCAAATCTGACAATGCGTATAATGCAGTGAGTACGCGGGTGATGTTATCCATGATTTGCATATATCGAATGTCGACTCTTTTTGTGTTGGAGGAGCTCGATTTCTTCATATTGACATCCACAGGCTTGTCATGGATGTGATCCAGGTTCTCGGATGTCCACTGCCCATAGATGGTAGCCAGCACACGGCAATCATAAACAAGTTTCTGCGATGTGTAGCCTATAAACGTAGATGCGTCTGCAATGAATTCGAGGCCTGCTAGAATAGATGCCATCAACTAATGTGGTGTGAATGTTAAAGATACATACTCTTAATCGCTCTACGTACATTTTCGCCAATAGGCATATCAACAAGCTCGCCCATGTCGCCCACAAGGGATTGCACTTTCTTGCATTCTGCATCCAAAGCATCCAGTAAATCCACACACAGCTTATGTATCCAGTCCTTTGTTGCGTTCAAGAGCTGTTCATCCACTGGCATACCCATTGCCTTCCACTCCAATCCGTTCTGTATAAGCGCATCTCCATATATCGCCATTTTAGTATCCAATAGCGATTGCAAGCCTTTGATGTCCTCCACCAAGTCATCCGTCTGTGGTATCGTGTTGTTGATCGAGAAGCTCATGTCCTCTATTGATTGCACAAATGCAGCGAGTGTGCTGATGCGGCTCTCGTACAAAGTCCATTCGGGAAATATTTCCTATGCCGTCAATATGTTTGAATATACTGCAGTTGATATATAGCATACCCAACACAATCTTACGATAAATGGCTTTGTGCGGTCTCCACTGAGTTCATCGGCTAATCGTAAGACCTTTGACAAGTGATCGCGCAACGAGTCAAAGGATTGATCTGGCCTTTGTAACAGCTCTAATTCTTTTCGCAGTAGCTTTTGTTTATCGTGAAATATAGTGTTGTATTCGGAAAAGGGTATATTGTGATTCTGTGCTTGCAGTTTCAGCCATTGCTCCATGCTGGATGCTGAAGGTGGGTTCAAAGTGCCGCTCAGTGATATCCGACGCAATGCTGGCATTGGGTTCTCTTCGTTCAAGGGTTTATTATATGCAACAAAAGGGTATGGTTGTGAAGGTGCTGTCATGTCCACATCGTCCATCGATACTGACAGGCTTCGAGCAATGTCGTTTGCCAAGCTGCTCGATAATTTCTGCAGTTTTCTGTCCTGTGCTGAATCTGTGAAGCTGCGTTTTCGTTTGATGCTTTGATTGCTAGGGGATCCAGGAGTAGAAAGTGTCTCTGATCCAGCGCATAGAGTTACTGATTTGATTCAATTGACATCCGTGTCCACATAACCCACCTGCACTGCCGTTGTTTTTCATCCAATCTTGGTTGAAATTTACCTTGGAATTCGGCACAGTGCCATTCAAAAGGCTGTCCTCTGTAGTGGTATTAGTAACCATAGATAGGAGGAAGAGGGGGGGGGGTGGGGAAGAAGGGAGATGCTCACCTAGTAAGCCTAACACTATCTTGACACAATTCGTCCATGCATCTTTCTCAGAACGCAAGCTATTAAACATTTTCTGTTTGAGAAAGAAAACAAAAAAAAATCACGCTCAAAAAAAAAACCAGAGCCTGAAATGGCCTATCAAAGCCGGCAGCACTAGGATAGAACACCCCCCCCCCCAATCTGCCACTACTGGGCAGAGAAAAGTCTCGTGTTATTGCAAATGGAAAAAATCCCAAATTTGATCAAGTAGCCCATTGGAATTTAGCATTTATAGCCAAACCCTCTCTGTCCATTCGTTTCATTCTTTTTCTTTCACTCCCCCATCTCTTTTCTTTAAAAATGATTTCATGCCCAATTCAAGACATCACTGTCCAACCTTACTTCAAACAGCAAAATGGTACCTGGTATCCCATTCAGTTGAAGCTGAGCGATGGCCGCATGTTGGAAATCCAGCACCAGTACGCTGATTTTATCCAGTTTTCTCGGCTGATCCGCCAGCAATTCAACTTGTCAAGAGCAGAGCTGCCTAAAATCAAAAAGCAGCACAACTTTCTCAAGAAAAGAGGGGCACAAAAGTACCATCAGAGACAATGCGAATTGCAAGATTTTTGTCGACTTTTACTGTTACTGCCTCCCGTGGTTACATGCTCGCCAGTATGCCTCTCGTTCTTTTCTGCAACGCCAGAAATCGGCAGTGTCTCCAACTCGCTCAAGAGAGCCTTTTCTCTCAAACCCAGCGGCAAGAAACAGCAGCAGCAGCAGCATCTGGATCTAGTAGAGATGGAACATGCCTTTTCCAGATCATTGGTTATGTCCATTGGTCAGCATGAACATCAACTGCAACAATGTACAAGTAGACCCAATATTCAGAGCATCAACAAGAGTAATCGCTGTAGTACTACAAGCACAACAAGCACAGCCAGCAGCAGCATACTATTCTCATCCAGTCTGAGCTCTACAGAGGAAGATGACACTATTAAACTCAAGATTATCTACGACGCCCAAAACATCATTATTATACGAGTAGCTCGCTCCGTGTCACTTGATCAATTGAGGTCTCAAGTGACCCAAAAATTTGCTCTCATCAACATTATGCTGCCAGATCAGTTGGTTCTGCGTACAGTGGATTGTGCACGGTACTCCTCTGGGTCGGGTTCCTCCATTGTCTGCTCCGCTCCAGCCGATAGCGATTTGAATGCCGAAGTGTTGATCGCAAACGAGCAGGATCTTTCCAGGGCAATGCTTCTAAAATGGAATACTTTGCAAAAGGTGACGCTCCGATGTGTGGTATAAGCATCACATTTTGCTGCTGCTGACACGTTCCATTACTGTAACATTATCATCGCTCTATACATATACCAGTCTTTCGATTATCCCCCCCTCCTCCTCTCCCCTGTTGTTCTTCCCTTGATTCAGTGATAATCAGGAGGTTTTCAATAGGCTCTTATCTTTTTTTCTAATGTTCTGTTTCTTTCAACATCATAGCCTGTGTTAGCCAATGTAAATATTAAATACATCAAATATATAATAGCTAAAAATACCAGTAAACAAATATGCTCTGCATCATGGTGTTTTGGGTGTAGTTTATGATCGTTTCCATATCACACGCGCATTGTTTTGCATCGACGTTTACCACCACTAAGAATAGAACTCGGTGCCAATCAATAGGTACAGCCAACCTCAGGGAACTCATGCTCACGTTACATCCGCCTGTCAAATCATCAGATGCCAGACACAGCGTCAATGGCATATGTGTCCCTCCTATTCCATTGTCATATGTACCAACTACTTGCAAAAGAATCAGGGATTTCTCGGGACGAACACGACAGTTCACTTTGCTCAAAAAAGCAAGGGATTACAACTAATCTGCGTATCGCTCTTGTAGGAAGATCCCTCATATCCCTCTCATTCATGTCGTCGTATCCTTCTTTCTCATATCATTTCATTGTCTGCTTGTCTTTAAAGTAACAATCTGTATTGCAAAACCTTCCAATGGATAATTTATTAATAATTTCAATGATAAAGGTCGTATACTGCATCTGTTCCATACATCGATGGAGTAATGAAATGCACTACGGAGATCATTCAAGTGAGAGAATTCACAGGTCTTGCATTAAAGGTCCCAAGTTTTCGTCATTCGCTCTCTAAGCTTGCTTTCTCCTCCTGTTTGCTATCATGTTCACCACAGCCCTGGAACGGGGGGGGGCCACTGACTGTACTCGAGGCTGCTGATGACCACTGTATGAATAGGAAAAGAGTCATAGTAGTGTCACCACTTTCCCCATCTTCCAGACCTGGCATGAAACTTTCCAAGGAATTGTAAATCTTCACACAGACAAGATTTCCTTACTATTCGAATGATTCCATCTATTTTCCATCAACCTTCCATTATTCCCATCAAAAATGCGAGCGACACAAGTACCTATTCATGAAATACCTCCGTAGGATTCAAATGTATCTGGTAACGAAAAGACTACCTGGTTATATTCACTGAGCATTTGGCTAGTAGAATAAAGCTTTCTATTAGGCGAGCATTCACAGATCAAGTATGAGATTTGAATGATACATCTACCGTGGCTAAATACAGGACTTTTCTTAGAGAAGATCAGATTTAAACTTTTGAGATCAAGACATGAGAAACATCAATTAGTGAAATATCTTTCTCATTCAAATCAGCTAGAATCATAGTAGTAAATTCGATTGTCAATAGATTCAAGTTCCAGCTACTCTGCTATCCATAGCGACACTACGGAAGCAAGGCAGAATAAAGATTTAAAGGCATACTGGAGCATGATTACATGTATAGAACCCAAGCAAATGTTTTGTGCTGCATGACGCTTTGGTTATCTGATCTTGAATCCAAGCAGGTCAAAGTGGTCATGTGCGCGTTTGAGTATTTTTCCGCTTTTCCTTTACTTGCTTTCTATACAAACCAAAGCGTCATGCCGCCAGAGCTGTCAGATGTGTGGTTCGTTGGGCCTGTAGCAGAAGCCGTAAAGACGGTGACCGAGCAAAACGTGGTGTTTCTCGTCTATCTATACGGTATCTAATGCACTATACTTATCAATGCAACAATATACGAAATTGAATCACCATTGTAGACGATTCTGACGAGAGCAAGCAGCTTGATTCTGTGTTCCAGGATGATAAGGTTGGTAATAGCATCATGGCTTATATCGATTGGAAGGCTTAAACTGCGTTTGGTAGCTGATGGAAATCATGAAAGCAAAGACAATTGCACTGAAAATGCAGAAGGATTCCGAAGAGGCCAAATTATTCGGCCAGTTGTGTATGTGTACATTCAAAGTAATGCATATTTAATGATTAAACCTCGCTCCCTAGACCCAACATACCAAGTACCAGTAGTGTATTTTATCATGTAAGTTTATGTCATATTGGGTTATGTGAGGGACTGAATGTTCTGAGCATTGTGGACGATAGACAAGGAACAATCAAAGATTATGGCATTCACAACATGAAGAGCGAAGATATCATGGATAAAATAAAGAAAAATAGTCCTGCAATTGAGTAACTATCATTCATACTGCAACCCCCCCATTAGCAACTAAAACTTTTCCCAGTACAAAGAAAAAGCTAGAGGACATTCGCAAAAAACGTTTAGCAGAGGAAGAAAAGGTACTCACCTGATGATACAGCGTAAAAGTTGGTGTATTGACAAATCAGAATCTTAGCAAGCAAGAGAGGCAGAAATAAAGAGAAGAGAAGATGGAAAGCTCGCACAGGAAACACAACAAAGTCTACAGGACAAACAAAACAGGCTTCACCTTGAAAAAGTCAAAAAGGAACGCAAAGCTAATGAGGAGTACAGAAAGAAGGTGAAGGAGCAGATTGCAAAGGATAGAGCAGATCAGATTGCTGCTAGAAAAGCCGAGAAACAACGCCTTGAAGAGAGCAAAAAGCAGGAGCAGACTGCTGTCAGATCAGCTGGAAACGCTAGTTCTGGAGGGTATGCAGCAATTCGAGACCGAGAAATGCAAACATGGTTGTAACGAGGATTTCATAGGTATTGGGATCACAGCAATCTGAATATAAAGCAACTTGACGGCTGCAGTCTACGACACAGTTTCTCCTGTAAGTAGCATTCTATGAAGGAAATCCACTGCAATAAGCTGAATCAAATTACACGTTTGGCAGCATCAGACACTCTCGCAAATGTCACAGAATGGATTGATAAGATGAGAACAGATGGCGACATGCCTTATAAATTGTTTGCACAGTTTCCAAATCGAAATTTTGATATTGGCGACGAGCAAAGGACATTATTGGAACTAAAGTTATGTCCAAGTGGCACGCTTATTATGAAGCCTATCAAGAATGCTTCCATTGCTTATGCTGGAGCATCATCATCGTCATCAGCATTTGGCAGTGGAGGTTGGATGAACTATCTGTCGTCAGCTACTGATGCTATCTACAACTCTGTGAGCCAAGTAGGAGCATCTGTGGCAAATTACCTGGTAACGCCAACAGCAACTGCAGAACATGGAAGACGTTTAGGTGGAAATGGCGAGCAACAAACATCTACTCTTGTAAATGCATCAAGTTCTGGCTCAAGCGATCGCAATGTGAATACATTACATGGCAAGAAATATGATGAAAGTGATGGCGATAAGAGACAGACTTACAATGGCAACTCAGTGAATCATGAATAAAGTGTTGATCTGCCCGATGAAAGCTGAATGTTGATGTGAGAGGACGTCCGGTCGAGTTAGGCATAGACTCTTGTATCTGCTGGAACGAAATTCAATGTGCTCGATACCAGAGTTGGCTTGAAAAGGCATTGGAAGTGGAGTTTTGCATTATAAACTCGAAAATACAGAACAACAAGCTCAAGACAATATACATCTGGTCTCTTGATCCGGGGGTGCATGGATATGATCATGTAGAATGGGGTTTATCCATGATCTGCTAGCCCAATCACCTAGTTTTCAAGGGAAATGTTGGCTCTACACTGGCCAAATGCTTCAGGAACCAAGAAGACATCCACTTCGGCCATTCAACACCTTGGACGCTGGTCTTTTGGAGACTCTAAACAGTGACTTTTTACTTCAACCCCTTGTTTATTCAAGTACCGAATTGTTAAGATGGTGGGGTATAGACATTTGTTTATTTTGTTTTCTTTTTTCTACAACTCTAAAGAAAAATGTACATTTCTCGTGCACTTGGATTTGTAGCCTCTAATGCTACTCGCGTTCAGTCCTCCAGCACTGCTCGTCTTGCTACCACTCAAGGTACATTTAGAAATTGGAAAGAACAATGTGATGTGGAATGCCATCTTACAATAACATTATAGTCAGAAAGTATGCTTCAGCTGCCAGCGCTGGTCAGATTCGGTAAGCAATGATGCTTTTTTTGCAAATGAACTACAACTAGCAGCAATTCGCTAACAACATACAAAACATCAGTTCCGTCATTGGTGCCGTTGTCGATGTCCAATTTGAGCAAGACAACTTGCCTGCCATTTTGAACGCCCTTGAAGTCAAGGATCACTCTGGTGGTCGTCTTGTCCTCGAAGTCTCTCAACATTTGGGTGAGAACACTGTCCGTACTATTGCTATGGATGGTACTGAAGGTAAGTTGGCATTTACAATAGTGAATCATCGTGTCCAGAGGCTTATTCATCCTTGTGTGTAGGTCTTGTCCGTGGTCAAAAGGTTGTCGACACTGGTGCTCCCATTACCATCCCCGTTGGTAAGGAAGTCCTCGGTCGTATCATCAACGTTATCGGTGAACCCATTGATGAGCGTGGCCCTATTGACGCCAAGACTCACCGTCCTATTCACGCTGAAGCTCCTGAATTCGTCGACCAATCTCCCACTCCCGAGATCCTCGAGACTGGTATCAAGGTTGTCGATTTGCTCGCTCCTTACGCTCGTGGTGGTAAGATTGGTCTCTTTGGTGGTGCTGGTGTCGGTAAGACTGTCTTGATTCAAGAATTGATCAACAACATTGCCAAGGCTCACGGTGGTTATTCCATCTTCTGTGGTGTCGGTGAACGTACTCGTGAGGGTAACGATTTGTACCATGAAATGATTGAAACTGGTGTCATTCAATTGGAAGGCGAGTCCAAGTGTGCTCTCGTCTTTGGTCAAATGAACGAACCCCCAGGAGCTCGTGCCCGTGTTGCTTTGACCGGTTTGACTATTGCTGAATACTTCCGTGATGATGAGGGTCAAGATGTCTTGCTTTTCATTGATAACATTTTCAGATTCACCCAAGCTGGTTCTGAGGTATCTGCCCTTTTGGGTCGTATTCCTTCCGCTGTCGGTTACCAACCCACCCTTTCCACTGATATGGGTGGTATGCAAGAACGTATTACTACCACCAAGAACGGTTCCATTACCTCCGTCCAAGCTGTCTACGTCCCTGCTGATGATTTAACCGATCCTGCTCCTGCCACCACTTTTGCTCACTTGGATGCCACCACTGTCTTGTCTCGTTCCATTGCTGAATTGGGTATCTACCCCGCTGTCGATCCTCTTGATTCCAAGTCTCGTATCCTCGATCCCCGTATTGTCGGTGATGAGCACTACAAGGTCGCCACTGAAGTTCAACAAATCCTCCAAAACTACAAGTCTCTCCAAGATATCATTGCTATTTTGGGTATGGATGAACTTTCCGAAGAAGATAAGCTCGTTGTCGAACGTGCCCGTAAGATCCAACGTTTCTTGTCTCAACCCTTCGCTGTCGCCCAAGTCTTCACTGGTTACGAAGGTCGTCTCGTCAAGCTCGCTGATACCATCCGTTCTTTCCAAGAAATCTTGGGTGGTAAGCACGATAACTTGCCCGAATCTGCTTTCTACATGCAAGGTGATATCAACGATGTTCAAAAGCGTGCTGAAGAACTCGCCAAGGAAATGGGTTCTCAATAAGTTAACTCATCGTAGCAAGATCTTTATATATCTCTAGAAACTATTTCTTGGAAAAAAAAATCAACTAGTGCCGTAGTAAAATGGTGTTTGTGTGTTTTGTAAAATTGTGTGTGTATTAAAAAAAAAAAAATAAAAGATCAAACATCTTTGGAAATAGTTATAGAGATGAACAGGGGAACATGCCATCAATCTCTGTGCCTGATGGTAAAAAAGGCTTCTCATATGTCACTTTCAGTAGACTGACAGCTGTACATTTTGCATTTGAATGAGAAATTGGAAACTGTCAAAATTATTATTAGATGCATATGAGAATATGTAAAAGAAGTCCAAGAGAGCGGCCAAACTAAGCTATGGGATTATTTTTTTAACTCGCAATCTCTTTCAGAGAGCTTTGTAGGCATTGATTGCCATCAGGATAAGCATAGCATGGATCCTGCCACCCGCCATAATTAATTCAATCTCCGAATGCATTTCTCTGCTCGAAATGGGAATTTCTGTTCACTTTTCGACTCCATCGATCTATTTTGTCAAATTCGACCATATAAACTGTGATGATTATCCTAAACTCCTTTAAGCTCTCTTGGAGTACTTTTTGAGGCGCATCCAATGGTGTCTAGAAAAGTGGATGTTTTGAACAAACTTACCGAGCATTCTTTAAAAATATGAAATGAGGTTTTTGGCGAAAATGTCGAGATTTTACATATGAAGAATCCACAAAAGTGATTTCAGGGGCTGCTTTGGATCGAAAGAAACATTTTGATGTGATATATGCCTTAGTAAAAGCCTTCATTTTTGCTGTCAAAAACGCGATCGTTTGATTTTCGATGAAAGCCATGAGGTATCCCTCATCCTTTTTGGCCGATTTTTGGCGATCCCAAAAAAAAATCGAGCAAAGGTATCAGAAAGTAACTGCTGGATTGGAGAAATTGAGTGGTGCTACTCTGGCGGTCTAAAACAGCTTTTAAGACGGGAAATTAGGGCTCAAATGTATCCATATCAGGCTGTAATTTTCATGGATTTGAGTAGTAAGAAGTAACACTGCCATCCTGTGTGCCTGTGTACTAATCATCCCCATTATTACTGGCATGGAGCAGCCTATAAATGTCGGATCAGCAGTTACAGGCCGTCCATGGAAGTTTCTTAAACAAGAGTGCACAGTTGAAACAGGAGATTTCAAATTGTAGCTTATTTCCATATTAAAACCCTATTTGATACATGTTCTTTTATACGCATGGCAATGTCAAATGCAATGCATGTCATTGATACAAAGCTTAAATCCGACCACTGCAATTGTGAGTTTTGAATCATCCATTGCAAATGTATAGACTTCAGCCACTACGTTTCTTTGAGCATTAAACGACAATATAAGGCTACTATATGTGTTGGGTATCAAATTATACCATATCGTTATGCCGAGTAACGATAATATAAAGATAAGAAATGTTTAATATATTGTATTTGTATGCAAAGAGAGAGTATGAATGAAAATGAAATGATGAAATATGTTATGGATGAATGAAACCGTGTATTTAGCTGTTTTAAGCATAGACAGCAATATTGTCTGGATTCATGAGACATGTGTTCTTTGTGTCATAACCAAAAGTATCCATCTTGTTGTTCTTGTTTGCTTCCAAGATACGGTTGATTTCAGCGCTTGAAAAGTTAACAATACCTTTAGCAATAGTAACAGCATCATCCTTAGCGATAGTTTCACCCTGTTCGGTCTTTTGACTACAGCGACGACGAACAACGATATTGACAGCTTGATGTTCGATGAAGTTGCCCTTGATAGACTTGACGGCGATAGCTGGAACACTGCTCACTTCAAACAGTGAATCCGTTGATTGATTGGAAGGAGTACGACTACCGTCCTCAGAATCGTCATCAGAGGAAGCGTTAGAAGGAAGTAATACTTCTTCATCTTCGATCTCGATTGTTCCAGCAGTGTGAAGTCCATGTAGAATCCACCATTTGCGGTCAACAAGAGGCTCAGCATTTGGAAGAAATCGGGTATGCAAAGGAGTAGCTGTAGAAGTTTCCGTATTGGCTTTGTCTTTGTCTTGCTGTGCGATGATAGGAATGATGTTTTCAGGCGTAGATCCGCGAGCGATGATTGTAGTGACGCCTGCTGCAGTAGCAAGTTCAGCGGCTACCAGCTTGGTCATCATGCCACCAGTACCAAGAGAAGAACCCATAGAAGCAACGCACACTTCTTGGCGAAGTTTTTCGATACTGTCGCATACTAGCACAGCACGAGCATCTGGATTTGTACGAGGATTATCAGTGTAAAGACAATCTACATCGGTCATGAGAAAGAGGTAATCAGCCCTCACCATGCCAGCAGTGATGGCAGACAGAGTGTCATTGTCACCAAATCGAACAGCCTATGTCTTTGGGTCAATATTCAAATAAATCTCTTGATGTAGTTCTACTTACACCATCAGAAATTGTATCGTTTTCGTTGACAATCGGAACAATGTCCATATCCAAGAGCTCGGTCAAGCAATTGACTGCATTCAGATATTGTGATCTCTATGTGTAATGCATCAGTCAGAAACGTATATTGGTGGAGTACAATTGACATTTAGTTACATCAGCGAGATCGTTACGGGTCAGCAAGATTTGTGCTATAGGCTGGTTGAATCTACCAAACAAATCATCATACATGCTCATCAAACGGCCTTGGCCCACAGCAGCAATTGCCTAGACAAAGCATTTTAGGAACAACTCGTTAACGGACTTGAATAGCTGAAATCATCTTACCTGAATGGCGGCACGACTTTTAGGCTTTTCCACCAATCCCAAATTAAGCAGCCCCTGATGTTGCATCAGATGTTAATTAAGCTGTATATGTACGGTCTGCATTGAATCGAACAATACATACCACACCGACAGCGCCTGAAGTGACAAGCACGACACGATGGCCCAATGTCTTTAGATGGAGAATAGTCTCTACAATCCTGGACAGATTGCTGAGCAGAGGATAGTGTGTCTTTTCATCGCAGATGGAGGATGTTCCAATTTTAATGACCAAAGTCATTGGATCTTTGCTTTTCACAGCATCAATGACTTTTGTGTAGGAAATGTTATTATAAGTAACCATTGTGTGAATGTATATGTTGAAATTAATTTAATAAAAGAAAGGTAAAAGATCAACATGGCCATGTATTTATACTACTTTTTGGAGGGTTTCATACATGAGCTCATTGCGGAATACATGTTTAATTTAAGATACTTGAACTACACAATGGAGTGATGTTCTAATGATTGGCCATCATGACATGCTGTATATAGCCATAGCAAAGATGTGGCCAAAGGGCGGAGATGAGGAAGTTTCCCGCAGCCTTGCACTATACTTGTTACTAAGTGAGTATGATGCGGATGCATAAATATGTGTCTCAATTAGTATATGGGTCCTTTTTGATGAAGAGAACGTTGGTATTGCAAACGTTTTGTTGTGTAGCCTAGGCCCCATGGTCTTATCCTGATATTCAACACCCCCTTGAATCCTTTATATGTACATTTGAGAAACTTTGATTGCTTTTATAAAATACTTGATATGTTCATCAGGCCCGATTTATCCTATCAGTTGTACATCTTTTTGCATGACACCATCGAGCATATGGACACAATACAGTTGAAATCACCAGTCTGTAAGAATTGCAAATAACAACAAACAGCAGACCTCGGATGGTGGCCAAGTATGTATCAAATGTCTCACTCTGTTCATCTCGACAGAAAAAAAAACGGACGGTCTTACTCTATTCATAGCCGCCCCTAGAGAGATGTGTTCCGCTAAATTGCGTTATTTCTGTTGTATTCAAGACAGCATTTGGAGATGTTTACAGAACCGGAATGTGTTCTAAATACACTTGAAATGAACCAAAGCGTATATATAGCATATGAAAACGCAAAGAAACACAAGAGTTCTTGATGAAATCACGGGTTTGATCTATGTGATAATCAGGGCAATCCATACTGATGGTCATGGGAAGTATGCTGGAGGTTTCTGCCTCATTATAGTCTTTGGCCGCAATAAACTGGCTTACCGTATCTCTTTCGCAAGGCATGAATTAACTAGCATAGACTCCTGAATGCCAGCCAGTCTCTGCTACGATGGGTGTTCCATGTTCACTGTGGCAAACAAACGGCCGCTTTCGCCGCTCACATTACAGCATGTTCTGTAGAACCCTATCAATTCCGGATATCTCCCAGGACATTTCATAATGTGTGCATCCATGTTTGTTGGCAACTGTTTGTCATTAAGGTTGTAGTGCTTGGCAGTAGCAGCGGTAGTCATCGCATCAATGAGCTCTAGCTTACCTGTGCCACAAGGCAACACTGGTAGTTCTAGCTATTAAACTACCCACAGACAGTGCCAACACTATAAACTGTTTTCTATGCAAAACCAACCTGATGGCTCGCTCTAGATTCTGTACAGAGGCACCGTTGTAAAGTTGCTTTAAGACTTAATTAAATAACCGAACTCCATCACCATTCCATTGCCATTAGGTCTGTATACATATACAACTGCAACATTCTTCCCATCCATGGAACGCATAACATCAGAACCTCCTAAGAGCCCCTCCTCCTTAGCATAATATATAGACAATTCACAACATATTTTGATAACATCTCTTTTCTCTCTTGCTCTTGCACTTTATATCTTTCTCTATCAGTTTTCTATTCTACACAGCAAAATATGAAGATTTCTACAACCATCACACTGCTTGCATGTGCCACCAGTTCCGTGCTTGCATTAAACCCCATTGTGATCAAAGGAAGCAAATTCTTTGATTCAGTGACTAAAGAACAATTCTTCATCAAAGGGTAATGTAGCATCCGTATGAATGCACATGAGCATAGATTAACAGTGACACAGTGTCGCATATCAGCCTCGAGGCCAAGTGTCCGACAACACACCCGATCCCTTGACTGATGCCACTGCCTGCGCACGAGATGCACCTCTGATGGCAGAACTTGGCACCAATGTTCTCCGTGTTTATGAAGTAAAATCACCTAATCAGATGGTCATTGGCATATGAACTCATCTCTATCTAAACAACAAACATTAGGTTGACCCTAGAAAGGATCACGATGCCTGTATGAAAATATTTGCAGATGCAGGCATTTATCTGCTGCTGGATATTGCCACACCTCATTTCTCTATCAACCGCAAATCACCTGAATACGGCGTTCATTTGTACGATGCCTATAAAGGCACAGTCGATGCATTCTCCAAGTATGACAATCTAGTGGGCTTTATTGCTGGTAATGAAGTGACAAACGACAAAACCAATACACAAGCTTCTGCCTACGTCAAGGCAGCTCTACGTGATATCAAGCATTATATCAAGAACTCAAAGCAAAGAAACATCCCCGTCGGTTATGCAAGCAATGACGATGAATACATTCGTGATGACATCAAGGATTACTTCAACTGTGGTGATGTTGAGTCTCAGGTACAGTGGAGAGGCGTGGAAGCAGCATGAGCAAAAGCAGCATCGACTTATACTGGTAGTATATTCTACACATAGGCTGATTTCTTTGGCGTCAATCTGTACGAATGGTGTGGTGTTTCGACATTTGAGAAATCAGGCTTCAAGGATCGCACCAAAGAATTTGAAAACTACAGCAAACCCGTCTTTCTCTCAGAATACGGCTGTAATCTAGTAACACCCAGAGGCTTCACTGAAGTAGCTGCCATCTACGGACCTGAGATGACCGATGTTTGGTCAGGTGGCGTTGTATATGAATGGACGCAAGAAAACAATAGATATGGCCTCGTCAAGATCGCAACTTCGGGAGAAGCAGAAGTGCTGCCAGACTACACAAACCTCAAGGAACAGATGGACAAGGTGAAGCCCAAGGGTGTCAAGATGGACGCTTACAACGACCAACGACCAGCCTCTAACTGTCCTGCTATCAGTGCCAACTGGAAGGCAGCCTCTGAATTACCACCCACGCCCTCTGGCGGTGCCTGTGAATGTATGGTGCAGAACATGAACTGTGTTGCATCTGATAAAGTGAGCAATATTCCCGGTCAAACTGGCAACAGCACGCTTGGTAGTCAATTAGATACCATGTGCGGCCTCGTCTCTTGTGCTGAAATTAGCGGCGATGCTGAAAAGGGCGTCTATGGCGCATTTTCATTCTGTTCTCCCAGAGATAAACTTAGTTGGCTTTACAACTTAAGGGCCAAGGAATCGATGAAAGTGTCGCCCACCGACTTTTGTAATTTTAACGGCCTTGGTCAAGAGATTTCCCCCAAACGAAATGACCTCACTGCTTGTGCAAAGATTGCCCCTAATATGGAAGGTGTTACTGACGATGGTACCTTTAATACGCTCCCATCATCTGGTGCACAAAAGGCCGCTCAAAAGATGATTTACGGTGATACATTTGTGGCGTCTGTTGTATGCGTACTTGCTGCTGCCTTTTTCATGTGAACTAGAATACATTAGACCCTATTTAATACTACGCACATAATTTCATACTAATAAAAATATACTTGATCTGACGCATCATGGCAAAAAAAAAGGAAGCCTATCTACCGTGTATTGACCATAGCAAGCGGGTGAGTTTAGTGTGCCATGCAGCGGGCTGTGTCCGTGTAGTGCTCTGTTGCTCCAATGGCTACAAAATCTTGATTATGTATGTGTATGTAATGGGCATGTAAAATAAACAGAATGCTCATAAAATTAAAAACGGTACATCATGTTGGATTTTTCTTGCAATTCCATGTCTATAATGCTTGGATGCGACATGACGTGCACGCTTATAAGTCCAAGCATTTCATTGTTTATTTGTGTTTGGAAGATGTATACAAAAGCTACAGATTTTGATTTTCCATAGCTTATCTTGATTTTGATCTTGCAAGCAACGAAAGAGCCCTTCTTGGAAGGCAGGCAGATTGGACAACCAACTAGGTGAAACTGTATAGAATAAATGGCTCAAGCAAGATCAGCCCTGAGAAAGCACTCAATCATCGCTTTCCCCCCCCTATTATTTTTTATTCACAATAGAGACATACACTCCCTTGTTTCTCTATACATCTCTCTCTCTCTCTCTCTCTCTCTCTACTCCTTCTTCTATTGTATATAAATATATATATATTTACAGAAATCTCTTCTTTTTCTATTGTTTTCTCTCTTTCTCTCTATTTTCATTAAAAAAGGCGGCAAAATCAGCAACATTTAGGAGACGAGACACCATCATGACAAATCTCATATCAGCTGCCACTCATTCGACACCCAAAAGACCAATTCAGAGAAAGCAGAACAAGCTGGGCCCTTACAACCTGCTACAGACACTGGGAGAAGGTGAATTTGGTAAGGTCAAGCTAGGTATCCACATCGAGACAGGCCAGGAGGTGATGTATATCAGCATGGCAGCTAGAAGAGCAAGACAACTGATGACTAAGACTACAGGTTGCCATCAAGCTGATCAAGAAAGAAGGTGATGGATCAGACACTCGCATTAACAAGGTAGAAAGAGAGATATCTGTGCTCAAGGTATGTGTAGTTGATACATGGCATGTCCAGCACACATGGCTCACTCAAATGCCCTCTAGACACTGAATCACCCGTACATTGTTAAACTATACAACGTTGTTGAAACCGAGAAATACATTGGCATCATACTAGAGTATGCTTCAGGTGAGTGTTGTCTGTGCATAAGCTATAATGCAGCATCTAACGCTCTATCCCACCCATAGGCGGTGAACTGTTTGAATACATCTTGGCTCATCGCTACCTCAAGGAAAAGGACGCCAAACGATTCTTTGCGCAGCTGATTAGCAGTATTCAATATATGCATAAGCGTAAAATAGTACATCGTGATTTAAAACTAGTAAGTAAATCTCGACATGAAGATTTAGGAGAAGAAGGCGTGCCCCTTACTTAGATTGCACATCTATAGGAAAATCTACTGCTAGACAAGAATCGCAACATCATCGTTACTGATTTTGGTTTTGCCAATCAGTTTGCTTCTGCTGCTGATGACATGATGGCCACCACATGTGGATCGCCTTGTTATGCTGCTCCCGAGTTGGTCGTCAATGCTGGACTCTACGCTGGGTCCGCTGTGGACATCTGGAGCTGTGGCGTTATCTTGTATGCAATGCTTTGTGGCTTCCTTCCCTTTGACGATGATCCATCGAACCCTGATAGCGACAACATTAACCAGCTATACCGCTACATTCTGTCTACCAACCTGATGTTTCCGTCTCATGTGGGCGTGGACGCCAGAGACTTGTTGGCCAAGATGCTGGTGCCTGATCCAGCTAAGCGATGCTCACTCGATTACATTGTAAAGCACCCGTGGTTGGAGTCCTACCGCCAGTTTCTCAAGAAAGATGCTGCACAGCTAGAAATGGAAGTATTGGCTGCATCAAGATTATCAACTATGCCCGATATAAAATCTAATGCTATTGTGAGCAGCAGCGCATCCACCTCGTTACCCAGAAAAGTGGCAGCAGCAGGGGCAAATGCAGCTTCAGCAAGAAAAACACATGTCCCTGTAATGACACGGGATCGCTTTGCTCCTGTTGCTAATGACAAATACTTGGTAACTAACCACAAATTAAGTAATGCAGTGACTAAAAAACCACTCTCGGCTACTCCTAAATCACCTTCCTCCCAAAAGACAAGCTCATTCAAACACTTTTCCATTGGTCGTTCTTCAGCCACCACAACCACTGTTGAAAAGCCCATCCATGCCACTAATGTAAGAACATCCAAAGTACCCAACTTTATTACCAGAAAGCCCATCAAAAAAGAAGAAGAAGCAGCAACTACCAACAATGATTCTTCCATCACAGTCGCCTCTGCCAACATGGGCACTGACGATGTTCATCTTGAAAAATCGCTATCATCGCCTCGGTCAGATCAGGATGCGTTTGCTTTATCGTCTGTTGGCAGTATCAAAAGAAGCCAGCGCCGTGGTGCTGACAAGTTCTTGAGCTTTTTCACTGGTGGCAGAACATCACACATTCCTGTGGTCTCTCAGAAGCACGTTGAAGATGAAGCTATTATTCATGGGGATAAGGATGTCAGCACCATCAATGCAACATCAGCTGTAACTACCAATGAAAGCTATCATGACACGGCAGAAGAAGTGATCCAAGATGAGTTGGCCCAAGATTCAGCCATCAGCAGTGCAGTCGAGTCCAACAGCAACTATGTCCTATCAGCAGAAGAAGAGAACCAAGACGACCAAAACCTAATGCATTCTTCTTCTGAGGCTTCTACTCTTGGCGGTAATTCTGCACCTTCAGTCGATGCTTTGCCAGGCAATGCAGATGGAACTGCTATAGAAGCTTCTTCTCAACCAACAGAAGCAGCTACAGGTGGTGTCAATGCAGTAAGAAGCACCACGTCTACCATCACTGAAGATCAAGAAGGTGAAGCCAATGCCTCCAATGGATCTCAGTACGACGGCACATCCTCCATCACCTCTTATCGTCAGCATCAACCAGAAAGAGAGAGAGGAAGCAGCATCAGTACAGCATCCATCCTATCAGAGCAAGGTGCAAATTCGTCACTCCATAGCAACAGCATTGTGTCATTCAAGGATGCACCTCGACGCACTACACCACTCATCTTCAACTCACAAAAGGCTGGATCATCGTCCTTGGCCCTGCGACACCAGCAGTTCAATAACGGCCATGTTCACATTAATACGGGATCTTCGATCGTGTCTTCATCTGCTGATGGTCATGTCGACAGCGCCTCACTGTCCTCTGCAGGTACAAATCCCCAACCTGAAGTCTCCAATTCAGCTCGTCTCACAGCCAAATATGTGGTATCCAATGCCATGGGAGATGGCGGACGCAAAGCCATGGCAGCCGTGCGTCGTAGTATCTACAGAAAGCACAAGAGTCAGCCTCCTCTTCCTCCTTCTGCTGCTACTGCAACTCAACAGCAAGCACCAAACAGCCAACGCAATTCAGCACCTGTCACCGAGCGCAAGGAGCCCCTGATTTCATTCGCCAAGAGCAGATTCGAAGAGACAAGCACACTGGTCCCTGAGCAGCAACAACAACAGCGCCACACGATACGCAATAATTCAATTATGGCTGCCTCTACATCAGAAGTTACAGCTAAGAACAAGACGGGCAAAAAGATGATGGAATGGATAAAGAAGAAATCGCATGGTAAGTGTTTGAATCTAGATGCTGTTGCTGGCCATGTTGCTTATAGAGTTTTAATGAACTGCATTCAGGCAAAGAGAACAAAAAGGAGGTGAATGCACAAGTGTTAACTCACAAAACATCGCCCGCTGCTGCTGCAACAAACAAAGAACCAAGACCACCTGCTCAACTACTGACCAAGCCAAGATATCATACTAAGAAGGAATCCATCACTCCTGCAGCTGTAGCTAAAATGCCACACAGCAGCAATAGTACTAAGGCTACAGAAACAACTCCCAGCACTACCAAGAAGACGAGCAACATACCTGGCTCACGACACGCGCGAAAGTCAGTGATATCCATCCTGGCGCCTCCTTGTTCATCGACGCCACACAAACCTCTTGCTGTTGCTGCAGCACTAGAACCAGAGACCAAGACTGAGAAAGAAGAGCTCGTGGTGCCTGAACAAAGCAGCATTCGTCGCAAGAACCGTGCTCTCAGTGGAAGCGAAACAGCTATTGCAGAATTAGGCAAGAAGCAAAGCGCTGTGGATGAACGTATAGAAATACATCAAGGAGCAATTGACAGAAAAGCACTTACATCACAGTCACCTGCAGTTGTCATCAAAGACATCGCTCGTATCTTGCATATCCTGGGCATTGATACGGCTTTAGAATCTCCCTATATACTCAAGTGCTGTCGTAGAAAGGCAAAATCATTCATTGCTGCTGAATTGCTCAAGAAGTCTGACGCTGTAGAAGATCAAGAAGAAGAGGAAGATGACTTGGCCATTGATGCCTCCTCAGCAAGCTCGTCAGGTATCTCCACATCCACATCCACAGCTGCTGCGGTGATTCGAGGCGAAGATCCCATCTATGGCGATGCTGCTATTGACAATGGCGATGAAATTCGATTTGTGGTGGAAATGTGTCGCTTTAAAAACTTGCCTGGTTTGTACATTGTAGATATTCGTAGAGTGAGAGGCAATGCTTGGGCTTATAAATTCCTGTATCATAAGCTCATTGATTTCCTGGATTTGGGCAAAGATAATTACATGCAATCCTCCAAATAAGTGAACAAACTATGTCTTGAATATTTAATATCATATTACAATAAATGTTCAGTCCCTAGACACTTTTACAATCCTACTAATATGGAAACTGAATTTCATCAAGGCATCTGTCAGGCCTGGCTCATATATGATTAACCAGCCCCACAAGCCAAAATTAATTCAAACCCAGAATCATAGTCTGTTCTAGATTGGCCAAATTTTAATAATTTTGGACTCGATTGAACTATGTTTGCAGTAAAATATGATGATCACCCTATGCTTCTTTAAGCTTTCTTGGAGTGCTTTTCAAGGCGCATCCAATGGTACCAAGTAATATAGATGTTTTTAATAAACTTATTGAATAATTTACAAAAACATAAAAAGAGGTTTCTGGCCAAAAAGTCGAAATTTTACATAACAAAGTTCCACAAAGATGATTTCAGAAGTTGCTTTGGGTCGAGAGAAACATTTTGAATTAATATATACCATAGTAGAATTCTTCGTTATCAAGGTAAAAAAATGCGATCGGTTGATTTTCAATGAAAACCATGAGGGGTACCTCATGCTTTTTGGTTGAATTTTGGCCATGTTTTTTTTGGTCCCCAAAAAGTTGAGCAAAGGTGTCAGAAAGTAACTCCTAGATGAGAGCAATTGTTTGGTGCTATTCTGACAATCTAAAACGGCATTGAACGCGAGAAAACGCAGCTCAAATGCACTCAGATTTTGCTGTATCAGGGGCACTAAGGAATAAAAAGGGGAAATGCCAGTATGCTGCTTGTCCGTATATAACGTAGCTACGTATATATGGATGTAGAGCATCACATAAAAATCAAATTCACAGATAATATGAAGGGTTTTCATGTGTAAGTAGTGGGCCAACATGAAAGTAGTATTATTTTGAAAAGATACGCAAGGGCAATCGGTAGCACGAGCCGTCTCAACGAAGTTTGGTTTCCACCGAAGCGAAGCGTAAGTCAGGAAACCACCCAAAGTGCCGAAAGGCCCTCACACAATAAATATATATACGTTACTCTTATCTCCAAGTAATATAGGTCTTTGCAGATCTGTTTGTTAGGATAAACATTGTAGCTCCTATATACATGGTATCAATCAAGATGATCACCACAGTACAGTAGTACGAACTTTACAGACATATCAGAAGGCTGATAAACATAATTTGGTTCTTGAATACTATAAAATGCATTGGTCATCATACATTCAGTAAGTGTGATCTTCTTTAATGAAGCAATGAATGTAACTTGTTTGCGTTCGGGTTCAACAGTATTTGAACACTGATAAATGTTGGATTTGCAAAGGAATTTGGAAGGCTGGTTTATGGGATGGATAACGCATCTGTCATCATTGTACCCATGTGTCCGTAGAAATCTTGGCTGATCAATCAAATCAATCTTCAGCGGTGATTCCAAAAAGGCGAAAAAGTTGGGAAGTTTCTTGATTGCAAAGGTTACTGCTTGTTCATTTGCATTGGTCTACGTTACCTGACATGCTTGAGCATTTGTTTAATTTTGCATCAACTACATGGAAGTGAATTGACATGTTTGGATCTGATGTACGGTGTTCTCGGTTATTATTCCCTATGATTTCTGAATCTAGCTGTACTAAACATTCACTGCAGGCATTTCAATGTGCAACTTGATCCTTGCGAACTTGTAGTTTCTTGAGATATTAGCAGTTATGGGAAGCATGAGTTGTTCGCCGCTGATAGACATGATCTGGTATTATTTTTGACAAGACATCCGAGGGTATTCCACCATGGAGAGTTGGCACTACGACAATGAACTAGTAAGGTGTGTTGGTAGCCCGGACCGAGAGATCCAAGGGCAACTGACACGGACTTTCAACTATCAGATAATTCTCAATGGAATATAATCCATTGCCAAATGCCCAAACTATGAATCCTCCTCTTTTTTTGCTCGAACTTTCAAATGGTATAGTCCATCGTTCACAAACTGCAAGAGATGCACCACCTGCAAAGCCTGAAATATATCACGGATCGATGCGATATGGAGTATACGGATGGATGAAATTGATTGCAGTACGCAATGTCAATGGATGCACATGGAGATCCAACATGTGATGGATGATATATTTTCAGCTGTGTGGGGAGGATCGTCTTTCTTGCTCATATCCCATGAATATGCATGGATACTAACTCTCTTAACATGCTTAGTCCGCTGCCAGACCTGTTCTCAACGTCTACACCGAGTGTGGTAAGAACGTCGCTTCTACCGTCCCTCTTCCTGCCGTTTTCAAGGCCCCCATTCGTCCTGACATTGTCAACTTTGTCCACACCAACATGGCCAAGAACAAGCGTCAAGCTTATGCTGTCTCTGATAAGGCTGGTGAGCAAACCTCTGCCGAGTCTTGGGGTACTGGTCGTGCTGTTGCTCGTATTCCTCGTGTCAACGGTTCCGGTACTCACCGTGCTGGTCAAGCCGCTTTCGGTAACATGTGTCGTGGTGGTCGTATGTTCGCTCCTACCAAGACCTGGAGAAAGTGGCACATCAAGACTAACCTCAACCAAAAGCGTTTCGCTACTGCTTCCGCTTTGGCCGCCTCTGCCCTTCCTTCTTTGGTTATGGCCCGTGGTCACCGTGTTGAGAAGATTGAGGAAGTTCCTCTCGTTGTTGCTGACTCCATTGAGAAGTTGACCAAGACCAAGGAAGCTGTTGCTTTGTTGAAGTCTCTCAACGCTTACTCTGATGTTGTCAAGGTCTCCAACTCCCGTAAGCTCCGTGCCGGTCAAGGTAAGCTCCGTAACCGTCGCCACAGACAACGTCGTGGTCCTCTCGTCATCTACAACGAGGACAACGGTCTCGTCAAGGCTTTCCGTAACTTGCCCGGTCTCGAGCTCGTTAACGTTCGTCGTCTTAACCTCTTGCAACTCGCTCCTGGTGGACATCTCGGTCGTTTCATCATCTGGACTCAATCCGCCATTGCTCTCCTCGATGAGCTCTACGGTACCTATGAGGCTCCCGCTACCTTGAAGAAGGACTACGTTTTGCCTGCTCACATCATGACCAACCCTGATGTTGCTCGTCTCATCAACTCTGATGAAATCCAATCCGTTGTTCGTCCCGCCGGTAACAAGCACCACAAGCGTCCCTTCACTCAAAAGAAGAACCCTCTCAAGAACCAAGGTGTTATGAACCGTCTTAACCCTTACGCTCAAGTCCTCCGTCGTGCTGAGCTCGTCAAGGCTGAGAAGGTTGCTGCCGGTAAGGTTGCCAAGGTCCAAAAGAAGAAGACCCCCAACACCGTTGCCTCCAAGAAGTTCTTGGAAACTCTCCGTGCCGATTAAATCGTTTGAAAGAGTAGTTTTTCATTAAAAACAGCATACTTTTTACTATCTAATTAAAACTAGTTCGAGATTGCATTTTGTTTTGTTATTCAAGGAATTTCAAGTGTTGAGTAAGGATGATTGAGGGTTGTCAAGTGTGTGTGTTGGCTCGAGTTTTTTTTTTTTTTTTTTGGATCTGTATTATTGAACCCTGTTTTTAAATGCTGTTTGCTTGCACACAATTAGCAGATTAAGCTTTCCAGATCAAATGTCACACACTAGATTGTTATCTCTGTGCTCATCTTTAGTAGATTATGTAAGATGCTTATGTAAGTGGACTTGGATGAACAATGATATAATCGGTTTTTATTTATGAGTGAGTCTATGGAATAAAAAGGATGTAAACAGGGGAGAAAATCTATAATAGTATTTGCATGGCGTGTCTATTTAAAGCTGCTCGTTGACTTGCTCTAAAACGACGGCGACGCCATCCTTGTCGTTATCAGCAGTAATCAGGTCTATCAGGGTGAGAGATTAACACGCAGCTTTTTCCATTGATTTCAATCTATGGCTTACCGGCAATGTCCTTGACACTCTGATGAGCATTGCCCATAGCAACACCAGTACCTGTTATATCCCAACATTTAATACACATTCACAATTCAATTTCAATTAACATTGTACTGACCAGCAAATTCGAGCATCTCACAATCATTTGGCATATCACCGAAAGCAATGAGTTCAAAGGGCTTGACATTAAGCTTATCGACGAGATCCTTAAGGGCAGTTGCTTTGCACACACCAACAGCAGAGACTTCGACAAAGTAAGGACTGGAGAAGGTATAGTGGATCATGCTCTTCCATTTGGGATCGGTCAGCACATTCTTTTGAAGATAGTAGAACAATTCATCAGCAGGCCACTCACGATGCAAAATCATGAGCTTCTCAATAGAGTTGTTTTCATCAGCCAAATAATGAAGATCATCAATACGGTTGTAAACCTTGCCAACCCAATCCCAACGCTTTTGAGCATAGGCTTCTTCACAACGGAAGCTGGTGCCAGACTCACCACCGATCAGAATATCATCGTTACCAAAATGAGCCTTTACTTCCTTGATCAACTCACGAACGGCTTCAGTATCAATAGAGTACTTGCGAATCACTTCCTTGGTGACACTATCAAGAACAATACCACCATTACAACTGATGATATAAGGGTGCTTGAGCCCAGCTTGGTTGACCAAAGGAACCATGGATCTGGGAGGACGACCAGAAGCCATAGCAATGGGAATACCTCTATTTTCCAATGCTTGGAGAACCTTGACGGTACGATCAGTCATTTTACCACTACAAATTCATCGAATTAAAATTTTTTCGAATTTGACAGATATTGGCATGAAATGTGAAACTATTGTCGTTGCTACTTACCCATTGAAATTCTTTCCAACAATAAGAGTGCCATCAAGATCGGAAGCGACCATCTTGATATGTGAGAAGCTGGGAGGGGTAGCAAGTGCAGTAGGGGACATTTTGTTTAGAGTAGTAAGACAAGAAAAAAGGTGTAACTGTTTCTGTAATCGATAAGATCTCGAAAGCTTTTTAAATTCTAGTTTCTGATTAAATGTCAGATGATTGCACACATGGATGATTAGGATGTGGTGCTGTTTCATCTTAATATGATAGGCGGTTACTTTTTGGAATACAATCAATGGCGTTCATTAAAGTATTTAAGTGGCATTAATCTCCTTCGAGTCAGTCTCATTGATTCTGACACGACTCAGCTTTTGCAAGCGAGGCTGAATGCTTCGTGAGAGAATAGATCACACATATCATAAGATACATGACTCATTCCGCCGCATTTGCCAAACCATCCTACTAATATACTTTTAGCTAACCATTATTATACGAGGCCCCTTTAGAAACGGGTTGTAATCGTAGATCCGGCTCTTCTACGATGCTCCACGTCTGTACGAGCAAGAACAAGCCAGGTACGGACTCACAGCACGGCAGCATTACCCCTTACTACTCCAGAATACGCAAAACACAGCCAAAATCAAGCACATTTGAGCCGTTATTTCTCGCCTTAGAAGCTGTTTTAGAACGCCGGAATAGCACCACTCAATTTCTCCAATCCAGCAGTTACTTTTTGATACCTTTGCTCGATTTTTTTTTGGGATCGCCAAAAATCGGCCAAAAAGGATGAGGGATACCTCATGGTTTTCATCGAAAATCAAACGATCGCGTTTTTGGCAGCAAAAATGAAGGCTTTTACTAAGGCATATATCACATCAAAATATTTCTTTCGATCCAAAACAGCCCCTGAAATCACTTTTGTGGATTCTTCATATGTAAAATCTCGACATTTTTGCCAAAAACCTCATTTCATATTTTTAAAGAATGCTTGATAAGTTTGTTCAAAACATTCACTTTTCTAGACACCATTGGATGCGCCTCAAAAAGTACTCCAAGAGAGCTTAAAGGAGTTCAGGATAATCATCACAGTTTATATGGTCGAATTTGACAAAATAGATCGATGGAGTCGAAAAGTGAACAGAATTTTTTTTTTTTTAGGGCAAATAAATGCTTTATTTAAAGTCCTTTAAAGTGAACAGAAATTCCCATTTCGAGCAGAAAAAATAATTTCGGAGATTGAATTTATTTGGCTGGCAAAAGCACTGCCATGCTTATCCTGGTGCTCATAGACGCTGTTGGGAGCTCAAAAAAGCCTATAGTTTAGCTCAATTATTATATCATGCTCCTATTACAAATCTTTTATCTGTTCAACTTGATTGCTGCAAATCGGCCAGTCAAAATCCAATGCTAAAACGAAATGCAAATCGTCATATAGTCTAGCGAATGCAGCTATATGCTATGGTCTTTTGAATGAAATGATGCCAAACAAGGTTCAAACAGAGCTGAGTGTTATCGAAAAAGACCATCTATAGAGCTTGACAATGCGGCAATCAGCAGTTACCAAAATCATGTAGTCAACAGCGAAAGACCATTGCAGCTAGTTATGGCATTACTGTTCGGCAACATTTATGATACCAATTGCGCTTATCCATGCAATACCATGGAAATTTGATTCTCAATGAAGTATCTATGGCAGCGAAACTGCCAACTATATCACAAAAAATAGCAAACAAATAGAACATCTGTAACAAATGTTTTGCAAATTGGCCATGAAGCTATAAATAAGTTTCTGATGGGATGAACTCAGTCCATTTTGGTAATGCTCTTTGAGTAACATGTTATCGGCTGATTGGCAATCTCAAAAGCAAGATTTATCGCAATTTTGAACACTAACCGCACAGTATTCATTGAAGCACTGAGCCACGCACATATACTAATAGATTTCGTTGCATCATCTTAATAATTGTAAATGCAACAAACAGCAGGACGCAGCTTACACATGTATGCAGTCATTGACAATAGAAACTCCACTAACTCACACAACAAAAGATTGAGATGCAAAAAGAAACCTACGCTTAATTTCTCTTTTGCTTCTTCCTATTTTCCTATAGGTATGGACTCAAAAGAACTCAAGGACTCGTCTCTGACGCCGTCCTCAAGACTATCAGCTGGTAAAGCATTAGCGCCGCCTATACCGCCCAGAAGAACACCAGGCTCCTTTATAGAAGAGGATCCTTCTCCATCTGCTCTTCCACCCAGACTTGTTGAGCAGCCTGCAACACCACCCGTTAACCCGACGCATAGCAACAACAACAACAACAACAACAACAACAACAACAACATGCATGAACCCATCTTATCAGCAGCACCACCACCTACACCCACTCGGCCTTCCAATGAGCTCACTCACCGTAAACAAAAAGCTGGCGAAATTGCAGATCTCGTTCCCGATTTGCATGGTCTTTCACCTGTAAAAGGACTATCCACTGAACTCGATACGCATGACACAGCAAAGACTCGAGAAATTTTTACTGCAGCTGCACAAAAGTCTATACCTGCTACAACCACATTATCAGCCGGTATGCCTGGTGGTTTTATTCCCCCAACTCAATCACGTATCCCAGAATGGTATCGTACTGGGTGGACATCGCTTGCACCAGGCGAGAATCCTGGAGGTGAATTGAACATATTGGCGTCTCGATTCAAAAAGACATTGGATGATCCTCTGGATGAAATGCTGCCCAACATGTTGTATGGTGAATGGTATCATAATGGTGCGGCATTGTTCGTCACCGCCATTGTGTCGTTTTTGCTAGCGAAAATGAATGCTGGATTAGGAAGTATATTGTTATTTTGCTTGTTCATTGGTAAAAATTGACGCATGCAATGAACTCGTCATGTAGATATACTCACACCTACACACACACATTGATTTCATTTATAGCAAGTTACTATCGAACAAGTATTAGAAGATATCGTCGTAACGCACGTGATGACATCCAGCGAGAAGTGTCCAAGTTCAAGATGGAAGCAGATGAAGAATCCGTCGAGTGGATGAACAGCTTTATGCAAAAATTTTGGCTTATTTTTGAACCTGTTCTCAGTGCGCTCGTTGTGGAGAACCTCGACAACTACATTTCGGATTACCTGCCTCCGTTTTTAGATTCCATTCGTCTATCCACATTTACACTCGGTACAAAGCCATTTCGCATTGAAACTGTCAAAACATATTTGAACACCGATCCTGATACTGTTTGCATGGATTGGCGAGTCTCCTTCATCCCTAACGAATTGAACGATCTGTCGCCCAAGGAATTGGAGTACAAGGTCAACCCTAAGGTCGTGATGAATGTTCGTGTGGGCAGAGGTCGTGTTGGTGCTGGATTCCCTGTTTTGATCGAGGATATGGCCTTCTCCGGGCATTTGCGCATAAAGATCAAATTTATGGTCCGTTTCCCATTTGTCAAGCTACTTGAAGCCAGTTTCCTAGAGAAACCTCAATTTGATTATGTTCTCAAGCCGCTCGGTTCTGACTCGTTTGGTTTTGATGTCAATGTGATTCCCGGTTTAGCCAGCTTCATCCGAGATCAAGTACACAACATTCTGGGTCCGTTGATGTATGCCCCCAACGTATTTACTGTGGATGTGGATAGATTCTGGGCTGGTGATTTCGATTTGAGCTCTGCCAATGGTGTGTTGGCTGTCACCGTATACTCTACTGACCGTATCAAGAACATCGAGGGACTTGTTGATGGCGCACCCAACCCTTACATTCGCTTCTACTTGGATCATGGCCAGGAATTGGACCGCACCTCTGTCTGTGAGAATACCTTTACGCCCAAGTGGAATGAAACAAGATACTTGAAATTGAATAACTTGAACTCTTTACTGTCTTTGGAACTCAAGACATCCAGACCTGGCCTCAAAGACAGACGTCTGGGTACTGCCAATTTCGATTTATCGCTGTTGGATGGTGAAACACAAGCAGAGCAAGAGGGATTGAATTTGCTGCTTCTCCGTAACGGCAAGCAGGTCGGTGATCTTCGTGTTGATGTCCGTTATCTTCCCATTTCCAAGCCTTCTAAGCGTGATGATGGCACAATTGAACCTGCTGTTGAATCCAGTAAGTACCTTTTTTCAGTACGACGCATACATGCTAACTGCCATCACTTTATTGCAGACTCTGGTGTACTCCGTTTGATGGTTCATGAATGCCGTGAATTGGTGTCCACTTCCGGCGCTATCAGCCCGTATGTCCGTATCATTGTCAATGGCATTGAAAAGTTCAAGACCTCTGTGATGAAAAAGAAGACGGATCCCAAGTTTGAAGAGCCCTACGAGATTGTTGTATTGGATAAAACCACCTTCTTTATCCGCGCTGAAGTCAGAGATAGTGCTTCTGAAGACAAGCTTGTGGGTGCTTTTACCTCTTACTTATCTGACATGGTGCGTCAACAAGAAAAGAACGATAGTTGGTGGGATCTAGTCAACGATACCGAGCAAGCTGGTCAATTGCGTCTCAGTGCAGAATGGAAGCCCATGGTCATGTCTGGCATCTCTGACTTTGTCAGTAGACATGGTTTTGATAAGCCTCCCATTGGTGTCGTTCGCTTCACCTTCTGGGAAGCGCGAGATCTTCGCAATGTTGAGAGTGTCACTGGTGGCAAGAGCGATCCGTATGTTCGTGTGCTGTCTGGACACCAGATTCGTGGCCGCACTGAAGTGATCGATAACAATCTGAACCCTGAGTGGGGGGAGACCTTGTATGTACCTGTGCATTCGTTGAAGGAAAACTTTGTGCTGGAAGCGATGGACTGGAACGCAAAGAGCAGAGACAAGACATTGGGATCAACTGAATTCAAGGTGTCTGAGATCATGAGACAGCAAATTGGAGACCAAAGTGTTAATCCTGATGTTTGGTATGAATCCAATGGTGTCAAGTTTGACAGGTAAGTGAAAGACAGAGAAAGCGAGACAAAAAAAAAACACTCACGTTATTTACATACGTTTTTCCAGATGGCAGCGACTTCGCTCGTTTGACAAGCGTAGCTCCAAGGGAGACCTCCACTTTTCCGCCGAGTTTTATCCTGTGATGGGCCTGCCTTCCACTGCCACCGCTGTCGACACGAGTAACAAGAACAGCAACATTTCATCTGCCTCAGGTATCTCTTCTAGTGTCAGTGCAGGCACTGCACCTGCATCTCCTCCTCCTCTTCGTGGCCTGCACGGCTCTTACATTCGCTACACGCCTGATGACTTGGTTGATTTGAACTCGTACAACTCGGGTGTTCTCAAAATCAGAATCCACCAAGTTCAGCTTTCTAGCGTTGCCTACTGCTACTGCCAAGTGATTGTGGATGCATTGATGCCTCAATACAAAACTGCTAAACTCCGCGGCGACAACCTCAATTTCGATGAGTGTGCTGATATGTTTATCAAGGAAGCTGACTTCTCCCGTGTTGCTATTGAACTCAAGCCTGCACACTCTGATGAAAAAGATATCCACAAGCTGGGCCATTGGATTGATTCTGGCTCGAACATTGTACGTCGCATCATGAGACGCAAGAGACTTGGACTAGATGGCGCTGATGATGAAGGCACATGGTTCAATCTGATGGGCACAGATGGCCCTGCTCGCATTCGTCTTAGTTTTGAGTATGACCCTATGGCCAACTTTGTGTTGAACCCTGATGAAAGTTTGGATAGTAAGTATATGCTGTGCAGCCGCCCAATTGCAGCACAAGGGACTCACTCATGCAATCCCTTTCCTTAGATCAAGGCATTTTGACTGTGGATCTTGTGAGCGCAAAAGACCTTATGGCTGCCGATAAGACAGGTACCAGTGACCCTTATGTTGTCTTTACCGTGAATGGTGAGCGCGTATACAAGAGTGACACTATTCGAAAGACGTTGAATCCAAAGTGGCAACGTGAACACTTCACAATGCCTATTGTAAGTCGAGCTGACCATGATTACGACAACTTGATACTGATGCGATCCATTTGTAGCAATCAAGAGTGACAGCCAGTATTCGTATTGAAGTGTTTGACTGGAACCATGTGCAGGGACATCAGCCCATCGGTTCAGGCGGCATTACACTGCGTGGCGATGCTGTGGAAAGCTTTAAGGCTTGCATGGTGGACATCCCTCTCGATGGTGTAGCAGGCGTATCCGGCAGTGTTCAAGTCAGATTCACATGGCATCCACAATTGCTGGCCAACAAAAAGACGCAAACCTCAGTGCTCGGCACCACGCGTACCTACCTCCATAACGATGTCAATCTGGAAGCTTCTGGACCTCTTCCTCGCAACTCTCTTAGCTCTCAAAGCATGGCTCGTACATCTACAGACAGTCGCTACAGCCATAACACAGCAGAGTCCGTTGGACGATCGTCTTACGAGGACACTGTATCGCTTGCTCCATCTACCATTGCCGATACCAGTGCCCTCAGTGATGCAACAGGCAGAGCAGGTATAGTTGCAGTTGAGATTCTAGAAGCTCGTGGGTTGCGTGGTGTTGACAAGAGCGGCACTAGCGACCCATTTGTGCGAGTCAAGGTCGGTAAAAACCAAGTCTACAAGACAAAGGTGATTCCCAAGACATTAGCACCTGAATGGAACGAGTCATTCACGCATGGTGTTGGCGGAGAACCGTTTATGTTTGATTTCAAGGTGAAGGATCACAACAAGATCAAGTCGGCAGTCGATCTTGGACAGAGCAGAGTGAATATCTGGGACCTAATCAAGGTGGATGTGCCTGGTGGAGATGTGTTTAATCAGTGGCTTCCATTGTTTCCTCCTGGCAGTGGTGAGCTTCGTGTGAACATCAAATTCAGAGCAACCATGTAATATTACTGTAATTAAATAAAGAAAATGACGCCTTTTGATCGATCTATCACATTAGCATGCAAGAAGGCAAGCTATGGCTTCCTTTTCACGCGGAAAACTCATATTTGCCCCTTTCAGTTTACATTTCGCACAGGCCAACAAAGGGTGCATTCATGCCTACAGGTCGAAATTAAAACACCAAAAAACTCTGACAGACCAGAGCTATATCCACATTCTAACGAGCTCTGTATACGTCCATGCATATTCTGTACCAAGTCAGAATCTGTGAAAAAGGAAAGCTCCATGCACCAGTCAGTTAGTATTAGGAAAAATAGTAAGACCCCCTTTAGACACACAATGATGATGTTATAAGATGCTGAAAAGCGTATTGCGGTATGTTTATTGAATATAAACTTCTAAGTTTACTAGTGCCAGCCAGAGATGATATCCAGACCATCTCTCTTTCTATTCTAATGTGGCGTCTAAAATTATTTGTACACTTTTCTTGCTGCCTGTCTCTTGTTTTGGAACCATATCTGAACTGTTCTTGGTGGCATGCCCAAATGACGAGCGAGGTGCTCTCTCAGGCCCGTAGAGGGAAAAGCAGTTTTGTCAAAGACCCTTTGTAATGCCTGTGTCTGTGAGACAGTGGCCCTTCTTCGCTTGATCTTGAAAAGATCTGTATTGCGTTGACAGAACTGGTATTGATACAAATCCAGGGCGCAAAGTCTGTGTAAGTCATCTTTCATGATTTTAAATGTATTAAAGTAGTGATGTTCCTGATGAAAGCTTGATTTCTTGTGTTGTTTGGTAGGTTGAGGCAATTGGATAAATGGGATCTTTGCGTTGGACTCTAAATCATCACACAGCAAGTACTTGATTTGCAGTGAGGGTGATTTTTGCTTGATAGACATGGTTGTTGTATTAATAAAATGAACAGATGGGATAATGAGAATATGGAAAAATCAGACTGAATGGCTTGACCCTATTTATATGTATGGTAATCAGAGCATTGACGATAGATGAACAATGCGTGGCATTTTTTTAAGTGAAAATTGCAGCATAGCGCTTATTCAGAAGCCAACTGATACTAGCAGAAAGGTAGCATGATCAAAAAACTATCCAGGGAGAGCGACCTGGATCAAACTCAACATAGGCTAATTGTACACGGATCAGTTTCCCTGATTTGTGGCATGCGCTCTGTATCGATAAATGTCACATTGGAATATGCACTAGTTATGGCAAGAACCTGTGCGTATATTGGTCGTATAGCCTCTTTCTTCTAGAATGTGATGTTGGCTCTTCTCGATATCGATATGAAACATGCTATTTTACCCATCAATTTGGATCATAAATTCGTATGTACAGACTACATTTCAAGTCATGATGGAAATACATTTTACAATCTCCCCCCCCCCTTGACATGGCATTGTTGTATATAAATCAAAATCATCGGTATTACACTTCGGTGTCTCTATAAAGGCATTAGAGCCCAAGCTGCTGGTACACACACACACACACAAGTCAATCAATAATGCCTGCTGTCCTGATCTACATTTGATACACGCATGATTTTCCTTCTCCCACTGACATGCACTGACATCAAAAGCATGTGCATGACATGAGCTCTTATAAAAATTGCAGCACATAAGACAAGGCTTTCGCTATGTATGAATTTCAGAATAGACGAGCAGTGGTCCTCAGTACAAAGCAGTGTTCGCAGTTGAGACAATGTAACGAGAATGTTTAAACTTTTGCTCTCTTGAAGAGATCTCAGTATCCAAACTAAGGTTAGGGAGAGCAAAGCATATGGTTTTAAAAGCATCGATATCGTCGTATTAATATCAATGTATACATCGAATGGTGTTTCATTTGACAACATTATTCTTAGGGTCATTCACCAACAAACACTAAAGAGACTATGTCAAGACATGCAGAAGAAATCTTTCAGGTACATCATGCTGCATGATGTACGACTAATAAAAGGGTTTTGAGACGCCAGGGCCCCTATCATTTCCATGAAATGAATGCACAATGAGCCATATATGTGTAGGTGTGTGTGGTATATAGCATACATTTTAGATATATTCTAGTGGTTGATTTATGCCAATTTTTCTGATGAAGCAACATGTGCATGTTTTCACGAGAGCAAGTATAGTACCGACTTTGGTTGAAGTAGACCTATCCAGCTTTATTAACAATTCCCTGATCTGATGAGGAAATACCGTGATGGACATTCACTTAATAGTTCCATGCAAAGACGGTAGCTTATCGAAAGCCAAAAGCCGAAATGAATGGCAGTGGGGGTACCAGTTTGGTCAACATCGTGTCGTCTTGTGAAGTGATACACCGTATCTTAACAAGAGTCAAGTTGATTCAGGTTTGCACATGTCAATGCTCTTGCTGGTTACACTGAGCTGCTTTGCTGTTTGGTTTGAGGAGCCTGAAAATTCAAATTATTTCATCATGACAAGGCTCATCATCATGAGAATATACACTTTTTCCCTCTGCTGTTCCTCTAGTAGAAAATGACTAGTTTTGGCGAATTAAGACAGAGGTTATTGCATCCATACTATGTGCTTCATCTTATATACGGTGTAGTCTATATCATAAGCCGTATCAATCAGTTGATCAAGGGTCTGGCAATTAGCTTCGAGGCAAGTAGCAAAAAATAGCACATTGCCAGACAATCAGCATCAGAGACTAACAAAAGCTCTTGCAGGACACCGAGCCCAAAACGTTCTTGATCTTATTTGGCATGTCTATATGGAAGTGCTTCATGGCGGCCACTGCTGAGGAGCTCTCTAGCGTGCTCATCTTATACACAAAGTTTTTCACCGTGTGTAGTCTGTTTTGGAGATTCGGTTTTTGGTACTCTTGTTTGTACGCAATTGGTTGGATTGGTAATTTGATTGTGCTTTTTTTACGTGGTGATGCATTCGCTGATGATATTTTTCAGTTCTCTCCACCATCTTCCCTCAGCCTTGGTATAGAGGCCCCACCAAGATTTACGAATTAAACGAAGCTGCATTCAGAGATAAAGTGCTTCACACTGCCAAATCGAAACCATCGTCATCATCATCCACTGCGTCTACATCAACACTGCCAATAGACGAAATTAAGGGACCACGTATCACAGAAATTGATGAGCATGAGGAACCCAAGGAAAAAAAGGAGCAGAAGAAGCTCGACCTTGATGCCAAGTATTGGATTGTCATGCTGTATGCGAATTGGTCTGTTGCGTGCCTGAATTTTGAAGCAGTGCTTGCTAAATTATCAATCCAATATGACGTGCCACACTTGAAATTTGGTAATGTAGAGGATGCTTATGCATCTGCCCCATGTGTACTGACTTTTCTTTTGATCAAGGTCAAATCGATATCGACATTTATCCTGATTTAGCAGAGGAATTTGGTGTCAGCAAAGATCCAGCGTCATTCGATCTGCCCACGTTGTTACTATTCCAGCAAGGAAAAGAGATCAGACGTCTGCCCGAGCTGACAATCACAAAGGAGGGTGCCAACAACACGAAAACAAATGCAGCCAAAGATACTATTACGAGATTGGGTTGGAGTAAACAGCCTGTAAGTGTGTATGGTGTTTTTTTCTGCTTACGATACTCTACAACTCACATCATTTATATCTATATAGTCAACAGTCATTAATACCTTTCAATTGGAGAAGATTGCCAACGAGAAAATCAACTAGTAACGATATTGATATCTAATAAAAAAAAAAAAAAAAAAAAAAAGAGCCTGTGTACATCATTTGGCAAAAGGTTGTCTTAGACATGTAGAGCGGACACTGATTTTCTTGTGTAAACAGCATTATGTAACTGCAATTGACTTTCTGACAAGGTCATGTCAAAAATGATGGTTACTTTAAAAGGTAACCTGAAATGTTTGCTTAGTCAGTCAGCCAGAAAGAAAGCGAAAGAAAAAAGCTGATGGCACTTTTATTTGCACAAGCTTACTTTTGCTGTTGCTTTCTGTTCAACACCCCCCCCCCTTTTTCTTTTCAGGCTGTCCATCTCGTTACGAGTCTAGCATTGTTCCAGTGCGCTCCCGCTTCATATGTGTGAAATGGCCTACTGCAATCACTGTTACACTTTTAATATAACTCGATTCCTTGCTGACTGATCAATCAAGCGGTAAAACGTTTAAATGCTACCATGTTTAAAACAGTTGCTTTAAAACTTTTTTCATTGGCTGCTTATCAACATCTGATACAGAAGAATGGGATTTTGCTTTAATTAAAGTGTGCTCTTTTGAAGATCAGATTAAAAAAAAGAAAAAGAAATGTATAAATACAAGCATAATCTGCCAGATCCCAGTCGACTTTATCTGTACATTTTTATCAATTCAAACTAGCTCAACATGTCAAACACTGCCCTCTTTAGCCCCATGAAATTAGGCAAGCACGAGCTCAAGCATCGCATTGCTCTTGTTCCTCTTACCAGGTAAGTCATTTGCAAAAAAGCTCGTCCTAATGCCATTCATCTCATATTGTCATGACAGATTCCGTGCTGATGAAAATGCCGTGCCCACTGATCTTCAAGCTGAATACTATGAACAACGTGCTACTGATGGTGGTCTCTTGATCACTGAAGCTACCTTCATCACCCACAAGGCTGGTTCATATCCTCGTGCTCCCGGTATCTACACCAAAGAACAAATTGAAGGCTGGAAAAAAGTAACCCAAAGAGTGCATGCTAAGGGTGGTATTATCTTTTTGCAACTCTGGCATATTGGTCGTGCTGCCATGTCTGCCAACATTGGCGAGCAACCTGTTAGTGCCTCTGATATTGCCATCGAGGGTGTCAATCTTCTCGGTCTTCCTCAAGAGAAGCCTAGAGCTCTCTCCATTCCTGATATCAAGGAGATTGTTGGTCAATACCGTCAAGCTGCCTTGAACGCTATCGAAGCTGGTTTTGACGGTGTTGAGATTCACTCTGCTAATGGCTACTTGCTTGATCAATTCCTCAACACATCTTCCAACAAGCGTACTGACATCTACGGTGGCTCTGCTGAGAACCGTTGTCGTTTCCCTCTTGAAGTCGTTGATGCTGTCATTGATGCTGTAGGTGCTGAGCGTACTGGTATTCGTTTCTCTCCTTGGTCTGGCTTCCAAGACATGGCTGATGAAAAGCCCTATGAAACTTGGGGTTTTATCACTCAAGCTCTTCAAGATAGACATCCCGATATGGCTTACCTTGATTTCATTGAACCTCGTGCTGATTTCCAAGCTGATTCATACGATGAGAAGCAAGCGGATACTCTTGATCCCTTCAGAAAGATCTGGAAGGGTCCCTTCATCTCCGCTGGTGGATACACTTACAATACCAAAGCTGCTTTCGATGTCGCTGAAAAGACTGGCAACATCATTGGTTTTGGCCGTCTCTTCATTTCCAACCCTGATTTAGTTGAAAGACTTCGCAACGGCTGGCCCTTGAACAAGTATGATCGTAACACCTTCTACACAAACGATGCTGCTGGTTACATTGATTATCCTTTCTACAAGAAGGATTAGACTACATAGAACTCATTCACCATTACTATCTCTTGTATTTTTCCATTTTATTCCTTCATGATTGCATTTTCAAATAAACCTGTATTTTCTGTTTCTGAAACTTGTACTTCTCTGCCCTTCAATGTACAAGGGTTTCATTGTATTTGGGACCAACATTCATGCAATATTGCGATTGCGGAGGTTGCTGTATTCTTGAGGATAAACTAATGACTATAATAATTGTGCTAAATGACTGATCTGGGCCTGTTTTTCAAATTTGACGTGTTCATAATCTTGTTTTAATAAGCAACTTTTATTTATTGCATCTGCAGTATGATTTCAGAGCAGGTTATATTTACAAGCAATTGTGATGCATTGGTATTTTAGCGATTTTCAGAAGTGGCTACCAAAAGAGACAGTTCACGGGGAGCATCAAATTGTGGCATAACAACTTCCAGGAAGTGGATTTTGTCAGTTTGTTCAGAAACCTTGGCCATAGCATCCTCAAACTCCTTGCGGTTGGTCACCTTGGCTTCGACGCCAATAGGAGAAGGCTTCCTGCCACCTGATTTATTGTGCTCCAAATGGCCACCAAAGAATTCGAGACTCTTTCTGTATTCCCACATCTGATAATTGTTGTATGATCTCTCAGGGCCGTGAATCAGTTTTTCAATAAGGTAGCCATCGTTATTCAACAAGATAATGACAGGTGTTAATCCATGGCGAATCATGACAGACACCTCCTGGCAAGTCAATTGATAAGATCCATCGCCTATGACAACATTAGAGACCCAGTATACTATGACCCTTCATCTCATGCACTTACCAACAAACAAGAAGACTCTTCTTTGACGATCAGCCATAGCAGCGCCCAAAGCAGCACCCACAGAATAACCAATGGATCCCCAGAGGATTTGGCTGATAAACTTGGTGTCCTTGGAACCATCCATGTTAAACACGCCAAATTCAGATGTACCTGTTTCGGAAACAATAATACTACCAGGCTTGATATATTCAGGGACCTTGTTCCAGAGATAGTTGTGCGTGATTTCCTCAGTGCTGTTATCAATGGGAGCAGGCTTGACGCGTTCACCGAAGCTCAATTGAAGAGGAACCTTGGGCAAGCTACCGGTCAAAAGAGGCAAGAGCTCTACCATGCCCACACCTGGATACTCTGCATGATAAATAGTAGTGCCGAAGCTGTGCAACGAGATGGTCTTCTTTTTCTCCAAACCATAAGAGAAGTTACCAGTGTTGAAATCAGACTTGATAGAACCCAGTTCAATCAACAAATCTGCCTCCTCAATCTCCTTGGTGATACCTTCCAATGTCACATTACCAGAATAGCAGCCACGGAAATTATGCAAACTTTCATCAATAGCGCCTTTACCCATGGGAGCCGTGAAGGTGGGGAATCCAGAACGTTCAACAAACGCATTTACCTCCTTCTCTACATGTTGGCGAAGAACACAACCATCTACTACAATAGCAGGCTTCTTGGAGGATTCGATAAGCTTCAGGATTTCTTCCAAAACGATTTCTTGAACCTCTTTGGTATTAGCGGGATGGCTCAAGTCAAGAGGCTTGAATAAAGCATCAGGAACGTCCACCTCCTTCTTCATTAAATCCAAGGGGAAAGCAATGTAACCGGGTCTCTTGCGCAAGTAGGCAGTTTTGATGACATTATCAATCTCTTCAATCGCTCTTTCGGCTGTCAAATGGCACGATGCAACTGTGATCAAAGCAGACATCTTGGTGAACACCTGGAAATCACCATTACCGAGGGAGTGATGTAAGAGGGCCTTGTTTTGCTGAGATGAGGTAACAGGAGTACCAACAATGTGAATGACTGGCAGCATCTCAGAATATGATCCGGCAATACCATTGATAGCAGAAAGCTCGCCAACACCAAAGGTGGTGACTACAGCACCAGCACCACGAATACGGGCGTATCCATCAGCCGCATAAGCAGCGTTCAGTTCATTAGCATTGTTGCCCCATGTGAGATCTTTATCGTCCTCAATAAGGTCGAGGAAAGGCTGAATGCACTACAGTGTCAGCAACAGAGATGAATGAGAAACCTAATGTATAGCATACGTACCATGTTATAATCTCCAGGAACACCAAAGATAGTGTCGATATTGATTTCCTTGAGACGCTTGATCAAGTAACTACCGATTGAGATGGAAGGCATGTTTGTTTATAATGAAATTAGTCAAGAAAAGTGAAAAAAAAGATAAAACACTAGAAACCTGTTTAAATAGAAGAAACTTGCACAGCTATTAGCTTCATTTGGAAGCCTCGTATCTTGACATAACCTTGATGATGTATGAGATGTGCACGTATGCTCGAAAACTCCGTATTATGCTAAATACGTTAAAATGATATCAGTGGCTTCTCTGTATCATTATGCTTCTTGTACAGAGATGCACAGTTTGCTTATCTAGTGTTCTCGTCGATTTGCCAACTTTGGTCTACGTGTTACCTCTTGAGCATTGCATGATTTTATTTACGGGATGATAAATTCTTGCTGCTTGCGCGTATTTGTCAACGGTATCTTGCGTAAAAAAAAAAGTGTATCAATCACGATGACAATGTCATATAGCATGATGGCTCCTAATACGAGCATGCTATCATCGTGGATGGATGCGCATTAGCCTACTGACTAGTTCAAAAACAAAAGTAGAGCGTAAAATACCTCGATAAATTGTACTACCAGAGTAGAACAAATGTATTTGTTTGTTATGTGCTCATCAGTACAGCCATTAAGGTTCACTCGCCATGCGTTTGAAAGTAATGTTACCCCTTACACAGTCTAGATCTGCGGTAGTAGCACTATGCCGGGTCTTTTTTGAGCTCGCTCGGTTAAATATCAGCACTCGCTTCAAGGATAACCATAAGCCAATCAGCTTCATGTAGTGCATTTTGTGATGGTGAGCTTGATTATTTATAACGCATCGCACTTAAAGAGAGGAAGGTCTCAATATCATTACCCTTTTGGATTACCGCAAATGGAACAGAATGCTCTCAACATGTTGGTCGTGGTATTGCTGCTGCGGAAGGAGTTGCTGCATCTGTAAATGCACCAACCAGGCTTGGCTAGATATTTGATATTCAAGGACAGGAATACACCAGCCTTAATCTTCGGCATCTATGGGATCAAGATTTGGATATTTTTTTTTTTTGGTACTTTCTCAATAAAGACAAATTTTTAGAAACAAAAAGATCTCAGGCTTGATCCCAGAAATTTTTGCAAATTTCCCTGTTCCACGTGGCTCCATTAGGGTAAGAGTAGATGCTTCCTCCTTATTACCAAGCAAATAAGATGGTCATGATATGATTATTCATCGAAATACAAAAAGTGTAGGTGCTGCAAATGTGGCACATAGACTTGGCAAGTCGTATTCTCAAAATAATGGCACCATCACAGGCATTAGACGATATGTGCTACATTTAGAATATTGGTAAACATCAATTAATGATGGCGGAATCTTGTCAATAGTTTATTTGAAAATATGTATACAGTAGATCACACAAGTATGTATAATGATGAGGAGGGTATATATGTGGGATACAGGTTATGGAGTTGGCTATGTACAGATTGAAGTATTTGTAAAAAAAAAAAAAAAAAAAAAGAGGTATACATGGAGACAGCAGCAAGCTTATTTCTTGTTGACGTTGAGGGCCTCATCGACTTTTGTATGGCGTACACAGGGGCAGTCGTCTTCATGAGAGAATATTGTTGTATCTACACCACAGTTTGGACAGAATGTATATTCATTTGTATTGATTGTTGAGTTGATTGAATTGTAGAATCGCATGATTGTAGCAGGTATTGACTTGATGGATGATAGGTGTAAGGGAAAAGCCAAATTGTGGTGCTCCTTTTATACAAATTATTCAATTGAGGCTCAGTTGAAGAGAGCTTAATTTGCTGAACGGGTCCTGCCAAGCAAAATGCCTCCTGCTCCATAAATTGGGTAGAATCAATCCTCCGAAATCCTTATGCACGGCGAAATATGCCCCCGTCCAATGCTTTAAACTTGCCTGATGTTTAACAAACATTTGAAACTTGTGAATTTTCTACAACACTCAAAGAACCCTAAGCCGAGCGGCGCTACACACCATCCATCTCCTTTATTGCAGTATTCATGCGACTTGATTTCGAAAACAAACGATTGCTGTAGAAGGTTTCTCCGCTTCTTAATAGGCTTAATTTGGGGCCGGATCACATAAATAAAGAGTATGCTTGTTGGGAAATACCCACCTGATTCGTAACACCTCAGCTTTTTAAATTTGATAAGCTTCAACCTTGGCCAAAAAGCTTAGTTTCTTATACAGTCTTGTCAATATGTTCACATGAGTCAATATGTCACCATTTTCCATGTTGCTGTTTTGCGTATTTTTCCTGGTGGCCGGTTCCTAACCTCAGTAGCTCATTGTCGCATGAAATCAGGATTTAAGCAAGTATCCATGATCATCGCTTATGTTTCATTTTTTTTTTTTTTACAATGCTGGTGTTTCAATTGATTCAGTGGATACCCAGTCTTTGCTATTGGCTCCCGTCAGCATGGAAAGTATGCAGACCATGACATGTTGAGCAAAAGAATTCTACAAACTTCTATCGTAATGCTTGTAATTTTCATCGAAACTATGCATAGCTAGATAGCATGGGTTGAATGCAGACATAGTCTCAGCTGTAAACTACATGCCAATGAATCATGTTGTAAACCACGCTGGAGATGTGTAACTGCGGCAATAGATCCTAGTATGACAAGCTCAGCAAATCAGAAATCACTAAGCAGACATTCCATTCATCCATTGTAAGCGACCTACTCATTGGCCAGTGTCAAGTTTTGGAGTTTTATGGATAAATATATCCTTGCATTGCAACATTAGGAATACGTCAAAAGCTAAAAGGAATCTCCACGTTTTTTTTTGACTCATCGCTATCATATGTCAAAATCAAATTACTTTTGTGTTGCCATGCTCAGTAACCAAAGGTCTTATCGGTCACCATACGGGTACATTGCAGTTTGAAACGAAAGAAAATACCATTGTTTCCTCCTAGTGTCTTAGCTTTCCATATATTGAAAAATCTCAGTCGTGCCATAATGTGTTCCTGATTCCACTAATGCTTACTGCAATTTTACTTTTTAGCCTTATAATATAGCGTGGAAAGCTTTTTTGTATGATTTACAACGGTGGATCTGAATGTTTGGCAATGCCTTGCGTCTGTATTAATGAGAACAATACATATTCGGGGCTACAGCATGTTTGAATTACATCGTACTACACAAAACACAGCGAAATTCTATGCATTTAAGCGGTATTTTCTCGGGTTAGAAGCCGTTTTAGACCGCCGGGACAGTACTACACAATTGCTCTCAACTAGCACTTCCTTTCTGATACTTTTGCTCAATTTTTTTGGCATCACCAGAAATCGACTAAAACGGATAAGGGATACCTCATAGTTTTCTTCGAAAATCAAACGATCACGTTTTTGACAGCAAAAATGAAGACTTTTACTAAGGCATATGTCAAATCAAAATGTTTCTCTCGGTCCAAAGCAACCCCTGAAATCACTTTTGTGGAATCTTCATATGTAACATCTCGACATTTTCGCCAAAAACACCATTTCATATTTTTAAAAATTGCTCAGTAAGTTTGTTCAAAACATCCACTTTTCCATGCACCATTGGATGCGCCTCAAAAAGTACTTTAAGGAAGCTTAAGGAAGTTTAAGATGTTCATCACATTTCATACAGTCGAATCTTTCAAAATAGTTTTTTTTTTGTTAAATTTTGTTTATTGATTGAGCCGCGTACACTAGGAGTAATGGGTCGAAGTGAAGAGGCGGGTGCAATTGAAAAGAAAATAATAAAAAGAAGGTAAAATATTAACTAAACTAACCTAAACAGAACTATCGAAACTATCTAAACTACAAAAGGGAGTGGATTTGATCCTCATCCACTGTCTGGCGAACAGTGGAGCGGATATTCACCAGAATTGCCTCAGGGACAAGGATGATGTTGTCAAAAACAAAGCGCATATGGGCTAGCCATATTTGAGACAGGGTAATGAGTAGGGCTCTGTATGGATGGATGCCTTTGACTTGGGAGTACCAAATATCCGAAAAGTCCAGGGACAGAAGAGCCTCTTTGATGTCCGTGATGGACGTGGTGGGCCATAGGAATTCAAAAATGACGCCTTGCCATACCTTTTCTTTGGATGGACAGTCAAAGAGCAGGTGGCTGGCAGTTTCATTGGGAGACAAGCAGACAGGACAATTGTGAGACTCGAAGACTCCAGGCATCATGTAGTGTAATTTGCTTCGAGAAGGGATACAGCCTGTGATGAGCCAGTATATCACATTACGCTGAATGTAGGTAAGAGACAGAAACCAAAAGAATTTCCAATGAGAAGCAGAGATATTCTGCAAGACCAAGGGTTGTTCCATCGACGACAGCACAGACAGACGAAATGGTTTGGCCGAAGCCTGAGCATTTCCAAGAGATTGGCCATCGTGCAGACTAAATTGATTCACCAGCGGCGCAAAAGAGACTCCAGGATCTACAAGAGGGGCTGGGCTACACACTGGGAGGAAGTAGGGCTGGAATTTAAGAGTGCCAGATGCGAGGCCTCTAAACACTGTTGAGGGAGCTCGCTTCCAACTGAGGAGGGAAGGGTCACGAGTGTCTTTCCAATGTACAAAGTTAAGTCGGGCATCGTACTGAAATACATCAGAAACCATCATCTCTTTGACTTTAAGAGGAACATAGAAAGCCGCCTGTAATGAAAGAGCCATGGCAGTTGCAGTATTGATCGGGGTCGCATCAAACGACTTGGGAAGATAGTCAACTGTACGATATAACATATCGACAGTTCTCGTGCGTTGCTTTTTCAACCCCTTAGTACGACGAGCAGAGGGAAATAGCAGCGGGATTTGATGGTGGGGATAACCATTAACATTGCGGATGTGGTAGCTTAAGAGGTACGACACAGGATGGGAATCAATGACATCTTGATCTTGAACCAGTATTGGGTGGAGCCAACGAAAATACAAAGCCGAAGCTTGTATTTGGATGTCTACAACACCGAGACCACCTTTTTCCTTTGGTAGAGTCCACACCTTCCAAGGGATGACGGGGAAGATGTTTCTTCTCAAGAACTGAATAGCCAGAGAGCGCAGCTGCTTGAAATCAGCTTGAGTCAAAGGCATAACACGCAGGATGTACCATAGCTTGGACAGCAAAAGAGAGTTCAGTACTGTAGCCTTTCCAACGACCGATAAGGAGCGACCAGAATGAATCTGGATGGCAGTTTTGATCTTGGTTACCAAAGCACCCATAAAATGAACACGTTGTATCCTACTTTGGACGAGGGGAAATCCCAGATAGGTTAACGGTTCATCGTCCTCAACAGAATGGAGATGTGTGATGCCCATTTGAGATAATGGACCCTCCCACATATCCCACGTATTCCGACCAGACACGGAAAAGGCTTCCACGTTGGCATTATTAAACTTGGCGTTGGAGGCAGCACAGTAACGAGCCATATGGAGCTGTAACCGGGTCAAATCATTGGAGTCATGGATAAACACCAAAGCGTCATCAGCATAGCACAGGAGCTTTGTTCGTTCAATACCCATCAAGTAGCCTTGAATTTGACGATCATGCAGGATTGCAAGCAGAAAAGGTTCAAATGCCAAGTTGTACAGTACAGGAGAGAGAGGATCCCCCTGCTTTAAGCCACGAAGTTTCGCCACTTCAGTTGACAAATGACCATTGACGTTGATACGTATGAAGTTGTCACCCATCCACTTGGAGATACACTTGATAATAGGGCGAGGAAACCCGAATTTCCCCAATACCTTCGTCAAATATTCCAAGTTCGCCCGATCGTATGCCTTTTCTTGGTCCAGAAGAAGACCGATGTCATAATCCAAGGTGCTAAAGGTAGTATCATTTTCCTGTTGTTCAGCAATAGACCATTTACGTTGTGCATCTTCCATAAGCAGCTGGCAGATCATGCCATTTTTGGTAATGAATCGACCAGGAATAAATCCAAGCTGATGTCGGCTGGTCAAGTTGGAAGACACCTCCATGATTCGACGGTTGACATTGCGAGTGAAGAGCTTGTAATCCGAATTAGCCAGAGACAGAGGACGGTAGTTCTTCATTTCAGCTGGATCGCCTTTTCTGTAAAGCAGACACATAACGGATTCGTTCCAAGATGGCGGAAACTTACCCTTCTTTAAAGCTTCATTGTAGACTAATTGGATGAGATCATGGAACGGTGGAAATTTCATTACCAAGTACAGGATTTCATAAGGTAATCCATCAGGTCCAGGACTACTCAAACGACGAGTCTGCTTGCTATCGGTCAAGAGCTCCTCCACATCAATCGGCATCATCAAAGCTTCCTGCTGCTCGCTGTTGAGCTTCAAATGACCTGGGATGTTGCGAATCATAACACTGAAGGCTGTTGAATCCAGAGCCTCCGGTGTGAAAAGCGAGGTGTAAAAGTAGGTAGCAATGTTGGAGATGCTAGGTTGATCTTGACATAGATCGCCAGTCGTAGGGTTCCTGAGTTCCACAATTGAATGACGATTCTTTCGAGACACCACAGAGCGCTTCAGGAAGCCTGGAGATTTCTCATCATGTTCCCGCCAAAATTTACCTGCCTTCAAGATCTCTATTTCTGCAAGAGAGTGCTGGAGAGATTGCATCTGTTGATTAGCCATGTCCAAGCCTTGAAAAACCAAGCCTCTTGTCTTCTTATGCCGCATCATCTTGTTTCTCTTTGATAGCAGTCGGTGTAGCTGTTGTTTCCGCCAGTTCAAGTCCTCCATTTGATATTGTTTGATAAACATCTTTACTCCAGCTTTGATCCAATCTCATTGTTGTTGTGGAGTGGAGAAACGCTGGATCTTTGCCAGACGTGCCTCACTATCAATGAGGAATTCTGCCAATGCCTTCCTAAATGCCTTGGTGCGAGCCAAGAACGGATTTGCCTTCCAGTTACCAGGACCACGGCCATTCGCATCTTGAAATCGAAAAGAGAATCCCAAGAGTTCATGGTCGGTCCAGGCAGGAGATAGATACTGCTGGTTGGTGCTAGTGACTAAATGATGAGCGTTTGAACTACAAAAGATGTAATCCAGAATCCCTGCATTGCTTCCACTATGCCAAGTGTTATGTTTATCATTCCCAAAAAACGTCAATAAAATAGTCATCGAGTAGATCGGTCCATTCCACTGGTGCACTGGTGAGGGTGGCTATTTTCACTGTATTTTGCTGATTAATCATATTAATGTTGGGGAGGTGAAAAAGGGCCTGTCAAGCCGAGTTGGTGTCCAGTCTCTACTTCATTAGATGTAGCTTGTTGTTTGGCAGAGCTAACATCATCCGCGCCATTAAATTTACCGATCTTCTTCGCAGGGCGTTCAGGGCGCTCCTCTCGTTCATTAGCAGAATGGGTAGAAAATTTGTACATGGCAATATCATTGGAAGCTCCTTTTCCATCGACTTCTTTAACTTGGAGTTCTAGAGGATCAACCATTTGAACATCTCTATCAACTACCTGCTTTCTAGCACCTGTTTGACTATCAGCGTCACCTTGAGAGCTACCTTGCTGGGTAGCAGCAGTTCGATTATCGGGACCACCTTGGGGTCCACCAGATGCACCATCTTGGCCTTTTCTTTGGGCACCACCTTTGTTTCCAACTGGAGTACCACCAGGAGTTACTTTGGAGCCACCTTGAGTACCCTTTTTACCCTCTTTGGCCACCTGAGAGCCCTTTCGGGGTTTGACAGGAGTGTTTTCCACCGCACGGACCTTGTTTGGGCTGTCATTGCGACTGCAGTTCTTCACCACATGTCCAGTTTCATTGCAATGGTGGCAGCGAACCCACTTCTTGTAGTCAGGACAATCAGCCCGACAGTGTTTAGAGCTCTGACAATTACGACAGAAAGCCGGTATTTGATCCCATTGGAGTAAATCTTTTCGTTGATCCGAAGCTGTCAAATCCCAGACAATGACACGGCTGAGTTTCTCCAAATGGCGATGACCAGGGCAAGATTTACCATCGGGATGTAACTCTTAACATTCATAGCCAGGGCTGGAAGGAACCGTTAGATTAAGAGTAGCATAACCTTCTCCTTGGTAGATCCCATCAGTTCTCGAGATGCCGTGATCCAAGACATCCCCGAACGCAGAAAGACGGGCAGCCATTTCCTCCTTCAACTGAAAGGCAGGCAAGAAAGGGAGATTCTCCAGAGTCAGTTTCACAATCGCAGCATCAGCATGGTACGAGGCAAATTCTTTCACAAAGGTGCCATCCTCTAGAGTGATACCTTCTTCAATGAGAATCTTACGACCTTCGCTGTTGGGCAGCCAATGGTTTCCAAGAAGGCATGGTTGAGGTAGTGTCGAGGTTGTTTCCTGTACCCAAGGAATTCTTCATACATGTCTTCAGCATTGGAGGATTCGTTGAATTGAAGAAGAGCCTTTTTCAAGAGATTGAAATCCTTGATAGGCGTCAGATCGATGAAGGCGGAATCCTGTTCCACGCCTTTGAGGAATGGACGGATGACCGCCTGAGGCGGTGGCGAAGCATCCCCATTGATGGCCTGTTGCGAGGCTTCTGCTTCAGTAACAGGTCGTTTTACGATGGTGAGGTTGAAAGAGACGATGGATTGTTGTTGTCTGTTGTTGCCTTTGCGGCGTGAGTTAACCACATGAGTCCACAACAGTGGAGCCGCAGTGTCAGCTTGCGAGGAACGTTGATGTATTTGACTAGTGTCTGACATGCGAAAAACAAAACATAAAATAAATTGTCAAAATAGATCGAGGAAGTCGAAAAAGTGATCAAAACTTTAATAAGTGTCAGAGGTCCAAAGACATGACAAAGTGATCAAAATTCCCATTTCGAGTGATAAAATGTATACCGGACATTGAGTTTATTTTAGCTGGAAAAAGCAATACCATGCCCCACCAGCCATAATCAATTTAAACTCAGTTATTGTTTTTTATGTTCAAGATTGGACAGATTTTGTCTTTCTTCGACTTCATTAAGCTATTTTGCGAGATTCGACTATATAAGTTGTGAAGATTTTCCTAAGCTTCCTAATACATTCTTGTAGTACTTTTCATGGCGCTTCCAGTGGTGTTAATTGTAATAGGTGTTTCAAATGAAACTATCGAGCAATTTAGTAGAATATGAAAAGCGGTTTCTGGACAAAAAGTCGAGGTTTTGTATATGAAGGTTCCACAAAGATGGTTTCAAAGGCTACGTTGGATTGATAGACACATTTTGATTCAAGATATACCATAGTAAAAGTCTTCGTTATCAAGGTAAAAAACGCAATCGTTTGATTTTCAATGAAAACCATGAGGGGTACCTCATGCTTTTTGGTCGATTTTCGGTCATGTTTTTTTTGATCCTCAAAAAGTTGAGCAAAGGTATCAGGAAGTTACTGCTACTCGAGTACAATTGTCTGGTGCTATTCTGACCATCTAAAATGGCCTTGAACGCGAGAAAACACAATTCAAATGTACCCAGTTTTTGCTGCATTAAGCACACTCTTGAATAGAAAGGGGGTAATACCAGTATGCTGCTTGTCCGTATGTGAAGCAGCTACGTGTATATGGATGCAGAGCATCACATAAAAATCAGATCCACAAATAATATGAGGGGTTTTCATGTGAAAGTGAAGGGTCAAAATGAAAGTGACAGTATTTTAATGATACGCAATAGCAATCGGTAGCGCGAGCTGACGCTGCGCAGGTTGGTTCTCACCGAAGCGAAGCGAAGGTAGAGAGCAATTCGAAGCATAAACACTCGTATTATATAACAGAAAATTGCGCCCAAAGCTTGACTATAATTATGCTACTATAAGCTACGCGGGGCAAGTAATAGAAACATTCATCTGAAATCTGATGAAGTGGCCTTTCACTGAATATATGGATCCTGTTTTAATATTTTTTGTTATCTTTATTTTAATCATTTTAATTATCCGTATCCATTGGGTCTGCTGCTTCGAATAATACAGCAGCAGCGGGTTCAGAGGGCTCAGAATCATTGTTGGAACCTGAAGTGGTATTGGCAGCAGCGCCGCCAGGGCCAGCGGCTCTAGTTCTGCCTGTATCTTCACCAAGTAAATCCAGATATCTTTGCAGTGCTTCGCCTTCAACGATTTCGAATGGATGGCCGTCTCCTACAATGCCGAGAGATGTGTTGTCGATATTGAGATCTTTGTCTTGTTGCAATGTGTCACGAAGTGCTTGAAGACCATGACGAACAAGCTCCTCCAAGGATGCTATTTCGAGTATCGTCAGTACTCACGCTACTCAATCCTGAATTAGCATAAATCATACCATTAGTGAAATCTTCGCGGTATCTTTCGAGGTAAGTCTTGGCTGATTGAGATCTAGCACCGATAGACATGGCATAATATTCGAAGCTAGTACCAGAAGGAGAACATTCAAAAAGATGAGGTCCAGTTTCCTAATTCCACTTGATTAGTCCATGTATCCTTCAACCCTCTTCCGCTGTCTACTATATTTACATCATAACCAATGACAAGAAGACCAACACCGTAAGGTCTACGTCCATATTGTTGAGTATTTACCTGTGCCTCTACAAAGTATTTGATCAAACAAGTGTCAGTTGCCTATGTTTCTAAATAAAGCTGATCATCTTACTGTCGGCAATGGCGTTCACGATTCTTTGTGTGGGCAAAGGTCTATCATACAACATCTTTGATCTCATGGCTTCGGAACGCATGAAATTACTATCGACAGGAGTTTATATGAGCTATCGTCTACATAAGCAAGCATTGCTCTTACCTCAAGACACGGGCATCAGAGGTCAAGCCTGCAATACCAATACCCATATGGTCATCAATCTTGATCAGTTTCTTTTGGTAAGAAGCCAACTCGCCGGATGAACGCTGGCAAATGGTTGTCTGGTTAATTTGCTTCTATTTGATGATTCCAGTCAATGCTGAATTACCTTGAGTGCAAGCAAAATGGCAAATTTATCACTTCTCAAACCAATAGCAGCAGAACCTTGCTTTACTGCTTCCACAGCATATTCAACTTGATGAATACGACCTTGGGGAGACCAAGTCGAGACATCGTTATCGTATTGATTTCTAAACTATAGGGCAAGGCTTAGTATTCTACAGCTCAAATGGCTCCCTGTTTTGCAGCTCACCATAGTTTATAGTGTCGAGTTGTATGAAAAAATAGTTGTCCTGCACTTCGCGTTTGTACATTACGAATATAAATGTACTTGGATAGTGACTCTTTAAGCTCTTCTGAACGCGCGGCCGTCGAAGCAAGTTGTTTAGATGTCCTGATGACGTACATTTCGGTTTCCTAATGGAAATGTGCCTGTATTGCTCGATTCTATTGAGTATATGGATCATGGAGCTTCTAGTATTGGCTGCTTGGTATGATTGTACAGCATAAGGTATAATAACGCTCTTTTTTTTTTTGGAGCAATTTTGCGTTTTGAATGCATATCTTTACCAAAAGTTTGTATAGTCATACATTTTCTGGTCACCGAGATGCAATAGCAGCGCTTTCACTTATTGAATAAGCTGAATACTACTATAAAAATCAAATTCTGATACCAAGCAGGCATATGTTTATGATGAACCGTTTTCACACTTACTTTGCTTTTGGGTACTGCTCTATTACTATATAAATTTGTAGATTAAAGTTCAATGTAAGGCAGCAGCCATCTTCATCGTCCATTGGGATGAGATCTACCAATCAAATGATATCGCCATGGCCAAATGTTCAGCACAGATATATGGATACACTAAAGTGTCATCAGTAAAATCACTTTGTTTCAATTAGCAAGCAAAAATGAAGCGTATGTGGCTCTAAATGCCCATTATTTCAGGAGTCATGAGCTATCCAAGCACCTCCTTAAACCACACCCCAATACGATGAGACCATTGTTCAATTGAGGTGGTTTAATTTAAATGTTTTATGAGCTTGTGGAACAAAGATGCTTAATGAAATATCACATCTCGAGTTCCAGACTCGCATACTGTTTCGCCTTGTCTGAAGGCAAGGTACTCTGAAAGATTTCGTAGCTGTGCATATACCTGGTGTATAACAATGCCAACAGTAAGCTTTTTGGTCTGGCAAAATGTCATCATTGAAACAATAAAAAATTAATAGATCAAGGAGGTTGATGATTAGATTATAGTGCCTTTCTAATGTATAAAAAAAGAAAAAATATCCCAAATCTAGTATTTGTGTATCTTCTTGATTTCCTCCTCCTCTTTCTCTCTTGTGTTCTCGCACATTTTGAGTAGTGCATGAGGTTTTATTACTATAAAATATGTATCTAATAGCGATGAGTATATTGCTGTTGTTGTTGTGGCTGTTGAGGATAGTCTGGCATTTTGTGAAATCCGTTGATATCCACTGGCACCGTCTCTGAGAAACCGCCACCAGAGGCATTTTGCACCATCATCATATGTCCTTGGTTCTCGGCTGCCAATCTTTTGCGCATACCTTTAATACTACGAACAATGTACCATATTAAAATAGCCAAGAAGAACAATACGAGCACGATAATGAAGACGTATCTATCATTCTTTTTGAGCCAACTTTCTTCTGGTGCATTAGAGCTGTTGAGTTGATCATTGAATCCATTTGTTGCAACATTGGGTCCTTGCTGTGCTAATACAACAGACAAAAGTGGCATGAAAAGAATCAAATGTGTATAGTTGGCCATCGCTGCGGGATGTGTTGATGTTGTCGTAACAAATTGTGGAAGGAGTGGAGAGTATGTGTGTGTATGCGAGAGGGCTGAAATGAGCGATGAACCTCTTGGAGATGATAAGAGAAGGGGAAAGAAAAGAACGATAAAGGAAAGAGAGAGGCTGGCAGCAGCAAATTGTCAATATAACACAATACAGCACACGATACACAGTTACCCAATTTATCGCCCCTGTAAAAATAGCAGCGTTTTTTATACCATGATCCAACTGATTGGCCTGATATAATTAGTTGTTAATGAGCTCAGAAATAGGTTCTTTTATTGATTATGCATGGCTTCATGTACTTCTTTGATACAAGGAACAGATGCCATTGATCCTTCGCGTTGAACTGCAATGGACGACGCAAAATTAGCCTCCTGCAATGCCACCTCGACTCTGTGGAAATACTCTTCTTTCTCGGCTCGGATGAAAGCAGCCAAAAAGTAGCCCTGCGTCTGATGTTAATCACTGATTTGCGAGTTGAGCAGTGTTCAAACACTTACGACAAATGTATCTCCTGCACCAGTAGTATCCTTTACATTAACCTTTCTGCTAGGCACCTTAAAATCTTGAGTCTGATCTCCTTGTCTGAATTTAGCTACCACACCAGCACCGCCCAATGTGATTACAATGCCTTGCATTTTGTCAAAGTTGTGCAAGAGCTCAGTTGCCAAATCCAAACCAACAACATCATTCTTATTGCCACCAAGCTCCTCGTATAAGGCTTGTGCCTCGTGCTCATTGACGACGAGAATTGTAACCTTGTCAAAGGGAAATTCTTGGAGAATACCCTTTGTCAAAGGTGCTGGATTAAAAAACACATTGAGCCCCTTTTCAGCAGCCAACTTCATAATGTCGCCACCATGGCTGATTTCATTTTGTTGTACGATCCAGTCGCCAGGGCCAAACGACTCGAGCACAGTAGCAGCCTCTTCCACAGTGTAAGTGCCATTGGTGCCAGGATAGAGCACGATACAATTGTCACCCGTCTCTTTACTGACTTGGATGAATGCACGCCCATTTCTCTGTTGTGAAAATGTCAAAACCACTCATCAGCAGGCCCGTAGTAATGCGTACCTCATTTTCTTTGACCCTTGAATAGGTCATGTCAACTCCATTTTCGCTCATAAAATCCTTAATCTAGCCGGTGTATTAGCGCTAATTCTACCATCACGTAGCGTTTATATTACCCAAACAGCGTCGTATCCAAAGTTGCCAGAGTGGTAAACACGTCCACCTGCCTGGGAGAAACACAAGACACTTTAGTTGATATTTCTCACTCAAATATCAGTATTCAGCTCACCTTTGCAAACGCAATTGACTGATTTGCACCTAAATACACTGTTAGAGCCCGAGTACTCTTCCCTTGATAGTCTCAATATGTAGAGAAACTCGTACCTTTTCCACCAGCGCGAACAACATAATCTGTGGACGACAAAGTTTCGCCTGACAAGCAAATGTGGGGTACAATGAAGGATTCGTCAACGTTGATGGAGCCGTAATTTAGAATCTTGCTCATTTCGTGTATAAGTTCTAGTATTCGTTAAAAGATAAAAGGTAGTAAAAGAAGAAATGAGAAGAGTCATAAAGTTTTTAGCGTATTTATCATGCAAAAAAAATCCCAAATCACCTTCACTGCTAAACATTGAAGCCCGGGATTTCAGCGGCAGAAGTTTCTTGAAACAAACAAATGCACTGAAAAGCGTGGGACACTGGAAAAGTGGAGTAGCAATGTTGCTTTCCAGCCTGAAAACTCTCTGTATGATCTTGATGTATGTACAGTCTCAGGAACATTTATGTATATAGACTACCATTTCACTTGCAATTTATTGTGATAATTGTGTAAAAAAATATTGAGAACAGTGTATACAATTAGGCTCGGAAGGGGGGTAAATTGGAGGGGGTTTGGGGGGCAAAAGGATATGAAGTAGGTGGAAGTGATTTACATGATGAATAAGAATCTAACATTTAATCGACAACGTTGACCTTTACAGTTTCGATAGCAGTGATTTGGCCACGACGAAGTTGAACAAGTTCCTTAAAGTCAACAGCGTAAGATCCAGGCTTGGTGCTCTTGGGGATCTTCCACTTTTTGGTATAGGTGACATATTTATTCTCCTTTGCTGAAACAGGACAGCCATGGGAAATGATGGCCACTTGCTGTTCCTTCTTGTTTCCGGTTCTCTTGTGGAAGTTGATGTTTAGTTTGAGAGCCTTACCAGCAGAGACGTTGTTCTTAATAAGAGGTTGCATAACGTATTTGACAGTCAAGTATTCACCAGCACGGAGATCTTGCCCACTCTTTGGCGATGAAATCTTTATGAATTGAAGTTGAGAAAACACACTTGCGTATGTGGTCTGGATGAAAACCAAGCATAGGGCAGCAAGTAAGAACAGTGCCTTGACCATTTTGTTTTGTTTAATAGAAAAGAAGAAAAGCCAAAAGACCGAATCTCTTGCGAGATTGATTTTATATAAATCGCCATCTACACGGCTACACAAGTCAAATTAGCTGATGTTAAAGAGCTCGCTTTCTGCTTTCCATATCTTCTTTTCAGTAGATTGGACATGGTTACACTACACTCAAAAAGAAGTGAAAAATTTACTATCAATTTATATTTCGAGTGTATAAACCGAGCTAAAAAACCTTCAAGTCCGCGTATGATATCCAACCTGGTTCTACATTGCACCACAGAGCTCGAGTTTCTCGTCCTCTGCGAAAGATATCTGGTCAATGCTGTTAAACAGCCAAGAGATCATAGATGTTTTTTTTTCGGCTGTCTTCATCTTCTACTTTTAGCTTGGAGCCATAACATATTCACATTGCAATCTCAACATTGTAGCCATCTAGTCAGCAGATATGCATTTAGATGCCTTCTATTCTTTTGTCTTTTTGGCGAAATCCGGTTTTTTGTTTCTCCAGACCTTAATTTTACAGAATTTATTTTCAAAGTATAAATAAAACAGAAATCATAAAAAGCAGTAAACATGTGTTTCTTGATTATTTGGGTGTGATACCAGCTTCCTAATTGCAACATGAGATGCTGCTATTTAAAGATTTGTTAGACAAAGAGTAATAATAAAAAGATTGATTGCAACTAAACAGACCAGTCCTTTATTATTTGAATCATAACGTGCCGTGTAGGCTCTTTTTGGCTATGCGACACCAAAGCTTATTGTAGTGTCATTTTGTAAAATGAAAGTGTATTTATATCATTCTACAACAATGAAGATCTATTTTCACTTTTCAGGGACAAATTTGCAGACGAGATCAAATCCAAACAGCATTTAATTACAACTGTAATTCTGTAAATGTTTCTCAACATTCCTAATATATGCCCTAACGCTAAATTTCTTTAATTTCATCTATGAGATCAACTACAAATCCAATGGATACGATACAAAGATCAAAATCTATTGTTCTTTCTAGAATCCAATCGTTTGTACACTGATTGAAGAGATGATTATGGTGGTACAAGTGTGCTTATGCTTCGAATTGCTCTCTACCTTCGCTTCACTTCGGTGAGAACCAACCTGCACAGCGTCAGCTCGCGCTACCGATTGCCATTGCGTATCATTAAAATACTGTCACTTTCATTTTGACCCTTCACTTTCACATGAAAACCCCTCATATTATTTGTGGATCTGATTTTTATGTGATGCTCTGCATCCATATACACGTAGCTGCTTCACATACGGACAAGCAGCATACTGGTATTACCCCCTTTCTATTCAAGAATGTGCTTAATGCAGCAAAAACTGGGTACATTTGAATTGTGTTTTCTCGCGTTCAAGGCCATTTTAGATGGTCAGAATAGCACCAGACAATTGCACTCGAGTAGCAGTAACTTCCTGATACCTTTGCTCAACTTTTTGGGGATCAAAAAAAAACATGACCGAAAATCGACCAAAAAGCATGAGGTACCCCTCATGGTTTTCATTGAAAATCAAACGATCGCGTTTTTTACCTTGATAACGAAGACTTTTACTATGGTATATCTTGAATCAAAATGTGTCTATCAATCCAACATAGCCTCTGAAACCATCTTTGTGGAACCTTCATATACAAAACCTCGACTTTTTGTCCAGAAACCGTTTTTCATATTCTACTAAATTGCTCGATAGTTTTATATAAAACACCTATTACAATTAACACCACTGGAAGCGCCATGAAAAGTACTACAAGAATGTATTAGGAAGCTTAGGAAAATCTTCACAGCTTATATAGTCGAATCGCGCAAAATAGCTTAATGAAGTCGAAGAAAGACAAAATCTGTCCAATCTTGAACATAAAAAACAATAACTGAGTTTAAATTAATTATGGCAGGCTTCGCTGCTTTCCGATCTAAATGCCTTTCTAACGATTGGGATGCTGACCAAATGGATTTGAAAAACAAAGGCACGAATCGAACTAACGGCCATTCCTTTGGTAAAAGGACCCATTGAAGACTAACCTAGAGAATCTATTTCGAATGAATTTGAAAGAAAAATTGCTTAGCCCGAATACCCCCTTTTTTTTTTGCTTTTGTTGAGAGCTTTTCCCTACAAAGGCATCTTTTGCAATGACAATCTCTCAAAAAAAAAAGCCGCGGTAGACCTTACACAAGTCCTGTATTTCCGCATGGCCAACTTTATATCACCAGCTCAAGAGCAACATCAACGAATGAATACCTCCCCTCCGACTCTGATGTTATAGCTTTTCTTTCACAATTAAGTGATTGTTTAAAGCCTACTTGATATCTTTGATTTGAAATGTCTTCAGCGACAGCCCGCAGGGCGGCGCCGTTATCGAACGTAACGAGATCGATGGGCTAGTTGCCTTATATAAAAGATCAAATACATTGCTAGATTTAGTTGCCATGTCAGGATTGAAAAAGGAGAAAGGTGTGGCGAGTGAGGAGGCTATTTTGCTGGTACATTAGCCACCCCGTGAGTTTGGATACAAGTTTAATATGAGAGTGCCGTCCAAATACTAGCAAAAGCTATTGTCTATTTCATTCAATGTTAATCATACTTTCGCTTTGTGAGTAGCACCCTTAAGACGGCTCTTATCTACTTGATCTTTGTATTCGTTACCATTGAGATACAAATGGTAAATGAAACCTCCTATTAAAACAACCCACTCTTTTGCCGTCATTCTGACAGATTTGAACTTGAGCCGTAACCTTACATTCGCAGTAATATGCTAAATGAAGATGGATATGTCTGTTTACATAGACTTAGTATCGAGATTTCTCGCCATTAAACGACATTCCAAGAAAAGAAAGGTCTTTTTTTTTTTTCAACAAAAATACTTCGCGAATTGAGCACTGTACATCAACCTTCGGCAACATCAGCATTGGAACCACTCTGTCTGTCTCTCTCTCCCTGCCCGTATCTCAGAATAAGCGGACTTGACTGGTCAGGCCCACGCGTTTAAATAATTTCATCATAGACATCTAATAATTACATTATTTCTTCCTGCTAAACATACATCATGGCTAGTGTTGTCGAGATTATCTTTCTAGGAACTGGCACATCCAGTTCAGTGCCCACTATAGCTTGCCTTACGAATCCAGACAAATCTTGCCCAGTTTGCCTATCATCTCAAACACCCGAAGGACGCAAGAACAGTAGACGAAATACATCCATGATTGTACGCTTTCGAAAGCATGATGATCCCCGAGAGTTTAGATTAAGGTAATACAGCTATTCATGACGTCTGTGTGTATGTGTATATATATGTGGTGCTTACTTTAGTTTTATAGAAATGTGCTTATCGATTGTGGCAAGACATTTTACAGTAGAGTATCAGTGCGATTTTCAGGGCCGAAGGTTGGTATTGACGCTTTTTCTATTTAGCCAGCGCTATAGAGATCCTTCCAAAATACGGAATCCGCGAGTTGGATGGTGTGATTATTACACATGGACATGCTGATGCTTGCTATGGTATGGATGATTTACGGGGATGGACGCTGGGTGGTACTATTCAGCCCCACATTGATGTCCATCTCTCACCTGAAGCAATGGAGGTCATTGGTAGAACATTTCCCTTTTTAGTAGATGCCTCTATGGCAACAGGTAGGCTGTCAGGAGATAGTGTGGTGTTATATCAATACTGATCAAACTATAGGTGGTGGAGAAGTGGCAGATTTCAAATACCATGTGTTTGATCCAAGCAAGTCCTTCACAATTGAAGGTCTTGAATTCACACCTCTTGCTGCTCATCATGGCATTTACTTGACGACAAAGGAACCTTACATTTGCTATGGATTCAGATTCGGTGGCGTCAGCTATATATCAGACACCAATTTCATCCCTCCCCCCACCATGGAACTAATGCAAGGAAAATCAAGGGTGTTTGTCGTTGATTGTTTAAGATGTAAGGATGAAGAAGGGCTTTCGTAGACATAGGCACACTCTCTAACCACGTTCATAGTGACAAACCCTCATGCATCACATTTTGTATTGGAGCAATCAATAGAAGCAGCTAGACAAGTAGGAGCATCCAAAACATACTATGTTGGATTTGCTCATAGAACTGACCATTATGCGTTGGAGGCTAATTTGAAGAAATTAGAGGTTTCAGAGGGATTAAAGGCAGCTCCTGCTTACGATGGTCTGAAAGTGTCATTAGCCAAACAAGGCGAGCTTGTAGAGTCATCGTATTTTGAGCCTACACCTATTGTCATCAAAGAGTAAATCCGAGATAGAATCCAAACAATCCCAGCATTTCTGGAATTTTAGAATAAAATAAATTAAAAAAAAAAAAAAAAAAAAAAAAAAGGACCAACACCCTCGTAGTAGATACCATCAGAAATCAGGTAATGGGGTTTACTCATGCATTCACAATAACATGAGACTAAACTTAATGCCGAGAGTAATATATTAAAATATGCGTTTGACTATAATGTATGTAAGGTAGAATATCTATGCAAAAACGGAGCGCTCGTTGGGAGTGCTGGCAATCATGGCAGCCAAAGCAGCGCCAATACCATTACCATCACGAGTAATCTAGAATGCAACAGGGTTTGTGAGTGGGATATGCATGTGTCATGTACCAGAAGAATACTTACACCAATGTTGATCCTTTCAACATTATCGCCATACAATTCTTGCAAAGCAGTGTTGACACGATCAGGGAAGTTGGAGTAGTGCTCATAAATAGTGCCTTCGACACTGATACTGAGGCCAGCCTCCAAGGCATTACGCTTACTGATGATGGCACTCATACCAGCTGCAATCAAACGAGCGGCACGTCTACCTACAAGCTCACAAATACGCTTGACCAATCTACGATCCGTCAATGAAGTTGAGTTCAAGTTCATTACATTCTCCAGCAGGTGCTTGGTGTCTTCTAAATCAGGTGTCTCATCACGCTCAATGGCACTCATGTAAGTGGACTCAAAATTGTAAGCCTTGTTGAGTTCAGTCGAGTATTGAGCATTGAATAGCAAACGACGGTCAGTAAAGTCCACCAAGATGAGACGCACAATTTCGCCTAAATAGAGACCAGCGCACATCTTTTCATATACATGAACACCTGGATTGACAGATTGACGGTTGACACGGATATCGTAAAATGTGTGAGGGATGGCCTCGGATTTGGTGTCACCGAAGCTTCCCCATTCAGTGTTGATAATCATCTCCTCAATAGGATTTTCGGGATCTGCTTGGATCTTGTGGACATGGCGCACCTTTTCCCAATACGCTGTTATGTGCAGGTTAAAACCACTTGCACCGCATCCTTTATCTATGTATATACATACCAGCATTGGTACCAGTACTGACTGTACATGCAAGTAACGTATCCAAACTACGATAACTGTGAGCCAAGAGGCAGCCACCTAAGAAAGTTCAGTCTGGATTAGATGGACATTTGATCCTCACACTTGTCTTGAAACACTTACAAGCTCCATTGACAGCAGCCTTGACAGTGACAGGAAGTTCACGTTTACGGAAAGAAGTTTGCAAGAGTTCAACCATGTTCTTGTTATCAGCGCCAGTAATCTCAAAGTCCTTGGTCCAACGCAAGATGTAAGCATTGCGAATAGAGGTTTGATGAAGCGGGAAAGAGATACACAAGCCAAGAGAGAGAGGATTCTTGCTATCGCCTTTGTTGACAAAGGTCAGAAAGGCATCCACACATTCGGACATAAAGTCAATGAGATTGCTGATGGGTCCAACCTTCAGGTTCTCCTTGACAGTATACTTGAGCTGGCGTGTGGTAATGCGGCCTTGACCGTGCAGTGTAACAAGATAGACGCGAACATTGGAGCCTACAGGCAGTGTCAATAAAGTGCTTCTTGTACTACCTACATGTCAAGACTGCATAGTTACCACTCAAATCGAGTCCCATGTATTCGCCCTTTTCTTGACCGGTTGGATGGCGAGTAATCCAAGAGGGGAGCATAGGCACATTGCAGTTAATATCGCATGCCTTCAAGCCAGTTCTCATTTCGCATTGCAAGAGCTCAGCGACGCGCTTGAGTTGATCTGTGTTCAAGTCAAATTGTCTCTCTAAATCACGGACAGCGGCATCCTTGGTCTCGTCAGAATGGACGAGATTTGAAGCAATCATTTTGTAATTGGAAAAGAACAAGAGAAAAAGAGATTCAGAAATTATCCAAGCGTAATTGTTTGCTTGGATAAATAGATGAAAAAAGTCCGGAAAGCCATGTGGTTGAAGTAGCTTTTACCCTTACAAAAAGAGAAACATTTGATTCACGGCAATTCTATCAGGATATCGTGAAACAAGGCCTATTGGCTTAAAAGAATGAAACATCGTGTTTCTTTTTTTTTTTTTTTTTTTTTTGCTATTTCCTGTGCTAATGTTGTATGATACCCTATGCACAAACTCTTATTTCAAAGAAGGCTTTTATTAGGTTTTGGTATATTAGGCTACTAGATATTGTAAATGATGTGTATATAAGTTACTTGCTGTTCTGCTCCATCTCATCGCGGTAGACCCAGTTGCCATTTGGATTGGGATCGCCCTTGTATTTAGCCACCTTGCTCAGCATCTTTTGCAATCTAGCGACATCCGGCTCTTCTTCCACCCACTTGAAATAGACTGGCTCCCATTGCACTCCTTCCTCTTCCTGCTCCTTCTTCTCTGCACGCTTTTTGTTTTCAATGATGCTCTTTTCCTTGGCAGCTAGCGCGGTATCATTGGCTCGAATAGCTTCAGAGACCTTTTGCCAGATACGACGCGTCTCCATCTCTCCCATCTTCTCCAGGGGCTTCACTTTGGCAGCAGCTGCTTTCAGGATGTTGATGTCCAAGAATGGCTTGGAAACCTTGGTTTTGTAATCGGTGATGGTTGATTTGCCGCTCCATTGCCCCTCAATCTTGTAGAGGTAATCTTTGTGATCTGTATTCTTGCGCACAAGACATTTGAAGTGATTCTTTTCTCCAGAGATCCAGCCGCGAGACGAGTATTCGATAGAAGCATAGTAGCCAGTAGATGCTTGAATATAGGTTGTCCCAATCAATTCCACATAGGGTGCTACAAATGGATGCCATGTGTCAGTCAAGCATTTCTTGACGGGGCCTCATTATCGAATGAAATGTTACCTGCATACCAGATGCCGCGCACTGTGAGAGATGGGCTTGTAAAAAGGTACTTTTCATTGTTGCGAGTCTTGAGTGTCATCATCTCTCGACCTGTTTGATCGCATACCAATGTTGCGCTTGAAATACGAGTCTTTTGACCAGAATGCCCATTGAGGACAACACCCGCTTTGTCATTCTTGATGTAGAATCCTGTCACCGGAGGATGATGAGAGACTTGTTCGCATAATACTTCGGTTTCGCCACAGCCATCAACATCTGCCCAATTCATGAACCACTGCTCGCCAAGCACAGGGTTGTATGGCTTCTTCTCCCATTGACCCTTGGGCACACGTCTTCTGTAGGCCGCATTTAGGTAGGATATGAACCACTTGATGAATGCCAAGAGTCTCTCCACCTCGTTATCAGACTCAGGGATAGCTGCAAACAGTTCCGGTTGAGCAGCCCAATATTCACTTTAACTAGATGTTAAAACACATTTCTATGCACAAGAGCAATGCAACTTACGAGTATTCGATCAATGATTCAGGAGCCAGCAGGAAAGCAGGACAAGTTACAGCGGACAGGTCACCTGTAAATGAAGCCAATGACTTGAGGAACGAGTAGAAGGCGCTCTTTTGTTCAGTTGGGATTTTATCCACATTATTGACTTGACCGGAAGGAACAACAGATGTCATGATATGTGTAAATGAGAGTGAGAGAAAATGTTTATAAAAGACAAAAGAGAAGAAGATCTTGGAGAACAGCTTTATGATATCAATGTTATATAGGGCTGCATGTAATCCCCGCCTTTGGTTTCTCATTTACATGGAAAAAGTTCTTTTTTGCTTTCATCATATGTTGCGGTGTAGAACGCAGTGAAAATAGGAACCACCACCAGCCTACAACTGAGTTTCCAAGCATCAGCACAGAAGACAGCTTGTATTTCATGCAACTCATCTTTGTGTATCATCTCAAGGGTTTCTTGTGATACTTGATTATGAGCTTCTTGAGGCAGATCAAAAAGTAGCAACATGTATATATTGAAATCATGAAATTATCTACCAGGGATCAATACTTTTTTTTTTTTTTTTTTTTTTTTTTTATATATATATATATATTTGCAACGACGTGCTGTCCCTGATGCCGTTTCTAATTTATACTGACCAAAAGGATAGACATCACGCGGGAAATGACATGGCTCGATTTGTGAATGATTCAGTGATTTTTATGTAAGCATATTGAGGCAATCATGTTAATAATGACCAGCCCAACCTGTCTAAATATTTTCGTCATGGAAGGGCTGCTTTACAACTTGAACTGTACCAAATGCCATTAATTATAACCTACTGAATCAAGAAAGAAAAAGAAAAGATTAGACATGGCACAGCGGAGTCCTCAGCAGCAACTCAAATGTTGAGAAAGCAAGATTTGTATTTACAAATCAAACCAAAGATGAGCACTGGCCAGATCATCTTGGTAAAGTAGGCATTCACCAGCTGGATTGAAATAATCAGAGGGTCTATCATAGCATGTGACTCCAGAGAGCTGTAAGCCAACAGGGATATGTAATAGCATTTGAGCCGATAAAGATCAAAAACACCAAAACCAATCTACAATAGCCTTCAGGATTACTTTCGGAGAAAAACCTGACACAAGAGGACTGTTTGGCTCTTCTACATCAACACGTTTTTCATCCTGTCATTGTGGCAAAAATGCAATTCATCATTGTATATATATGTATATATATTTACAAACATTCATATAAATTTTCTAGCTTTCCTTATGCATTTATATTGCAACAGCTCATTTGGTTTGTTCATTTGACATGTCCAATAAACTACAACGGCTGAAATTAGATTCAGTTCGCGCATTGGATTACTTGGTTTACCTTTCAATCGTCTGTGGCAATTTGCCTTCACTGGCTTGTAAAATCATAAAGCAGACGCCTGGCTCAATGTTGGGAAACATGGACACAATTGTGCTTAAATTCTCATCAAACATCTTGTGTGAATCCTCAGCTGAGGCTGCTTCTACTACTCTGGAGGCTGCTAGTTCTGGAGTCACCATGTTTTCAGGCACAGGCAACTCTTGCGATAAGGATGAAGGCTCGTCAGGCACATAACTGTCTGAATGGTGCTGGTGATGTTGGCGACGCTGATTTTGCTTGGGACTCGTTGACGATGCTTCAGTCTCACTATTACTGGCGCTGCTATCAGAGAACAGTTTCTCTACAAAATGAATGGATTTCTGAGCAATATCCGTGCCTAGATCAATCAAGGGCTGCTCTTTCTGTTGCTGCTTTTTAGCGTGTATAGGATGCACTGCATTTTCGTAGCTGACTTGCTTTTTGCCATCGCTCAAAACTTGTGGTGGCTGCTCCTGATCCAGCTCTGCCATGGTCGTTTCAATGTTTCTGTCGAATGCTTCTTGAGATATTGATAGCGAGTTGACATCCATGGTTTCGATAAATTCGATAGCGCCCATCTAAACTCCCATGCAAAGTTTAGTATAAACATCTCTATGAACAGTTGCTTGAGCCTTACGAGATTCGTCAAATAATAACCAGCTTCTGATCTGAGATGGTCAGGGTTTCTGAATCGGGATATATATCTATCAAAAGTGTTGGTACGTCGAATGTATAGCACTTATGCCCTCTACTTACTGAACATTGGATATTAATTTTGGTGGGTTCGCTCGAATAACTACATAGATCAACAGGGGAAGAAACACATCTGCACCTTCATCGCCTTCCATGTGCTTCATCAAGCCAAAAATCACTTTGCAGCAGTTCAAAATACAAATAAGCTTGTCTCTGGGTGCTTTGTAGTTGTTCATCTTTAAGAGCTCGGATTCTGCAAATGTCAGAAACGAGTCGTTGTCATCTGTTATGGGTATATCAAGGTGCTCTTCTCTGATCCAGCGAAATATATTGATTTTGTGATGCAAGATTTCGTCCTTTTCCTTGTCATCCATGGTGCTGGGCGAAAATGTGCTATGATCCCAAAGATTAGCACATGCATTCCCGATGATGTTAACCATACTACTAACACATTGTATAGTCGATTCATGACTAGCTTCTCCATGCCTTCCTTTGCATTTTCAAACTCTTTCTCTGAAATATCTCGCCACACATCACAATCCCTCATGCGAACATAGGTAAACTGGTGGGTAACTTCAGCGCTACATCCTCAGATTCATTATTCTTTCCGGATACTTACATTGAGAAAGTCTTGAATGAATTTAACCTGTTCGTTGACAGTCCATGCTTCTCGACGATGAAAGGCAGCAATAAAACTAAAATAGGTGTATGAAAATAAGCATTTCTTGTCGCACAAAGCACAACGAATATCAGAACCCTACCCCTTTGTATAACGAGCAATATGATTAGCACTAGGCTCCTTCATTTGCTCCAAGAATCGATGGAAGTCGAATGTCGGCATATCAGCCTGGAATTGGCGTGTCGAATTGGCTAATGCAAATGATGGCATTTAGCTGATATCCACCTCGAGGCGCTCAAAGCGCACACATGCCAGGTCACAGCTGTCTTACCAGTTTCCTTTGGTGGTGGTGTAGGTGCTCGCTGCTTTTTGGTGTCTGACAATTCCTCTTGTTTCGCATCGCTATTCAAGAGTAGAGGGAAAAGAACATGTCAATTTTCTGCCTTGTGTGTGCATGGTTTGTTCTCACTGTCTAACTTTTTACTGCACTCGGGATTGTCTACAGTGGAGAAAGTGACCAACGGCTCATCATCTTGGCTGAGGTCTATCAGGTTGTCTTCTTTGATGGTTGCCTTCTCCAATGATTGCGATATATCTTTGATATCCTTGGACATGGTGCACTTTTGAAGAAAGAAGGAAAGAAAGAGAAAAGATATGTTTCGCTTTATTTTTCTATTTGCAGATTTAAGTCACTTTATTACAGTTTGTTCTACAATGAGATGTATCTATTGATGCTTGGTCTTGAGTTCTTGGACAAGAGCAATGTACTGAGTCTCGGCCTCGACGGGAAGGGTACCTATTATCCACGATTTTAGTCAATTTGGGTACTGTTGAATGGTCAGCCTCTCTCTCTCTCTCTCTCTCTCTGTATCTACCTTTGAGGTCGTCCCATGCTTGCCACTTGTAACGGCCCTTGATATCAAAAGTGGGCTTGGCTAATCAGATGGACATTTTGGATCAATCTTGACGGTTGCATGTGGAAATGCGATGGTTACTTACAGGTTTCATTGTCGCCAATGGTTGCTTGCTTATAGAGAGCGTACAATTTCAAGAGATCGTCGTTGCTGGGCTTACTGGTAAGTTCATGGACTTCCTTGGCAGCTTGTTCAAAGGCCTGCGCATAAAAGCCGTGAGTACAATGCGCCAAGTTACATCAGTTTCTATATGAAGCACTTACGAGAGATGGCATATTAATTAGTGGAAATGAGTTGTGCAAAAGAAACTATCCATGTACGCGACGACAAAAATCTAATCAACAGCAGAATTTCAAACTCGATCATTGGGGTCTCTCGACTGCGAAACTATGGATGTGCTCTGTTCAACCCACCATGAAAGAACGTTATTCCATAGACCTCTTGCTCCTTGAGTGCGCCGCAGAAGCTTCAATATGATTTATTTGTACGCAAATCATCATGGAGTTGGTTTTATGTTGCTTATTATTAATGTTTCATGATTGCAAACATCTCTAAAATGTGCATTGGTTATCTTTTCAAACAGCTGCATCCAAGCAAGTTGTATAGGGCTCCTTGATCTACTCTGCATTGGCCATTCAATAAAAATCACAAAGGCCATGCGCTTGAACATGACGCTTGGAACCGGTTTTCATTGCTGGCCTCAACAATGTCCAGATGTTTCACCTTGATTAGATATCTGTTCAGCGGAATGGAGCGATGGCCGAGTACTCGGTGATAGCCACATTTGTTTGTTACTCTCTGCAACCGATAAGCTCAGAAAGATACAAGATCTCGGCGCTATCCTATCGATTCTGCTCTGGACCTTTGGAAGAATAGCAACATCAATAACGAGTTCAATCCGTGAGAAGAAGCATCTTGACAACAGCCGTACATAGTTCCAGATTGTGCGTTTTGGGTTACTGGTATGACTCTTTTATAATACACAGTTGTAGGTTTGAATAACAGATTATCAAAATAAACATTTGATCATTCGATCAAGAGTGATCTCCATGAACTCGGATATCTGACCTGGATCGCCTTCCGTATGAAACCACCGAGCTACTTGGGACAGTCTGTCAGATGATGAGTGCCTGTTGACATAGATGTTTGTAGCAGGATATTGCAGATAGAAAAAAAAAAGAAGCTTGGGTGCTCATCTATCAATGTAATGTACCCACTTTAAATATTACTATTGGATTGCGTGCTTGTAACAGCACACTTTGATGAGGGGAAAACAAACTTCCATTGCTGTGACTACCGCTATTACAAATGCACTTGCAAATGGGAACCTTGAATCTCCCACATTCAGCAGGTATTTAAAGGGCATCCATCTCGTTTTCATTTTTTCTCGTGATTCATGCTTCTAAAGGCTATTTCCCCAAGACTATTCTTCCAAAAAGCACCTGTCAATACTTTTCTTAAATCAAATATCATTCGAACAATGTCAATTGCCAGCACAATGAAAGCCGTTTACGTCAATGAACAAGGCGGTGTTGATAACTTGATTTATAACGATATCCCCGTTCCCAAGGTCGATGAGAACTCTGTTCTGGTCAAGAATCGCTTTGTAGGTGTGAATTACATTGATACTTATCAAAGAGGTGGTGTCTATCCTGTCGCCTTGCCTTTTACTCTCGGCCGTGAAGGGTAAGTTGTTTGAAATGTTGTCTAGTGGATGTTGAATATTCATGCAAACTCAAATAACAGTGCAGGTGATGTCGTCCAAGTGGGCGCCAATGTTAAGGACTTTAAGGTTGGCGATCGCGTTGTATATCTGGGTGGTGCTACTTATGCTGAATACACCAATGTCACATCCAGTGCTGTCGAAAAGTTGAGTGATGAAGTTACCTACGAAGAAGCTGCTGCTATCGGTATCCAAGCATTGACTGCTTGGACAATGGTTCGTGATGGTTATCGTGTTAAGAAGGGGGACACTATCTTGGTTCATGCAGCAGCCGGTGGTGTTGGCTTGTTATTGTGTCAAATGATTCATCATCTTGGCGCTACTGTCATTGGCACTGTAAGCACTGACGAAAAGGCTGCTCTTGCTCGCGAAAATGGTGCTGATCATGTCATTGTCTACACTCGTGAAAATGTTGTTGACCGTGTTAACGAGATCACAAATGGTTTGGGATGCCATGCTGTCTTGGATGGTGTTGGAAAGTCAACTTGGGAGGACTCTCTTGCCTCTACTCGCCGTTTAGGTACATTGATTTCATTTGGTAACGCATCTGGTGTTGTCCCTCCTATCAAAATCCAATGCTTAACAGCCAAGAATTTGAAATTGATGAGACCTCAATTGTTTGCTTACCTTGCTACTCGCGAAGAGTCTCAAAAATGGTGGAGCGAAGTCTTTGATTTATTGAGCAACAAGGTGATCAAGTTGCATATCCATAAAGTTTATGACTTGAAGGATGCTAAGCAAGCTCATATTGACATTGAGAGTAGAAAAACTACTGGTAAACTTTTGATCAAGCTCTAAAAGTCTGCATGTATATTTTTAATAAACTTCTTGTTTGAACCAACTCATCTATTTCGAACAGTGTCTGTTCAGTTGGTGTAATGGATGGGTGCATGAGTGTCGACACCATCAAAGAAAATAAAAGGCACCTTTGAGCAAAGCCCCACGCTCATTAGAAGGTCGACATTTCAAAGTGTATTGTCACATCTTTCTTCGAAACACTTATTGAAGTAAAATAAGCAAGATGATACCATGCCATCTTAAAACCAAGACATGCCAACTTGTCAAGTGTTTATCACAACTCATAATAAGCAAGGTGCATAAGAGTTTAGTAATACAGTTCTTGCTCGACATTGAGCGCATATTTTCAAGCATGCTCCACACAATATAACTAGATTAATGTCACAATTCTGTCATTAGCTCGACCGCAGACACATATGATCGCCTTTCCATCGCTCAAACGTATTTTTTTCAATAGTAAGCATTGTTTTCTATTCAAAGTAACTTTGTACAGCATAAACGTGCATTAAATGGTACAGCTCATGACAGCTATTTCACACAATATACTCTGACAAACCTGTTTTTCATATATTTTAAAAGTTTTCAAAGGAGAGCTTGTATTGGGTCTATAGCAAATTAGCGGTAGCAATGCTCATTGCGTAGACCTAGTAACTACTTATCGTTTGAGGTCTCACTCAAATCTGTAGTGCCAATTCTCATAGGTACATGCTATTTTCAAAGCTTCAACATCATCAATATTTCAGAAATCGATTTTCGATCGTCCAAAAGTTGGAAACCTCAAAATCAAAAAACATTTTGTACATCCAGGTCCTCATAGGTGAAAAAATTAGAATCATATAAAGCTAAAATATGTTGTAGAATAATGATATTGGAGCAACTTCTTAGTGGGAACATTACATTGAAAATGCTTACTTCTTGAGTCAATCGACATTGGAGATGCTATTTCTAAGTGGGGGAATATATATACCTTAAATTGCAAATGTTACTGTAATCGAACAAAACAAGCTACAACTGTCTAGTCTTAACAACAAGATTCTTCGACATGTTAAGTATCTATAGATAACTTGAAACCAACAAGTTAATATGGTCCTTTTCGTACGCTCCAATTTTTAAAATGCTTGGTCAAATGCATACATGTGTGGTGTATACATTCGGAAGATCAACGGAGATTCAATTTCTATTGTTCTGAATGATGATCCATGACATTTCGAAATCTATCGACCTTAAAATTATGCGTTTGTTGATAGTAAACACCCCTTTAAACTTATATGAAACTTGTAGAGAGCTCAAAGGAAAATACAATGGTATCCATATCAAGTCTTTGGTGTATATTGTTCACCTGATATTTGATATGATTGTTTTTGCAATTTTTTGGCTGTTTCAAAAGATTAATCAGTATCTGTCATCAAAACATTTTGTTAAGCATTACTAAACATTGTAGACCAAAAAATTTCCTATCGAATGAGCTATTGCTTGAAGCTCTGACATGATTATATCATGAGAAATTTACAGTTTTGTATTTCCTAAAAATTGGTATCCAAATTTTTGCCTTGCTACCACAGGCAGATTTTGAACAAAAACCGATGATTTTGCATGAATCCCTTTTTTGTTCGTATCTCGGAAAAGACGCATCGTATTTAAATAAAACAAAGATCATTCGATAGCTCTACTTTGACTCTATCATGCTATAAGAGCATCAAGTCTCAAATTTACGTTCCCTTTATGATTTTATTTATAATTTTGTATTTTACAAACTTTATAATAGTCACGAAAGTTGTCTAAAGATTCATAATAGAGTCGTATTAGCCACGTAGATTAGTGCAGGACATAACCTTGCCTTGAGTGGTGCCAACCTTGATAGTCTATTGACAATATCTACCTAAAGTGGCCTATTTTTTATATATGTATTTTTGGAGGTTTTCGAAGAAAAGCAAGTGATTGCTGAATCTGCACCACTACACGTATAGTCTATAACATTGTACATTGTACACACCCAAGAATTAAGTGCCGTTTGAGATTTCAGCTGAAGCTATAGTATTATTAATAGCAGCTCGTGTAAGTTTAAAGTGCCCAATAGACCAGCCACAGCTAAAATTGTCTGGAATGGATTGATCATCATGGCTAACTTTTGCTACACAGTGGAGCATATAAAATTCTTGTTATATGTTGCTATCAGCCATTCCATGCCTCAAGTCTGTTTACCAAAGTTGCGCGCTATAACATGGGCGTTTCCGTGCTGTTGTTATCAACGAGAAACGCCCTTTTGCTATAGTAACCTCCAATTTGGGGATCCCAAAACCCGATTTTCGCAAGAAAGCATCGCAGATACTCTAACGAAATCTCATTTTTTAGACCAAACACAAGAGACCACAATTCAATTCATAATATAAAAGAAGCCTGGTTGAGTTGTTGGTAGTAGTTGTACAGATAACAGCATCGAAACACTACTGGCGTTTTTATATTGGTTTACTTTACACTTTATATTTACTCGTTGTTTAATCAGTTAACCAAATGCAGCGACTTAAATTTCCTTTATATTATGTTTAACCAGCCCCTCAAAGTGGGCATATAATGTATCAGATATAAAGTCTTTACAATCAACGTGGGACGCGAAAATGCTCTCCCTTCCTCCCCCTTTTTGGTGGGTGAAATGTGCCCTTCTTGGTGGGTGAGATGCGCGGCATCTAGCTTAAAACCTTTGCCAAACCACAATGAAGCAAAGTATAACCAAACAGTTTTCAATAGAACCTTTCCCAACATTGCATTCATCCATCTATTGCTCATAATCCCTTGTAATCAACAGTTTCTCGTATAAAGGCCATGGTTCACTATTGCCTTATTTTGGAAATCATCTGTTGCTCATCAACAATAATGACCCCCGCCTTCTTCCAATTTCACTACCGTTTTCATCCCAAAAATTTCCTCAAAGAAACATGCTACCTTTAAAGCTCTTGCATTGATATTTCAAATTTCAACGTGGAGATTGAAGATTGTTCTGTACACTCAACACCTGACAGGTGATAAAAAAAATAAGAGGTAATTGACATGATGGCAATGCCATTTTTAAGCGGGGAGTACGTATATACCTCAAATTGAACCACTTAATGAAGCAGAACAACGCAAGCTACAACCGTTTAATCTTTGAAGTATAACTAACAAACGCGTCAAGTATATATCGATAGATTGAAATCATACCAAATCCGCAAAGCATCTAAAGATATCATCGTCAAACCCAATATTCCCCTATTAATCATGTTTAGGCAAGCTTTCTTTTCAAACCGAACGTTTAACTATGATCTGTCTCACCATCCACTGTTCTACAACTTACAACTAACACTGAGTCGAACATTGTTTGAAGCTATGCCTCCAGACCAAAAAGTAGTTCAATGAAAGATCCATCAACCTAGACGTTTATACTACCCAAATCTACTCACTGCTGTGTCCTCACGCTACCTCTGGACCTTGTTTTTTTGAATGGGTCATCTTCATCGGCAGCCTGATAGTCGACTGGTGAGTGGTGAACATTCCAAGATCACCATATGTAGCGATCGCATTTTTAAAGTTGTGGTACTCACATCTGGGTACAGTCCTCATTAGCTTGTTTATTTATAAATGGTTGTACATATTTGACATTATATATAACTTAACTCCTATCATACATGGCTGCAATTACTATCAATGTGGTATTATTCTAGCCTTCCTAGCACAGGCTTCGGGATACATTAATTCCAGTATTTGTTGCATCATACGATGCACACAACGTTGGATGTTCAATGGATACTACTATGCTGTTCAAGAGAGACAAGCATTCACAAACCTACAACAAAAAGTAACACCATATATATTCAAATGAGCTTTTTATGATGTCTGCAGGCACTACCAGCCGCGGTGGTTGCCACTGGTATATCTGATGGAAGATAGTAGATCCCACGCTAGAGACTCTACATGCCGGAATGTAACCTTGAACATGCAAGATACGCGCGCTTTGATGGATCTTACTGGCGGCAGTTTGAGAAAGGTAAAGATGTATCCTTCTCAACCCAAATAGCATGTGGTTACATGAGAGAAACTAGAAGAGATACCTATCAAGAAGCTCTTATCCGCTTCCCACAGTACGATTTTAGATGGATCTCATCTCATTTCGCTCAGCTTTCTCAGTAATCCAAGCAGTGGATACAGTTTGGTTGTAGATGAATTCTTTTCTATTTCTCTTTCTTTCTTCTTTCCAACTTTTTCACACTTTCATTATGGTATGTTACTCTTCTTACGATTGAATATTTACATAGAGCACACTAACATTTAATAATAGAGATGCATGCAGTTTCTAAGGGCAATTCTTAAGACAGCAACAATGGCAACCTGCAATATTGCTTATGGTGAGTATTGTTGGTCATTTGAATGCCACTTCAGTATTCTGACGCGAAAGCATCTCTTTATAATTTATAGTTACTATGGAACCAAAGTTTGAATAGGAACCATGAGTCTAGTCTGCTTGTATTAGGTTCTTTATATCAAGATGATACTTTCGTACTGATTCAGCTGGCCCATCATCTGTCTAAAGCAAGTCTTTTCGACCAAATTGGCATCACGATTTCTCATTTATGGTTGGCATAAGCCCTTATTTTATATACATTTGTCGTTGGTAAGTCTCATAATGATCTTTATATTAAAGAATATGCTAACAGGACTTAAATGTTCTATAGATGTCGACCTGGCTATGTTTCTCAGGAGACTTGTTGTGTAGTAGGAACCGCAACAGGCTCTGGGTGTAGGGTTGTGGGATGGCCTTTTCCAACATGAGGAAGAGGTTTTTAGCGTCCTTTACCACTGCCAGCACAAACTATCTGAGTCTGTCCTGAGCTGTCAAATTTTATACTTCGAAATCCTTTGTGCGACATGGAATGTCGATCTACTGTTGTCGATGTGATTATGTAATACTATTTGAATAAACTCTTCCGTTTCAATCCTTTAAAATTTCTGAGCTCTTGGAACTTTATGTT